TCACTTTCCTTTACGCTGCCCACCCCACTTGGGAACAAACGGCTGAATTTTCTAAGTGTCCAACTTCCCCCAGCTTGAATGAAGGGATCAGATAGAACAGACCAGGATTTCAAAGTTGGAATATTAAATGAGGACAGAAGAATGAACACCGACTCGGAGCAGAGTGGAAACGGCTCGGCAGGGGCGAGGGAGGCTAGATTACTTTTTTTTAATATTTTTTTTATTGTAAATAAATGGACAACAGAGACAAGTTTTATTTCTTCAATAAAGTATTGCTATCTTGAGTACCGTGCTGTTTACTTTGTAATCCAACTACTTGAGTGAACCAGATAAACACTCTAAAGGCTCGGGCACAGTGAAACATTGCGCGCAGTTAAGACTTGTTTCTACCAGCGACATGAACACAAGCACAAGTTAAGTGCGGACGTAACAGCACAAGTATAAACAGAAACACAGGAAGACGAACACACTTCACTCTATCCCCATCACAAGAAAAGTAAACGAGTTCGTTTTGCTTCTCTAGTGCTGGTCCAGTAATGAGTGTGTTCTTTCTTCCCATACTTCTGCGTATGCTTACGTTGTTAACGATCTCACTGAACTAAGTTTTACCGCTTTTGCTTGTGTTTATATCGCTAGTATAAACCACTCTTAAACTTACACCGTTTTCCAACCAAGCGATTGTTGCATGCAATGTCGTCAAAGTTAAATTAGGTTGAAGAAATTGCTCTATAACCACATCACACGCAACAATCTGAACGTCAAAAAACGACGCAATTTTACTGAGCACAATGCTTCACTGTGTCCGAGCCTTTACGTTTAGCAAAACCACAAGTACTTCAACCACAAAGTACAAATGTCGATGCGAACTGTGGAAAAACAGGACCTTCGCAAAGCAGCGAAATTAAAAGCACTAGCGCGTGTAATAGCACTTGGCAAGTCAACAAAGAGACCGGTCGCGCAAGCAAATTCTTATAACTTTAAAGATTGGCAACAATTATTAAAGGTCTTTCTCAAGCTCGCATCAACACCCGTATTTTAAGCTTAAAGTACTAGCTGGCTTAAATCAAGAGAGAGCTAAGTTCTCCTTTTGACAAACTCTTGGTAAAGCTTTGTGGTAAAAATCAGACTCTTCTCAAATATCTTACAATTGGACGCAAAGTACCCCACAAATTCATGAACGAAATTGACAGAAAAATATCCGAGTGTCTTATTCTTGTAATATAAAATGGTGCAGTCTTCCTTGAAGTGGCTCTTGGGGTCGTCATGTAGAGACAAACTCCTTGCGTGACGATCTCGAGAACAACTGCAAACAAGACTACGATTTTGTAGCAAATTGAAAAGAAAAAAATCATAACGCACACATTTGTGGCGCATTTTGCGGTATAAACAATTAATCACGTCAGTCTGAAAATACAAAACAAAGCGTTATCAAGGACGGTTTGCCTTGATACTGTGAACTCCGTTTACTCCCACAGTGATGAAAATGTTAAATAACATGTTGATCACAGTAGGCACCTAACAAATCTCAAATGTGCCCAAAGACTCAAAATCTCTGCGCGTAAACTGATCGAAAACCTTTTCAAACCGTCAGGTTTATTCAACACTGCAGTACAGATTTCAATGCCATTTTGCAGTCACAGCAGTGCATAGATTCCACAATTTATAAGAAAAATATAATCTATTGCTCTTGATTTGAAATTTCCTCGTTAGTTAGAATTTTTAAATGTAAATTTGTGACCTACCATTTCTGAGGTGAATAATTATTTTATATGACAGGTAAGCCAAGTGTTTAGCAAAGCTGACAACGGGTTCAGTACTGAACGTAACTGTCTCTGGTCCGTAGGAAATGCCGTGCTTTGTTTTGGTAAACAAACAAACAAACAAACAAACAAAAATTGTGTAACGGATTGATTCCCAAGTTACGAGACTACTTTTTTAACTCAAAAATTTCAATGTGTACACCAAATTGATGTTTAAATTTAACGGTTAACTTTTACTGCTCCGTTCGTTAGGGAAAAAGAAAACGAGATAAGTAGAAAGTGAATTTAGTGTTACTAAAGTGTTGAATACAGTTTTTATAGGAAGAAAACCAAATATAAAACTTGATTATGCATGATTACCCAGACTGCTTTGCACGCTTGTTAAGTTTGACTTGGGAACCGTCGACCAATCAAAACAATTATCTGTCACCCACACGATCCCATAGACCTTTGCACCAAAAGCTTGTGCCCATTCCCCTTGCAGTTTATGGAGATGCAAAAAGGCATGGAAGATTTGAAATTCACAATAAAGTTCACAATAAATTAACAAATAAATAAACTATAAGCAGACATACAATCTATTGAGTCTATACAGCTAAGACAAGTTCTTCAGCCAATCAGTGTTTCAGTGAGTCACTGTATCAGTCAGGATGCTGTAAGTCAGTCAGCAAGTCTGCTCTAAATCATTCAGACATTAAGTCAGCTTGCCAGCCCCCCAGACAGTAAAGGTGGCCAGTTTACAAGTCACCAAGTGAGTCAATGAATTAGCTGACAAGCCCTAGAAAAGTCAGCAAGTCTGCTCCAAATCATTGAAGCCAGTAAGTCAGTTTGTTGGTTCCTGGACAGCAGGGACAGCTAGTAAGTCATCCAGTAAGTCAATGAATTTGCCAGCAGGTCCTTCGGCAGTCAATAAGTCTGCTCTGACTCATTCAATCAGTGTCTGTTTGACAACCATCAGACAGTAGAGACAGCCAGTCAGTGTTTCTGTGAGGCAATAAGTTGGTCGGTAAGTCCTCAGACAGTCAGCCAGTGGGTGCCAAATCCTCTAACCAGTGATTTAGCTTCTCATCCCCCAGAGAGAAGTGTCAGCTGGTAAGTCCTTCATTTATTCAAAGAATTAGCCTGCATAAGTCAGTCAGCCCCCCAACAGTAGAGTCAGCCTGTTAGCCCAGTAAGTCATTCATTGAGTCAAAGAATTAGCCTGCATAAGTCCTAAGACAGTCGGTCAGTCAGCCCCCCAACAGTAGAGTCAGCCTGTCAGCCCAGTAAGTCATTCATTGAGTCAAAGAATTAGCCTGCATAAGTCCTAAGACAGTCGGTCAGTCAGCCCCCCAACAGTAGAGTCAGCCTGTCAGCCCAGTAAGTCATTCATTGAGTCAAAGAATTAGCCTGCATAAGTCCTAAGACAGTTGGTCAGTCAGCCACCAAACAGTAGAGTCAGCCTGTCTTTCCTTCATTGAGAAAACAAATGAGCTAGTAAGCCCTAAAAAAGTCCACAAGTCAGTTCTACATCATTCAGTCATGTTGTCAGCCCCAGACAGTTGGGTCAGCCAGTCAGCCTTTTAATGTGAGTCACTGACATGGTCAGTAAGTTCTTAGACAGTCAGGAAGTCCACTCTAAATCATTCAGTCAGTGAGTCAGGTTGTCAGACCCTGCACAGTAGACTCAAGCAGGCAGTGAGTTAAGGAGTTACTGTAAGACAGTCAGTCAGTTAATACCAAGCCATTTGATCAGTCCGTGGGGTCAGCTGAAAAGCCCCCAGAGAGTACAGTCAGGCAGTGCATCCATATTCTCAGTTTATATATTCCAAAGAAATATACTGCCTTTTAAAACCTTGCGGCAGTGAATTAGCCACTGCGCCTTCTAGCTGGCCCTCAATCAATCAATCAATCAATCAATTTATTAACGTCAATACATGGGATGGGGTTGACACGATCATCCCAGCGAGAAGCTCATGCATAAAACGCCCTCAATCAATAGAGTCAGTCTCCCGGGTAGTCAATTCTCCAGAAGAGTCAGTCAATCAGTCAGTTAGCAAGTGACTAACCCAGTCAGATGATTAGTCAGTCAGCCAATGTAAAAGTCAGGCCTGACCCTGTATTCATTCAGTCATGATTGGTAACAAAGTCTGAACCAATAAACAACAAGTCAACCATATCTCTTTCATCATCAGTTAGTTAGAAAAAAGTGATAAAGACCTGGCAAGACTCACATGGTCAGAAAGTTAGCTTGCAAGTTCAGAAGCACAAATCAGCAACAATCAACCAATCTGCCCATGACTGTCTCAGAAAGACCATCTGTCACTCTACCTGTCAGTCACTCAGTTTCTCAGCATGTAAATCAGTCAGTCAGTCAGTCAGTCAGTCAGTCAGTGAGTTGAAAAGTCAGTCAGTAGGTCAGACAGTCAGTCAGCAAGTCAGTCAATCAATGAGTCAGTAAGTCAGTCAGTCAGTCAAACAGTCAGTCTGTAGGTCAGTCAGTCCATCAGCATGTCAGTCTCTCAGTCAGCTAGTCAATAAATTGATGGTGCTAGCTGTATAAGCCACAATATAGATTGCATGTCTGATCTAACCTACCATCAGTTTTACATCTCTTGTCCTTCCATGTTGGAAAGAAGAGAAATTTGATACAAAAAACATGATTCTGTGCTTTAAGTTATCACTGCTGTCAATTATCCAATTGAAAACTCATGAGAAAATGAACAAAGTTCCTTACCACAGTGCAAGCAAAATTTGAATTTTTTTAGCTTCCAGATTTTGATCAGCCCATTAGTTTAAGCAAAGTTGTTGTTTGATGAAATGCAAATTTGAACCAACATTTTCATTTTTTGAGAGGCTGAGCTGAAGCCACCTTTTTGAGTTGCAGGTTTTCATAATTTTCAGAAAATAACTGAACTTTAATTCTTTACTTACTGTTGTGTTGTCATCTTTAGTTTAAAACCTTTTCTTGGTGTAAAGTAATTTAGTATATTTAAGCTTTGTTGAAAGAGAAATTATATTGACTGAATGATCGATACAAAACTTCAATGCACATGTAGTTCTAAATTTTTGCAATGACTGTGCGCAAAAATTTAAAACATGAAAATGATGTAAAACTGCTTTAACTACAGCAGAACTTAGCTCACATTTATATCATAGCTGTGACACAACTGAACAGAAGCATAAGATAAGTTGTCTTCTGAACAACCCAGCCACATTTTGTTTATCTGGTTCACTAAAGAGCTGGATTACAAAGTAAAATATATAGCACTCATGGTACTCAAGATAACCTCTAAATCCTAAATGTTGAGGACTTGATCCAGTCTGTTTGTAGCATACGCATCTGACCTGCAAAAAAACACAAATCAACATTAGCAATAAGATATCACTATCTTAACAGATAAAATACAATCAATAACATAACCGTTCTATTTTGTACCTTAAAGCATAATGTATATAATTACTTAATTAAAATTTGTCCGCCCTTTCTCATTGGCTCCAATCCCCTGGCTAATTCTTAATAACCAGAGGGTGCTTACCATAAAATTATTAGGAAGATGCAAGCAGTATACCATTGATTCAATGGTGTAAATTATGATATACCAACCTTCGACCTCATTTCAGGTGCAGCAGCAGGCCTAGCTGTTTATTCCTGAGTGAAGGAAACCAGGAGATGGTATTCACGCAGCTGTCAGAAGACTAAAATAGCTGAATTTCTAACTAATGGAGCTGAAGAAATGCAAGAATATGCTTTTACATATTGCTTGATGGATGTTATCGATCTTTTTATCTACTTCTTGAGAAGTATCTGCAAGTATAAATATCCACTTATAACCATGCAAAGAAATAGGCCAAAGTTTCAAAGAAATTCTACGAGAAGGAAAGCTTGTTAAGAACTTAGAAAATATTTTGAATGAATAATTAAACAATAACTGCCTTCCGCTATCGTATGATGTGAAAAATTATGCAGATCTCGGAGGATGTTATCCATTGAGGCTGAAATCTTCCTCGATCTGCATAGTTCTTCACATCCTACTCAGCCTCATTCAATTGCTAATGATTACTGATTCACGTCAAATTTGAATTCAGGTTAATTACTTTTAATTGACAGAAGATAATTACCTTTGGATGTAGATGTACCCTTTTTTGAGGATGTTCCCTTTTCACCATGGACATCACACCTAAAATTAGATAAGATAGTAATATTATATTTACTATATTCGTATTGTACAATAAAAAATTGTCTTAACACAAACAGCAAAAGATCCCAAATATATAATCTTCTTCGTAGACAAAACAAATGTTCATAAGCTTTTAGATGGACATTTAAATTGAAGCTAAATGCAATTTGCAGTAAAATTAAAAGTATCTTAGTGTAATTTAGAAGAGTAAGTGCAAAGAGTACTTTTAGGGGCTAGTCATTTATTACCTGTGAGGGCGGGTCATTTATTTTGAGAAAGCTTAGAAGATTTCCAAACAAATCCCTAAATTTAATTCATCCTAGCTTTTTATATAGAAATGACCCCCCATTAATTGTACGTATTGTGAGACTGACTCCCACCCATATTGCTGTGGAAACTACAAAAAAATATTCTAGCTACTAATTACATATTTCATCAACAGTTGTGTCTTTAATACAGTTGAACCTCCAGGTGCGACCACCTATCCAAAAGATCAAAACATTCCCAGTCGAAGCCTTCCAATTGGAACCTCTCGCAAACAACCACCTCCTCTAAACGACTGCGACCACTATTTGGGGCTTACGGTTGAATAATTTTCCATTGTTTTTAACCTCTTGTTAGCGATCACTGGATGAATTGTCTTATCTCTTATGTTTGCTGTGTGTACTATGCTACTTGGGATATACAAAAAATTTTAATTCAACATGGAACTACACATTTTGTAACTTAGAGATTGCATACAAGACCCATACAATAAATCATTTTCCATAAAGTAGATGTGTCCGTACCTCTTTTTGGAAGAGACCCCTGTGGTTTGATTCTTGTAAGAGACCACCTCCCATAAGGGACCACTCAGTCTTCGCATCTTAGGAGGTTGCTTATGGGAGGTTCAACTGTATCAATGTTTACTACTGATGTTACATTCAATTTCAATATTCACGCTCAGTATAGACTATGAGCAGTCTCTCTTTTTTCTGTAGTCCGTCGAGCAAAACGCGAGACACGCAAATGGCCATGCGCATAACTGATGGCGCAAGATGGGAGAGGCACGAAAAAAGAGAGTCTCTCTTTTTCTTCTTGAGCTGCCGCCCCTCGTTTCGCACGTCTCGCAGCTTCGCCGCTTGCGCGCGCGTGCACTCCCCTTACTAAATCTGAAGAAAAAGAGAGACTGTTCTCAGTCTACGCTGAGTATTGCTTTGTATTACTTTTATAAAAATTATTGAAATACTCCTCTCAGGTAACACTTTCTTATCTGAAAATGACCCCCCAAAGCGCCCCCCCCTCCCAACAAAATGTTAGCCCTCCATCACAGGAATTACAGTATACAACCAGCCCTCTGTGCTAGAAGTCGGTGGAAGGGGGAGGGGTACTCCACAGTCAGTGATGGGGTCACCAGTCACAGTTCACAAGTGCAGGTTAGAATACAGGTCACTGTGCTACAGTAAATAAATAACACTAAAAGGTGTCCCCTAGGGCTAATCGTAATCAAATATTAAATTCTAGATTGAGGTGAAACTGCTTTTTAATACAACTGAACCTCCGTGTGCAACCACTGCCCATAAGTGACTGTCGATCAAGCCAAAACTCCAAAATTTTCCCAGTCAAAGCCTTACAGCTGGAGCCTCTAGTAAATGACCACCTCCTGTAAGCAACTGTGACCACTTTTTGGGCCTGATGGTAAATGATTTTCCATTGTTTTTAACCTCTTGTAAGCGACCACTTCACGCCTTCTCTGGTCTCTATTTTCGCTGTGTGCATTATGTTGAGGGGAACATGGGGGCCTACAGTATTGTTGTATTGAGCTTTTTTTCAAACAGTATTAACGGTAAAAGAAGATTCTTCACGGTATTGTGGTACTGTTCATTGCACTATCCTGTCTAATGCACATCAGTATTTTTAAGACTTAAGATTAATGGTAAATAATTTCCCCATTTTCTGACAGTTACATGTACACGGTATTTCCTTCAGGTACATTTACATTCCAGTGTAAAAGACTAACTACCTAACTAAACTAGAAATTCTAAAGATAAAAACTAAAATAATAAAGATGAAAATCAAACACCTGCTTTTCAAGGAGGCTGTTTGTAAAAATAACATATTGCTAATTTAAATTATTTCACATCGAAATTAAGGTCCCTTAATTTTCCCTTAAATACATTGGGGAATGTCAATTGCCGCACCTCCAGAGGCAAGCTGTTCTGTAACACACTTCCGCTATAAGAAGACTTCTTTTATACAATTTAGTGCGGGGTTGTGGAACAGCGAGCTTGTATTCATTCTCTCTAAGGTTATAACAAGTTAAATTACAGGGATGAACAAAACGCAAAGTCAGATATGCTGGAGCTGTGTTATTTACAATGCTATACATCATTATTGCTTTTCTACCTATGCGCTGATGGACAAGTTTCGACCACTTCAAATTTTGAAACAATTCACTTGTATTGCAGTCATAATTAGAGAAAGTTAGAACGTGAGCGGCGCAATTCTGCAATTTCTGCGATTTAGAAGATAGTTTCTTAGAACAGTTTCCCCATACTCCATCACAGTAATCAAAGTGTGGCTTTACCAGTGAATTGTATATGTTGAGTAGAATCTCAAAAGAAAGAAAATACCTAATACGCTTAATAGCACTTACGCCAGAAGCAATCTCCTTAGAGATTTCATTAATATGACACTCCCAAGAAAGATTTCCATCAATGTGAACACAAAGTGATTTTGAAGTCGACACTTGTACGGCATCCTTTTCTGTCATAATTTGTACTGATCAATTTGAGGTCTTCTCACATTTTTCTCACAATGGCTGAGGTTGATTGCTGGTGCATTAAACTCATCGCTAATGATGAGCTTGGGAGCAGGTGCCTTAAAGGTTAGTAGGGGGGCAAATGCAATAAGCAGAGAGGAGGTATCCATGGCAACCCTGGAAGCGGGAACCACCCCAACAGCAGCCACTAACCAGCACCGTCACACTGAATAAATTCAGTGGAGATACTTACCTAAGAGAATACTTACCTCAGAAAATACTTACCAAACCACCAAGCAGGGAGGGAGGAGAGGGAGCAAGAATCCGCAATGATTCACAAGTAGGCAAAAATTGATCCGCAACAATCAGTAAGCAAAGCTACAATGCAAAGCAACACTAGCAAAGGGTACACAAGGAGCCCTGCAATTCCCCGCGGGCCGCCCCGTAGGTCACATACTGAAGTGGGAGAAGACCGCTGGCCAGCTCGCTCGAGTTTATGATGATATTTAGCCACATTAAATGCTTGAGATAAACAAACACACGAGATGAATAGAACTTTAAGCAAGCGGTACCGATCATAAATGTGGTATCGGTATTTTGTTGATTTTCAACATGGTATTTTGGCATTTGCCAATTGTGCCTATGGTACTGCGGTATTGGGTACCTTCCAATGTCTCCCCCTACATTACTTACTAAGAAGTTTAGGGACAACATGGAACTATACACATATCCTAACTTAGACATTACATGCAATAAAATTATCTCCCATAAAGTAGATGGACCTCTTCCAAGTGACCACTTAGTCTTTGCATCTTAGGTGGTCGCTTACCAGAGGTTCGACTGTATGCCATTTATGGGTGTCCGGAAGGTCTTAGATCTTAGGACTTAGTTTTCCGGACACCTGCACTTGTGACCTGTGGGATCCTAGTGACCTGTGTTTTGTACTGGACCGACTGATGTCAAGAAATACATGCAAAAAACCCGTTTAGCCATTCGAATAATTAACTGTATATATTTTAATTAAGTGAAGGAATGGTAGACGAATTTATTCTACGAACTCAGTAAAGCCTACCTTAAATTTAAAGACCAGGCCAACAGACTTTGCGCTGCTTTTTGAGCTTGTTTCCCGCTGTCGAAGTAGCACATTTCCATTCATGTAAATCAGCCAAACGACGACCAACAAACCCACCCATACTTGGCCATTTTTAAAGTGCAGAGCAGCATGCCATTTTACGGGCAATATTACGGGCGCCATCTTGGTTTCTTCTTGGTCCCAGGCTTCACTCAGGTGGAGGTTGGGTGGGGTCGTGACCTCATGTTATGAGCTACAGTAAACAATCAAAACACAATGTGCGTTGTTTTCACTAATACCTCATCAATGAAAAGTCGATGATTCTTGTAAGACTCTAAAAGCAAACCGAATTTGGTTGTAGTATTACGTTAGTAATTACCAAAAATATGAAAGTTCTCAAGGGCTGGTATTTTGTTACAAAAAAAAAATCAAATAGTCCTCTAGGATTAAACTTCAAATAAATTAAAAACACATTCATCAGATTTCATTGCAAGTGTGTAGTACGTCCATTCTTTTTATTCAGAACCATTGTTGACAGCGGGCTATATGTACTATATTGACATTTGAAATGAGACGAGATGACAATGATGTTGGTGGTGATGATGGTAACATGATAACGATAATGAAGATGTAATTATGGTGTTGATAATGTTGGTGACTGATAAACATTATGATGATGATGATGGTAGTGGTGGTGGTGGTGGTGGCGATTATGACGATGATAACGATGACGACAATGATGATGATGATGATGATGATGACGACGACGACGATGATGATGTTGATGATGATGACGACGACCACGATGATGATGTTGATGATGATGACGAAAACGACGGCTACAATGACGACGACGACGACGACGACGACGATGATGATGATGATGATGATGATGATGATGAAGATTATTTAACAATAAGTCGCCTCAGGCTACGTGAATATCGGCGAATAGTCACCTCGACTTCGTCTCGCTGAATATTCGCCGATATTCACGTAGCCTGAGGCGAATAATTGTTTTAGTATAATTACATTGATGATTATTCGAGAAAATAAAATTATTGGTCAATTTCCGACTCCGACACATCAACAAATCTGGCTGCCATTTTGAAAACTGCTACCTTTCAATGTTATAATCGTCGCATAGGGATTATAGTGAGATGAAGCAAAGCTCCTACCCAATCATGGCGCTCTATTTTCGATAATCATCAATGTAACTAATTATACTAAACCTGGATAGGTAAAACTGTTTACTTTTCGTCCTGAACAACCTGAGAGACCAAAATCTGCTCTTTACACCGCTAGATCAAGACGGTGAACATTTCCCGTCTCTTTTTTATGGGACTCCCCCAGAAGTCTTTATTATAACACTTCAAGAAGTTGTTATTTCATAGGTAGACATATTAAATTCTGCAAGCAGAATACTGCAATGCTGATCCCAGTACGTGAAAATTAACTACCGTGTGGCACGAAGTTTTTGGGGAGTTTATTTTTGCGGATTAGCGACTTTTTGTTTAGCCACAGGGCGCCCACACAATCTGTTTGTGTAGCCGATTGTTATTTTATAGTAAATGTACTGGATTTACCGTTTGCTTCACCTATAGCGATATATCGCTAACTATGTATATAAATCAATGATAAATAAACGTTGAATTACCTTACCTGTGGTGTATAGTCGTCCTTTTGCCTCAAAAGCGTTTTTTTGAGAGATTTTGAATGAATTTGAGTTCGCCGTTGACTGTTTCTATAAAAGGAACAGTCAACGGCGAACTCAAATTCATTCAAAATCTCTCAAAAAACCGCTTTTGAGGCAAAAGGACGACTATACACCACAGGTAAGGTAATTCAAAGTTTATTTATCATTGATTTATATACATAGTTAGCGATATATCGCTATAGGTGAAGCAAACGGTAAATCCAGTACATTTACTATAGCTTACTATAAAATAACAATCGGCTACACAAACAGATTGTGTGGGTTCCCTGTGGTTTAGCCAGCGCAGACGTATTTCCGGAAATACGTCTGCGCTTCGCAGGCTACTTTTTGTGTTTTGTGGGACTAAATTTTTGCGATTAGGACAGATTGGTTTTTCTTGCTGGGAATTAATTTTTGCGATTTTCAGGAAACACAGACTGTACCCAGTACCCAGCATTGGCAATATTTTCGTTTTTTATTGAGTACGTGCAATACAAATACATCTTTTCAAACAATTTTAAACCAGTGTTTCACTGTATACCGTTTTTTTTTCTGAATGAATGAGACAAGTTGTGATTGAACAGATACGATTTCTCAGTACTGTATTTTTGTGTAGCGGATTTAAGCTAGAGGATATTTAATCTGGAGCAAATTTTGTCGATAGCTTTCTGAAATAGTGTGACATTGTTTTTGTTTTTTATTACTTTGCCATTGCGTTACTAGACGCTGTCAAGTTAACCATTTTTTGATCGGATTACAGGTAATTCGCTTTTAGGCTTTTATAGAATGATGTATCAAGTCAATCAACGTTGTCGGTTCTTATCGTGAACAGGAACAATGAACAGATGTTACTGATGTATTTTAGGTTTGCATGCTCACGTGATATATTCAGATGTAATCAGCTTTTGTACGGAACGGGTCCTTTTTGGAAATACAGTAGATCACTTTCGAAGGAGTTGGATTTATTACTCATTCTCAACACATTTTTGCGGGAAAAATGTTTGCGGTAATTTTTATTCGCGGGAACTTATATTTTTGTGGATCGCTGGAAATCGCAAAAATTAGAACCCGCAAGAATTTCGTGCCACATAGTAGGTAGATACATCGTATCTTGTGTAACGCTGCAAAGTTTACGGTACTCCGCGCAATAAATTTAAATTCGATTTGCATCTTTTTAAGCTGTGGTTTTTGCTCAATCGTGATTTAGAAAAGACAAATTAAAAAAAGACGTCATTTTTTCATTGATTAACCACTATTTTGTTGTCGAGTTTCAAAATGATGGTCAATGTTATATACGTTACTCACGCGCTGAAGCTGGCGCGACAAGCACTCTGACAAAAGCCTTCTATGATTGGTTCGAAGGCCTTTCTGTCAGATGGCTTAAAGGCTTACGATAGAGCTAGAAACACGGAAACACAAAGACTGTTGAGTGCGGAATGCCCCAAAGGTCATTAGAATATTTTTTTTGAAGTAATTTGAAAAAAGATAGTGGATCTAAACAACTACAAGTTGAAATCGGTTTGAAATATATGTATACTGGTTCAATGCATGCACCCGCTTTCCATCAACAGCTTCCTAACTGAAATGTATTAACGACTTAGCTCCAGATTTCCGGGAATCATAAACCACAAAAATAATAACAAGGGTAAGCTTCTCACAACGAGGCTCTTTGATTGGTTCATTCTCCTTTGACATTCCGAGAAAAGCTAAACAGACGATCACAAGACTTCATTGTTCAGTGTGAACTGCTTCAAGGGTCACAGCTCACTTGTTGTTGACGACATCATGGACCTTACAACTTTGTTTTACAATCTTCGTGAAGAAGTGTCTTGTTCGGTGTGTTCGGACTTATTCACGGATCCAAAACATCTCTCCTGTCTGCACAGTTTCTGCTTAAAGTGTTTGAAAGGATGGTACGAAACGTGCGGGGGCGGAGACGCCATTAGATGTCCGAAGTGCCAAACCTTCAGTCAAGTTCCCTCAAGCGGTGATCTTAAAGATCTTCCGACCAGCTTTTATCTTAACGGCTTAATCGATGTTCTTGCCATTAAAGAATGCAGCAAGACTCAAGTCAAATGCGGAAACTGTGACCAGAAAACTTCGGTAGCATCGTATTGTTTCCAGTGTTGCATATTTTATTGTGAAGAATGCTTAGTCGGTCATAACATAATGCGAGACAAGAAGGAGCATCGCGTTTTGGCCGTAAAAGAGTTCCAAGACAAGGACTATGAGGATGTATTGAAACGACCAATATTCTGTTCAAGACAAGGACATCAAAAAAAGAAGCTAAAACTATTTTGCAAGGAATGTGAGACGGCAGTTTGTCAAACTTGCGTCATGCTAGATCACAAAGTTCATAAGTTAACGCTGATTGAGGATGAAGCTTCGAATCAAAGACTTGAGATAAAAACTGTTATCGAAACACAACGACACAACTTAGACGAAAAAATGAACGTTGTCGCTAAGCTAGATGAAGATAATGCTAAAGTGATTCAACAGAACGAAAATTTGAAGGGCGATGTCCAAAGGTTTGCTGATGGGTTGATAAAAACAATTCAAGCAAAAATGCAAAATGTTATTGACGGGATAGAAAACCAAACGAAGAAGTCACTTGAAAGATTAACAGCAAAAAGGGGTGAGATTCAGCAACAGATAAATGTTATTAAATCATCGCTGGAGGAAGCTGATAAACTTCTAAAACGAAGCACCACCGCGGAAGTCGTTCAGCTTAAAAAAACACTGCAAACAATCTTTCAGGGCGTGGATGAGACAGAGCCTTCTGTTCATGACCGCAGCAGTCTGCAGGAGTTTGTTTTCGTAGAAAATCAGAAGATGCTTGATGTCGTCAACGGCGAAGAAATTGGATTCTTGGAAGAAGGTTACCGAACAAAAGCAAAAGAATCACTGGCTAAAGGCAAAGGACTGAAAGAAGGAACTGTTGGGCGTAAAGCTCAATTCAATTTGATCACAAGAAACGCACAGAGAAAAAAGGTGTATAATGAAGAGGACCGTGTAACGGTAGAGATCAAGGAAGAGCAAGAACAAGAATGCGTTAAGGAATTAAGAATAAATGATAACAAGGATGGAATCTACAACATCAGTTATTTTCCCAGAGTTCAAGGGACAATAAAGTTATTAGTTAAGGTAAACGGGGAACATATTCATGGTGGCCCTTTTGCTGTGATTGTAAAACCATTTCAAGTCAAACCTGTTTTATGTCTTGGAGAGCAAGGCTCGGGTGAGGGAATGTTTCAGCATCCTTATGGGGTGGCTGTGAGTGATAGGGACGAAATAGTAGTAGCTGATCGAGGCAACCATCGGGTTCAAGTGTTTGACAGTAATGGGACTTTCTTAAGATTCTTTGGCCGCGAAGGTAAAAATGCTGGAGAGTTCAACTTCTCTGTTGGAGTAGCCATTAATAAGGACAGGAACATTTTCGTGGCAGACAGGAACAACCACAGAATACAGATCTTTAGTTGGGAGGGGAGGCATCTGGATTCATTTGGCGGCAAAGGAAGCCTTGATAGTCAGCTCATCTACCCTTGGGGTTTATCCTTAGATAGTACTGGTAATGTTATTGTTGCTGATAAAGGTAACAAACTGATTAAGATCTTTACCCCGGATGGTAAGTTTGTAAAGAAGATAGGCGTGCAGGGTTCTTTTACTTTTCCTATTCACTGTGTTCAGTGTGGTGATTATCTCATAGTGTCAGACTCACATGAACATTGTATCAAAGTATTTAACAGGGAGGGTCATTTTCAGTACAAGTTTGGTAAGCAGGGGGAGGGGGACGGGGAGTTTAATTATCCACGTTTTCTGTCAGTGACTCGGTCAAAGCGCCTGTTGGTTTGTGACGAGTATAATCATAGAATACAAGTCTTTGATGTAGATGGGAAGTTTGTAGGAAAATTCGGTACAAATGGCAGCAAATTAGGAGAATTTAATAATCCATTCTCAGTAGCTATTCTAAGTAGTGATCAAATTGTGGTGTCTGAGTACAATAATAATCGAATTCAAATATATGAATGACATCTGACCAGTTTTCCTAATAATAATTGCAAGCATCACCAGTAGTCTTTTTCTAATTTCTAAGTGTAGTAGGATTACGTGATTACAATCATTATTTTAAAGTTTCTTAGAATCAAACGTTGTGTTAAGTTTCGGTCAGTTTATGAATTGTTTTCTTGTAAGGAAGACAATCAGGGTTTTCTTGCATTCATATACCAAGTATTGCCCTTAGCGACGGATTACGATGTACCTACTCGTTTTCAGGAGTCCCGAGCACTGTCCTTACGCTTTGCGCTTTGCGCATAGCATCTCGGGAAGGGTGCTCTGTCACCAATCATTGGCGCCTCGCGTTTTGCATCCTTCCCATGACGCTTGGCCCTGCAAAATAAGCCGAACACAAATCCAAGTATATTCTGTGGCCAAATATAGATCCCATCTTAGTCACTTTTGGGAAAATTTCATTTTCGCTCTCCCATTTTAGTAACTTTCTGTTTAGGCATCTACCTTTTAAAACCTTTTAACTAGGTCATCGTGAAATGAATTGACACATTGGTTTAACTTAACGACAATATGGGCATAATGTAGAAACGTATAACAATATAGATAAGCGTAGCCACTCTGTAATACAAAAAAAAAAAGGGAAATAAATTTTTTACCTCTTAAGTAACCCTGTGTGATATGCACTTATTTGTCTAATCATGCCAATTTAGAGATATCAAAATATAAGTAATCCGTTCTACTATGCTTGGAACCTGACAATGCCCAACAATAATGCAAGTCGCTTACATTCCAAGCACTAGCTAGTAATTGTACAACTCTTTATGTTTCAATTTATTCCCTAAGACAATCTATTTTTCTTTTCGTTTGCAATCTTTTCCGTATTTCTGCTTTGACTCGGTAGGTTGATGTAAAAAAAATAGCTGAGATCAAAATTCATGAAAAACAGTCTGGAAGTAGGAAAGGCGGACTGAGGTGTTTTTAAAAATATTAGCTTCTTTTGAGTGCCTCCTGCGATTAATTATCTTATTTAATAAGTCGTTTACCTTAAGTGTTGCACGTAGAAAGCAACCCAAATTGTTGACGTCTTCTTTGGTACGAGAAGTGCAATGAAAACGTTCTAAGCCCGATCCATTTTTTTTCGGATTTTCCCTAGATCGTAAGTGCTTTCATGACATTGTAAAGGTTGTTTTTCACTGACGTAGGAGTCCTGGAGAGGGGGAGAGGGTACTCCCTTTAACGGCCTATACGTGGAGGCTCCGCCTGAAAGGGGGAACGTCAACGATCGTGGAAACGTTTGAGCTGGCCTCTTAAACCCTTTAAGCCCCAAAATCAACATACAAATTCTCCAAATTGGTCTCTATACATTTTCATATTGAACACGTTGGGAGAATTTGGTAGAGGATCAAAGCATTATCCCTTCGGTGATTATTTCATTAATTCTCACAACCTTTTCTCTTGATTGTGTATTGATGTTGTTGGAGAAAATTGATGTTTGTCATTTTTGGGACTTGAGAGGTTAATGTCTTTCACGAATCGATATATCGTTTCTGTTGCCTTTATCATGCTTACTACTCACAAATTACTAGACAACGCGTAGTATTAAAATTTAAATTGCATCTTTTAAAGCTGTGGTTTCACGCTCTGATCGTGCTTTAGAAATGCTTCACAGATTTCACTTTGTTGTTAACCATTGTTTTGTAACCAGGTTTCAAAATGATTGTCATTTACGGTAGTCACGCGCTGAAGCTGGCGCGACAGGGACTCTAACAGCAGCGTTCCGTGATTGGTTCCTTAGAAGATAAAAAGCTACAACGCTTGATTGTCTGGTGCATATTTGCCACTCAGGTCATAATGCATCTGAAGTAAGTCTAATTGTTACTGGATCTTACAATTATTTTCAATCCTACCAAGAGAGTATCTGTTTAAATTTGAAATATCATCCAGTTCACGCATTTTATCGCACAGATCTTAACCCGGGGGATTTCATTTCTGGGAATCATAAACCACGAAAACAATAACAACCCTCTCATAACGACGCTCTTTGATTGGTTCATTCTCTTTTGATATTCCGAAACGCTAAACATATAGACAATCACAAGACTTCATTGTTCAGTATGAACTGCTTCGAGGGTCACGGCTCACTTGTGGTTGACGACATCATGGACCTTACAACTTTGTTTCACAATCTTCGTGAAGAAGTGTCTTGTTCGGTGTGTTCGGACTTATTTACCGATCCTAAACATCTCTCCTGTCTGCACAGTTTCTGCTTAAAGTGTTTGAAAGGATGGTACGAAACGTGCGGCGGCGGAGACGCCATTAGATGTCCGAAGTGCCAAACCTTCAGTCAAGCTCCCGCAAGCGGTGATCTTAAAGATCTTCCAACAAGCTTTTATCTTAACGGCTTGATCGATGTTCTTGCCATTAAAGAATGCAGCGAGTCTCAAGTCAAATGCGGAAACTGTGACCAGAAAACTTCGGTAGCATCGTATTGTTTCCAGTGTTGCATATTTTATTGTGAAGAATGCTTAATCGGTCATAACATCATGCGAGACAAAAAGGAACATCGCGTTTTGGCTGTAAAAGAGTTTCAAGACAAGGACTACGAGGATGTATTGAAGAGACCAGTATTTTGTTCAAGACAAGGACACCAGAAGAAGAAACTCAAATTATTTTGCAAGGAATGCGAGACGGCCGTTTGTCAAACTTGTGTCATGCTAGATCACAATGGTCATAAGTTAACGCTGATTGAGGAAGAAGCTGAGAATCAAAGACCCGAGATAAAAACTGTTATTGAAACACAACGACATAACTTAGACGAAAAAATGAATGTAGTCGCTCAGCTAGATAAAGATTACGCCAAAGTGATTCAGCAGAGCGAAACTTTGAAGGGCAATGTCCAAAGGTTTGCTGATAGGTTGATAAAAACAATTCGAGCAAAAATGCAAAATGTTATTGACGCGATTGAAAACCAAACGAAGAAGTCACTTGAAAGTTTAACAGCAAAAAGACGTGAAATTCATCGTCAGATAAAGATTATTGAATCATCACTAGAGGAAGCTGCTAAACTTTTAAAACGAAGCACCACCGCGGAAATTGTTCAGCTTAAAAAAACACTCCAAACAATCTTTCGGGAAGTGAATGAGACAGAGGCTATTGTTCATGATGCCAGAACTCTGCAAACTTTTGCTTTTGTAGAAAATGAAAAGATGCATGATATTGTGAACAGCGAAGATATTGGATTCTTGGAAGGACCCGCTTATAGAACAAAAGCCCGTGAATCTTTGGCTGAAGGTAAAGGACTGAAAGAAGGAACTGTTGGACGTAAAGCTGAATTCAATTTGACCACAAGAAACGCAGAGAGAAAGCAGGGGTACGATCAAGGGGACCGTGTAACGGTAGAGATCACGGACGAGCCAGGACAAGAAAGCGTGACGGAAGTAAGAATAGATGATAACAAGGATGGAATCTACAACATCAGTTATTTTCCCGGAGTTCAAGGGACAATAAAGTTGTTAGTTAAGGTAAACGGGGAACATATTCATGGTGGCCCTTTTGCTGTGACTGTAAAACCATTTCAAGTCAAACCTGTTTTATGTATTGGAAAGAAAGGCTCGGGTGAAGGAATGTTAATTGGACCTATGGGGGTGGCAGTTACTGCTAAAGATGAAGTAGTAGTAGCTGACAACCAAAACCATCGGTTTCAAGTGTTTGACAGTAATGGTACTTTCTTAAGATCCATTGGTCATAAAGGTGAAAATGTTGGAGAGTTTAAGAATCCTACAGGAATTGCCATTGATAAGGATAGAAATATTCTCGTGTCAGAGTGTTATAACCACAGAGTACAGATCTTAAGTTGGAAGGGGAAGCACCTGGGTTCATTTGGCAGCAAAGGAAACCTTGATAGACAGCTCCTTAACCCTTGGGGTTTATCCTTAGATAGTACTGGTAATGTTATTGTTGCTGATAGAGGGAACAAACTGATTAAGATCTTTACCCCGGATGGTAGGTTTGTAATGAAGATAGGTGGACAGGGTTCTTTAGATAAACCTGTTCACTGTGTTCAGTGTGGTGAATATTTCATAGTGTCAGACTCAGGTGAACACTGTATCAAAGTATTTAACAGGGAGGGGCATTTTCAGTACAAGTTTGGTAAGCAGGGGGAGGGGGACGGAGAGTTTAATTATCTACGTTTTCTGTCAGTAACTCAGCCAAAGCACCTGTTGGTTTGCGATTGTTTTAATCATAGAATACAAGTCTTTGAACTAGATGGAACGTTTGTTGGAAAATTCGCTACTTATGGCAGCAAATTAGGAGAATTTATTGAGCCATTCTCGGTAGCTGCTCTAAGTAATGACCAAATTGTGGTGTCTGATTACAAAAATAATCGAATTCAAATATTTGAATGACATCTGACTATGCAGTTTTCCTAAGAATAATGGCAAGCATCAGCAATTGTCTTTTTTCTAATTTCTAAGTGTAGTAGAATTACGTCATTACAATAATTATTTTTCAATTTCTTAGAAACAAACGTTTTGTTCAGTTTAGGTCACTGTATGAATTGTTTTCTTGTAAGCAAGACAATCAGCGTTTTCTCGCATTCATATATCAAGTATCGCCCTTAGCGAAGGATTACGATGTACTTACTCGTTTTCAGGCGTCCCAAGCACTGTTCTTACGCTTTGCGCTTCAGTTACACATGGTATCTCGGAAAGGGTGCTCTGTCACCAATCATTGGCGCCTCGCGTTTTGCATCCTTCCCATGACGCTTGGCCCTGCAAAATGAGCCGAACACAAATCCAAGTATCTTCTGTGGCCAAATATAGACCCCATCACTTTTGAGAAAATTTAATTTTCACTATCCCATTTTAGTAACTTTCTGTTTAGGCATCTACCTTTTAAAACCTTTTAACTAATGACACGTTGGCATTGACACATTGGTTTAACTAAACCACAATATGGGCATAATGTAGAAACGTATAACAATATAGATAAGCGTAGCCACTCTGTAATAGAAAAAAAGGCCGGAAAATAAATATTTTATCTCTTTAGTAACCCTGTGTGATATGCAATTGTTTGTCTAATCATTCCAATACAGAGATATTAAATATAAGTAATCCATTCTACTAGGCTTGAGAACATGACAATGCCCAACAATAATGCAAGTTGCTTACATTCCAAGCGCTAGGTAGTAATTGTACAACTCTTTATGTTTCAATTTATTCGCTAAGGCAATATATTGTTTTTTCGCTTACAGTCGTTCCCCTAATTCTGCTTTGGCTCGGTGGGTTGATGTAAAAAAGTAGTTGAGATCAAAATTCATGAAAAACAGACTGGAAGTAGGAGAGGCAGACTGAGGTGTTTTTAAAAATATTAGCTTCTTTTGAGCGCGTCCTGCGATTAATTATCTCATTTAACACTTCGTTGCACGTAGAAAGCAACCTATTGTTTAAGTCTTCTTGGTACGTGAAATGCAATGAAAACGTTCTAGGCCGTGAGAAAAACGTTCTTCCCGTAAGAGTCGAATTGAAAGCATTGAACGTCGAAGTCAGAAAGTCATTGGTGGAAATTATCAAGTTCAGACAGTGGAGAGTTTAATAAAGAGGCAGTCCTGCCAGCTTGTGTTTGATTGTCTTCAGGATAACGTCTGTACCCTTTTTAAAGGATATTTTATAAAAATTGAACACAACATTAACACTAGAAACAATGGGTGTTCACGAAAACTTCCCAAAGCCAAATTAGAATTTGGACGGAGAAGTTTTGCCTTTCAAGGGGCTCTAGTTTTTAATACTTTACCTCGGCATTTAAGAACTGTAAATTCTAGGTTTCTTTTTAAGAGTAATTTAAAACAATTTTTTCAATAGTATTCCATAATTCATAACTCTTTTCAGTCTTGTAAGTCGATGATTTTTACAGTTCTGTACCCCTTTTAAAGGATATTTTACAAAAATTGAACACAACATTAACACTAGAAACAATGGGTGTTCACTAAAACTTCCCAAAGCCAAATTAGAATTGGGACGGAGAAGTTTTGTCTTTCAAGGGGCTCTAGTTTATAATACTTTACCTCGGCATTCAAGAAATTTAAATTCTAGGTTTCCTTTTAAGAGTAATTTAAAAGAATTTTTTCAATAGTATTCCATAATTCACAACTCTTTTCAGTTTTGTTAGTCGATGATTTTTACAGATTTTGATTTGTAAATCTTAGATTTTTTAGTGTTATTTTATTTTCCTTCTTCGATTTTATTTTTTATTTTTTAGCTATTTATGAGATAATTACAGGACCCTTTTGATAACAGTTCTTTTTATTAGAACTGATAGGTTATCCTGTATAAATATTCGCGTTATTATTATTATTATTATTATTATTATTATTATTATTATTGCCCGATCCATTTATTGCGGATTTTCACTAGATCGTAAGTGTTTTCATGACATTGTAAAGGTTGTTTTTTAACAGACGTAGGAGTCCTGGAAAGGGGGAGAGGGTACTCCCTATAATTGCCTATACGGGGAGGTTCCGCCCGAAAGGGGTTACCTTCTGTAGGCTTAAGCCCAAAAGACTAGGGATTTCACTAGTTGTAGTATATAAATTGGTAGGGAAAGCTGTTCGGTCCGTAAAAGGACTTAAAAGGGCTGACAGAAAGATTTTGTGGCTGTGGGGGAGACAAGAAAACTTCCTGGTTTAGTGAATACTGGCCTCCCCCTGGCGGGGGTAAGAGTCAGAATCAGACAATGTTAGTTATTGTCAAAGAATAAAGCAGCTGTACTTAATTAGAGAGCGACAATATTCGGTCTCTGTTGGTTTTTTGTGAACGTCAACGTTCCTGGAAACGTTCGAGCTGGCCTCTTTAACCCTTTACGCCCCAAAATCAACATACAAATTCTCCAAATTGGTCTCTATACATTTTCATATTGAATACGTTGAGAGAATTTGGCAGAAGATCAAATTATTAGCCTGTCTCTTTGGTGTTTTTTTCATTAATTCTCACAACCTTATCTCTTGATTGTGTATTGATATTGTTCGGTGAAATTTGATGTTTGTCACTTTTGGGAATCAAAGGGTTAATGTCTTTCACAAATCGATCTATCGTTTCTGTTCCCTGATTATGGTTACTTACTACTCACAAATTACTAGACAACGAGTAGTATTAAAATTCAAATTGCATCTTTTAAAGCTGTGGTTTCACGCTCTGATCGTGCTTTAGAAATGCTTCACAGATTTCACTTTGTTGTTAACCATTGTTTTGTATCCAGGTTTCTTAATGATTGTCATTTACGGTACTCACGCGCTGAAGTTGGCGCGACAGGGACTCTAACATAAGCGTTCCGTGATTGGTTCCTTAGAAGATAAAAAGCTACAAAGCTTGATTGAATGGTGCATATTTGTCACTCAGGTCATAATGTATCTGAAGTAAGTCTAATTGTCACTGGATCTTCAATCCTTTTCAATTCTACCAAGAGAGTTTTTATTTAAATTTGCAATACTATCCAGTTCGCGCCTTTTATCACACAGGTCTTACCCCAAGGGAGTTCATTTCTGAGAATCATAAATCACGAAAACAATAATAACCCTCTCACAACGAGCCTTTTTGATTGGTTCATTCTCTTTTGGTATTCCGAGAAACGTTAAACATAGACGATCACAAGACTTCATTGTTCAGTGTAAACTGCTTCAAGGGTCACAGCTCACTTGTTGACGACATCATGGACCTTACAACTTTGTTTTACAATCTTCGTGAAGAAGTGTCTTGTTCGGTGTGTTCGGACCTATTTACGGATCCTAAACACCTCTCCTGTCTGCACAGTTTCTGCTTAAAGTGTTTGAAAGGATGGTACGAAACGTGCGGGGGCGGAGACGCCATTAGATGTCCGAAGTGCCAAACCTTCAGTCAAGTTCCCTCAAGCGGTGATCTTAAAGATCTTCCAACCAGCTTTTATCTTAACGGCTTAATCGATGTTCTTGCCATTAAAGAATGCAGCAAGACTCAAGTCAAATGCGGAAACTGTGACCAGAAAACTTCGGTAGCATCGTATTGTTTCCAGTGTTGCATATTTTATTGTGAAGAATGCTTAGTCGGTCATAACATAATGCGAGACAGGAAGGAGCATCGCGTTTTGGCCGTAAAAGAGTTCCAAGACAAGGACTATGAGGATGTATTGAAACGACCAATATTCTGTTCAAGACAAGGACATCAAAAAAAGAAGCTGAAACTATTTTGCAAGGAATGTGAAACAGCAGTTTGCCAAACTTGCGTCATGCTAGATCACAATGGTCATAAGTTAACGCTGATCGAGGAAGAAGCTGCGAATCAAAGACTCGAGATAAAAACTGTTATCGAAACACAACGACACAACTTAGACGAAAAAATGAACGTTGTCGCTAAGTTAGATGAAGATTATGCTAAAGTGATTCAACAGAACGAAAATTTGAAGGGCGATGTCCAAAGGTTTGCTGATGGGTTGATAAAAACAATTCAAGCAAAAATGCAAAATGTTATTGACGCGATGGAAAACCAAACGAAGAAGTCACTTGAAAGATTAACAGCAAAAAGAGGTGAGATTCAGCATCAGATAAACGTTATTGAATCGTCATTGGAAGAAGCTGATAAACTTCTAAAACGAAGCACCACCGCGGAAGTTGTTCAGCTTAAGAAAGCACTGCAAACAATCTTTCAGGGCGTGGATGAGACAGAGCCTTTTGTTCATGACCGCAGCAGTCTGCAAGAGTTTGTTTTCGTAGAAAATCAGAAGATGCTTGATGTCGTCAACGGTGAAGAAATTGGATTATTGAAAGAACTTTACCGAACAAAAGCAAAAGAATCACTGGCTGATGGTGAAGGACTGAAAGAAGGAACTGTAGCACGTAAAACTCAATTCAATTTGATCACAAGAAGCGCAGAGAAAAAGCAGGGGTATGATGAGAAGGACCGTGTCACGGCAGAGTTCAAGGACGAGCAAAGACAAGAATGCGTGACGGAAGTAAGAATAGATGACAACAAGGATGGAATCTACAACATCAGTTATTTTCCCAGAGTTCAAGGGACAATAAAGTTATTAATTAAGGTAAACGGGGAACATATTCATGGTAGTCCTTTTGCTGTGGTTGTAAAACCATTTCAAGTCAAACCTGTTTTATGTATTGGAAAGAAAGGCTTGGATGAAGGACTGTTAAATAATCCTATGGGAGTGGCGGTGACTGCTAAAGATGAAGTAGTAGTAGCTGACAACCAGAACCATCGGGTTCAAGTGTTTGACAGTAATGGTACTTTCTTAAGATCCTTTGGTTACAGAGGTGAAAATGCTGGAGAGTTTAAGAATCCTACAGGAATTGCCATTGATAAGGATAGAAATATTCTCGTATCAGAGTATCATAACCACAGAGTACAGATCTTAAGTTGGGAGGGGAAGCACCTGGGTTCATTTGGCAGCAAAGGAAGCCTTGATAGTCAGCTCCTTCATCCTTGGGGTTTATCCTTAGATAGTACTGGTAACGTTATTGTTGCTGATACAGATAACAAACTGATTAAGATCTTTACCCCGGATGGAAAGTTTATAATGAAGATAGGTGGACAGGGTTCTTTTAGTTATCCTATTCACTGTGTTCAGTGTGGTGAATATTTCATAGTGTCAGACCACAATGAACATTGTATCAAAGTATTTAGTAGGGAGGGACATTTTCAGTACAAGTTTGGCAAGGAGGGGAAAGGGGACGGGGAGTTTAATCATCCAAATTTTCTATCAGTGACTCAGTCAAAGCACCTGTTGGTTTGTGATGGGAAGAATAATAGAATACAAGTCTTTGAAGTAGATGGCAAGTTTTTAGGAAAATTCGGTACAAATGGCCCCAAAGTAGGAGAATTCAATGAGCCGTTCTCAGTAGCTGTTCTAAGTAATGACCAAATTGTGGTCTCTGATCGCAATAATAATCGAATTCAAATATTTGAATAACATCCGACCGGTTTTCCTAAGAAATATAAATGGAATCACCAGTAGTGTTTTTCTAATTTCTAAGTTTAGTAGGATTCCGTCATTACAATCATTATTTTTAAATTTCTCAGAATCAAACGTTTTGTTAAGTTTAGGTCAGTGTATGAAATGTTTTCTTGTAAGCAAGACAATCAGGGTTTTCTCGTATTCACATATCAAGTATCGTCCTTATAGCGACGGATTACGATGTACCTACTCGTTTTCAGGCGTCCCAAGCACTGTCCTTACGCTTTGCGCTTCAGTTGCACATGGTATCTCGAGAAGGGTGCTCTGTCACCAGTCATTCGCGCCTCGCGTTTTGCATCCTTCTCATGACGCTTGGCCCTGCAAAACAAGCCGAACACAAATCCAAGTCTATTTTGTGGCCAACTAGTAGACCCCATCTTAGTCACTTTTGGGAAAATGTAATTATCGCGATCCCATTTTAGTAACTTTCTCTTTTCTACCTTTTAAAGCCTTTTAACTATAGGTCATCCTGAAATGAATTGACACATTGGTTTAACCCTTTAAGCCCTAAGAGTGATCAGCGTCAAATTTCTCCTTGTAATATCACTGCTTTATAAAACACAGTGGTCATGAGAATTGAGGGCCTGATCACACAAGATGAATCGAATTGATACTTCAACAAATTCTGCCAACTGCTTCTATTGAAAACATATAGGGACAACAAATGAGAATTTGAATTTTGATGCTAGGGTTTAAAGGGTTAACTTATGGAGAAACGTATAACAATATAGATAAGCGTAGCCACTCTGTAATAGAAAAAAAGACTGGGAAATAAATATTCTACCTCTTAAGTAACCCTGTGTGATATGCAGTTATTTGTCTAATCATTCCAATACAGAGATATTAAATATAAGTAATCCATTCTACCATGCTTGGAACCTGACAATGCCCAACAATAATGCAAATCGCTTACATTCCAAGCGCTCGCTAGTAATTGTACAACTCTTTATGTTTCAATTTATTCTTTGAGGCAATCTATTTCTCTTTTCTTTTACGGTCGTTCCCGTATTTCTGCTTTGGCTCGATAGGTTGATGTAAAAAAGTAGTTGAGATCAAAATTCATGAAAAACAGTCTGGAAGTAGGAGAGGCAGACTGAGGTGTTTTTAAAAAAGATTAGCTCCTTTTGAGTGCGTCCTGCGATTAATTATCTCATTTAATACATCGTTTTCCTTAAGTGTTGCACGTTGAAAGCAATCTAAATTGTTGAACTCTTCTTTGGTACGAGAAGTGCAATGAAAACGTTCTAGGCCCGATCGATGTTTTTTCGGATTTTCACTAGATCGTAAGTGCTTTCGTGACATTGTAAAGGTTGTTTTTCACTGACGTAGGAGTCCTGGTGAGGGGAAGAGGGTCACTCCCTATGATGGCCTATACGTGGAAGCTCCGCCCGAAAGGGGTACCTTTTGTAGGCTTAAGCCCAAAGGGGAAGGGATTTCACTAGTTGTAGTATATAAATTGGTAGGGAAAGCTGTTGGGTCCGTAAAAGGACCTAAAAGGGCTCACAGAAGGATTTTGTGGCTGTGGGGGAGACAAGAAAACTTCCTGGTTTAGTGAGTGCTCCCCTTCCCCTGTCGGGGGTAAGAGTCGGAATCAGACAATGTTAGTTATTGTCAAAGAATAAAGCAGCTGTACTTAATTTGAGAGCGAGAACATTCGGTCTCTGTTGGGTTTTTCTTAACGTCAGCGATCCTGGAAACGTTTGAGCTGGCCTCCTTAACCTTTTAAACCCCAATATCGACATAAAAATTCTCCAAACTGGTCTTTATACATTTTCATATTGAATACGTTAGGAGTATTTGGTAGAAGATCAAAGCATTTTCCCTTTGGTGATACTTTTTATTAATTCTCAAAGCTTATCTCTTGATTGTGTATTGATATTGTTAAAGAAAATTGATGTTTGTCACTTTTGGGACTTTCACAAATCGATATATCGTTCCTGTTCCCTTTATCATGCTTACTACTCACAAACTACTAGACAATGCGCAGTATTAAAATTCAAATTGCATCTTTTAAAGCTGTGGTTTGACGCTCTGATCGTGCTTTAGAAAGGCTTCACAGATTTCACTTTGTTATTAACCATTGTTTTGTATTCAGGTTTGAAAAGGATTGTCAATTACGGTACTCACGCGCTGAAGCTGGCGCGACATGGCGGGACACTAACAACAGCGTTCCATGATTGGTTCCTTAGAAGATAAAAAGCTACAAGGCTTGATTGTCTGGTGCATATTTGCTACTCAGGTCATAATGTATCTGAAGTAAGTCTAATTGTTACTGGATCTTACAATAAGTTTCAATCCTACCAAGAGAGTTTCTGTTTAAATTTGAAATATCATCCAGTTCACACTGATCTTAACCCGGGGGATTTCATTTCTGGGAATCATAAACCACGAAAACAATAACAACCCTCTCACAACGAGGCTCTTTGATTAGTTTATTCGCTTTTGAGATTCCGCGACACTGATAAACATAGACGATCACAAGACTTCATTATCCAGTGTTGACTGCTTCAACGGTCACAGCTCACTTGTTGTTGACGACATCATGGACCTTACAACTTTGTTTTACAATCTTCGTGAAGAAGTGTCTTGTTCGGTGTGCTCGGACTTATTTACGGATCCTAAACATCTCTCCTGTCTGCACAGTTTCTGCTTAAAGTGTTTGAAAGGATGGTACGAAACGTGCGGAGGCGGAGACGCCATTAGATGTCCAAAGTGCCAAACCTTCAGTCAAGTTCCCGCAAGCGGTGATTTAAAAGATCTTCCAACCAGCTTTTATCTTAACGGTTTGATCGATGTTCTTGCCATTAAAGAATGCAGCAAGACTCAAGTCAAATGCGGAAACTGCGACCAGAAGACTTCGGTAGCATCGTATTGTTTCCAGTGTTGCATATTTTACTGCGAAGAATGTTTAATCGGTCATAACATCATGCGAGACAAGAAGGAACACCGCGTTTTGGCCGTAAAAGAGTTCCAAGACAAGGACTATGAGGATGTATTGAAGCGACCAATATTCTGTTCAAGACAAGGACATCAAAAAAAGAAGCTGAAATTATTTTGTAAGGAATGTGAAACAGCAGTTTGCCAAACTTGCGTAATGCTCGATCACAATGGTCATAAGTTGACACTCATCGAGGAAGAAGCTGAGAATCAGAGACTCGAGATAAAAACTGTTATCGAAACACAACGACGGAACTTAGACGAAAAAATGAACGTAGTCGCTCAGCTGGATGAAGATTATGCTAAAGTGATTCATCAGGGCCAGTCTTTAAAGGGTAATGTCCAAAAATTTGCTGATGGGTTGATAAAAATAATTCAAGCAAAAACTCAAAATATTATAGCCATGGCAGAAAAACAAACAAAGAAGTCACTTGAAAGTTTAAAAGCAAAAAGAAGCGAGATTCAGCATCAGATAAATGTCACTGAATCATCGTTGGAGGAAGCTGATAAACTTTTAAAACGAAGTACCACCGCGGAAATTGTTCAGCTGAAAAAAACACCGCAAACAATCTTTCAGGGCGTGGATGAGACAGAGCCTATTGTTCATGACCGTAGGAGTCTGAAAGCGTTTGTTTTCGTACAAAATCAGAAGATGCTTGATGTCGTCAACGAGGAAGAAATTGGATTCTTGGAAGAACGTTATGGAGCAAAAGCAAAAGAATCACTGGCTGAAGGTGAAGGACTGAAAGAAGGAACTGTAGCCCGTAAAGCTCAATTCAGTTTGATCACAAGAAACGCCGAGAGAAAGCAGGAGTACGATGAGAGAGACCATGTCACGGTAGAGATCGAGGACGAACAAGAACGAGAATGCGTGACCCAAGTGAAAATAGATGATAACAAAAATGGAATCTACAAAATGACTTATTATCCCCGGATTCAAGGGACAATAAGGTTATTAGTTAAGGTAAACGGGGAACATATTTCTTGTAGTCCTTTTACTGTGATTTTAAAATCATTTCAAGTCAAACCCGTTTTATCTTTTGGAAAGCAAGGCTCGGGTGATGGAATGTTTCAGTGTCCTTATGCGGTGGCTGTGAATGATAGGGACGAAATAGTAGTAGCTGACGCGTTGAATTATCGGTTCAAGTGTTTGACAATAATGGTACTTTCTTAAGATCCTTTGGTCACCAAGGTAAAAATGCTGGAGAGTTCAACTGCCCTGTTGGAGTAGCCATTGATAAGGACAGGAATATTTTTGTGGCAGACAATGGGAACAATAGAATACAGATTCTTAGTTGGGAGGGGAGGCACCTGGGTTCATTTGGCGGCGAAGGAAGCCATGATAGTCAGCTCAATCATCCTTGGGGTTTATCTTTAGATAGTACTGGTAATGTTATTGTTGCTGATACAGGGAACAAGGTGATTAAGATCTTTACTCCGGATGGTAGGTTTGTAATGAAGATAGGTGGGCGGGGTTCTTTTCGTTTACCTGTTCACTGTGCTCAGTGTGGTGAATATTTCATAGTGTCAGACTCACATGAACACTGTATCAAAGTATTTAACAGGGAGGGGCATTTTCAGTACAAGTTTGGTAAGAAGTGGGAAGGAAACGGGGAGTTTAATTTTCCACGTTTTCTGTTAGTGACTCAGTCAAAACAACTGTTGGTTTGTGATTGTTTTAATCATAGAATACAAGTCTTTGAACTAGATGGAAAGTTTGTAGGAAAATTTGGTACAAATGGCAGCAAATTAGGAGAATTTAATCAGCCATTCTCTGTAGCTGTTCTAAGTAATGACCAAATTGTTGTGTCTGAGTACAATAATAATCGAATTCAAATATTTGAATGACATCTTACCAGTTTTCCAAAGAATTATGACAACAGTCTTTCAGCAGTCTTTTTTCTAAGTGTAGTAGGATTACGTCATTACAATCACTATTTTTCAATTTCTTAGAATCAAACGTTTTGTTAAGTTTAGGTGAGTGTACGATTTGCCTTCTTGTAAGCAAGACAATCAGGGTTTTCTCGCATTCACATTTCAAGTATCGCCCTTAGCGACGGATTACGATGTACTTACTCGTTTTCAGGCGTCCAAAGCACTGTCCTTACGCTTTGCGCTGTGCGCATGGCATCTCGGGAAGGGTCCTCTGTCACCAATCATTGGCGCCTCGCGTTTTGCATCCTTCCCATGACGCTTGGCCCTGAAATATAAGCCGAACACAAATCCAAGTCTACTCTGTGGCCAAATATAGACCCCATCTTAGTCACTTTTGGGAAAATTTAATTTTCGCTATCCCATTTTAGTAACTTTCTGTTTAGGCATCTACTTTTAAAGCCTATTAACTGGGTCATCGTGAAATGAATTGACACATTGGTTTAACTTAACGACAATATGGGCATAATGTAGAAACGTATAACAATATAGATAAGCGTAGCCACTCTGTAATAGAAAAGAAGGCCGAGAAATAAACTTTTTACCTTTTAAGTAACCCTGTGTGATATGCAGTTATTTGTTTTGTCATACCAATTCAGAGATATTAAATATAAGTAATCCGTTCTACTATGCTTGGAACCTGACTGTTAAAGCGAAACTTCTAGAACTTAGGGTTTTGTTTGTTTTTTTTTGTTCGCATCTACTTGCAATTAGTTGTAATTGTTTATAGTTTTCTTTTGTTATATTGTTTACTTTCTTTTTGGTGTCACCATCGTTGCGTAATGTTACGTAATCTGTCAAGTTTTTTGGTATAAACTTAGTCTTGTCGGTCAGTGTTTTTTACAGTTTTTATCGGTCAAGAACAGCTCATTCCTTTTAACGTTAAGTCAAGAAACCGTTAAGGTAAATTTTAGTCATACGCCATTTGTACGCTTTTCCGTTTTCTTTGATGTATTTGTTATTTTGTACTGATTTCTACATTTTTCGTAATTTCGTATTCTTTGTATTTTTGGTTGTACAGTACCGTAGGAGTGTGATTTATAAAATAAAGCGGTTGGACACTAATACGCGTGACTTCGGTTACATAGTACTTAACGATCGACTTTGGTAAAAGTTGGCCGCTCTGGTTGGCGACAGATCAAAGGAGTTCCAAGTTGAAATTACCATTAACGATGTCTTCGGTTGGTGAAAGAGACAGCTTGGGACGGACGATTATAGCCTACCGTGGACACATTACGCGGATTATAAATGAATTAGATCCGCTACTCTTGGAGCAAATTGCTTCTAAAGAAGTTGTTGAAAAGCACAGTTCGCTGGTGAGCATATTCGAGAAGCTTAAACGGGCTTGTGCGCAGTGGTATCATTTGTCTGGGGAGCAAGAGGATAGAGAGCGTATTACTCATGACTACGCCAAGGATGTTTATCGAATGCAGATGTTTGAAAACAAATACAAGGAATGGTTAAACGATGTTTACACCCCAATAAGTCGAGGAGTTTACGGTGAAGGAATTGCGAATATTTCTGGGTTTGATTTGAGCTCCAAAACGCCTGTTGTACGATTAGAGGGTGCCTTTCAAGGAACTCAGAATACAAATCCTTCAGTTTCCCGTGCGGGCGCGCGTAGTGATTTGTTGGAAACGAAAACACCTAATGCGACTCAAGATCATGCAAGTGGCGGCGATAAGACGCCAAGTCAATTACACCCAAGGGAAAAGAGTTCTAAAAGAGGAAGTCAGTTATCGGCACGGAATGTCAAGTGTACAATGGCTCAGCTTAAAGTGAAAAGGCTTCTGGCTGAACAAGAGATAAAGGAAAGTGAAATTGCGTTACGACTACAAGAAGAAAACACGCGTTTGTCAGCCGAGAAGGAACGTTTGAACATTCGAAGCGAATTAATGTTAGCCAGGATTGACGCAGAACAGGCTGAGATTGAAGCCAAACTGGGGGAGCAGGTTGATTTTGACTCTGTTTTTTCTTCCGAAGGATCAGTTAGAGGTCACGAGAACGTGAGGAAATATTTGGAAGGATTGTCACTTTCCGCCGTTCCTGGTCAACCGGATGTTGAGAAATGCGTTTTACCGGAAACCAAACCGCACGCTTTACCGGAAGTGAAAGCTGACATACCGGAAGCGAAGAATGTTACTGGAAATAGCACTGACGAAACAACGGTTAAATTTCAAAGGATTATGGAGCAACAGCAGATGTCTATCGATAAAGTTGTTCTTGGACTTGAGAAGTTGGACATGCCAAAGCGGGAATTCTTGTACTTTGATGGCGATCCTTCAAGGTACCCCAGATTTATTAAGAATTTTGAGCTAAACGTGGAATCTTCGATTACAGATGACAATGTAAGGCTATCTTATCTGATCCAGTATTGCACTGGCAAAGCTAAGGAGGCAATTGAAAACTGTGTAATTCTGCCAGGGCCTGAAGGATACAAAGCTGCTCGTGAAATTCTTAGAAAGAATTTTGGACAACGTCATGTCATCATCCGATCGTTCATCGATAAAGTTGTCAAAGGACCACAGCTAAAATCTTCTGATGGAGAGAAACTCTTACAGCTCGCAAGGGACATGCGAATCTGTTTGTTGAATTCTGCGGAATTAAGCTATCAAGCCGATATAAACTCTTTGGACACTCTGAAGAAGATCGTTATGCGTCTTCCTGTGCACATGCAGGCAAAATGGGCGGATGAGTCGGGGAAGATTTTGGAAATGGGTTCTGAGCCAACCTTCTCTCATTTGGCAGACTTTCTCGAAAAAAGGGCTCTGATAGCAAACACTGAGTTCGGGAAGTTAGTTGGATTCAAGCTTGGAGAGTCAAGAGTCACAAAACAACCAAGAAAAGCAGCTGATGGTGATGGTACTGTGCTTGCTTTGACTCAAGTTGAGAAGGATGTTAGTAATCAAGCCAATACAGCCAACAGCAAACGCTCAAATCAGAGGTCAGCAACGGATGGTCAAGTCAAATGCAAGTTTTGCGATGGAAGACATGAATTGGAGAAGTGTTTTAAGTTCCGGGACAAACGATATATTCAAAGGAAGGACTTTGTTAGGAAACAAAATCTGTGTGAAAATTGTTTGAAGCCTAATCACATCGCTAGACGATGCAGGAGTCTTGATGCTTGCTTGCTGAGTGGCTGTAGAGAAAGGCACCATTCCTTGCTGCACCCACCTAATTCATTGAGCGCTCCCATAGCTTCAAATGAGACTTCAAGAACGCGAGGTGATTCTGAAGATCCTGTTACCGGGCCAACAGCGACTCGTGAAGATCTGGCTGAAGCAAGTCCACACCACATCGAGGCCGGGGCGGATTATGCGACAAATGCCGGAAAAAACAGAATTAGTTTGAGGATTGTGCCCGTCCGAGTCTCTGCTAAAGGTGGACGAGAAGTGGAGACATATGCTTTCATTGATGATGGTTCTGACACCACCTTGTGTCTACGACGCCTTCTGGATGAGTTAGGAGTAAGAGGTTCTCCAACGTCATTTTCTTTAACTACCATTAATGCCGAGAGAACCAAACGGTCTGGAGAAGAAGTTAGTCTTACTGTGAGAGCATTGTCGTCAGATGAATGCATACAACTAGATCGTGTGTGGACTGTTGACAAGTTACCTGTCTCAAAGAAAAGCATACCCAGCACCGAAGATATCCGCGATTGGCCGCATCTGCAGGGTATAAGTATACCTAAGCTCGATAAAGAGGTATCCATCTTAATCGGCAATGATGTTCCCGAGGCGCACTGGGTCTTTGAAGAGCGCCGTGGTCGCCGTAAACAGCCTTGCGCTGCACGGACATTACTTGGTTGGACACTTATCGGACCAGTTGGCGGTTCAAGCAACCCTGAAGCGACCGTCAGTTTCTTAAGTGGAGGTCAAGAAACGCTGTCAGCACAAATTGAGCGAATGTACAACGCGGAGTTCGGCGAATCGTCTGCGTCATCTAAAGAAATGATGTCGATTGAAGATAGAAGAGCCCTGGCAATAATGGAACGAACCGTTCAGATGGTCGATGGCCATTATCAGCTCTCCCTTCCTTGGAAGTATGATAATCCGTGCCTACCGAATAACAGACCTATGGCCGAAAAAAGACTAAATCTTCTGAAAAGACGTTTGGAAAAGAACAAAGTTCTCCAAGAGAAGTACAAGGATGCTGTTGAAGATTACATTGCACAAGGTCACGCGAGGAAAGTATCTCTACATCAAGTGCCACGTTCTGTCTGGTATCTTCCCCACCATCCTGTGATACACCCGCAGAAACCTGAGAAGACCAGAGTTGTGTTCGATTGCGCCGCTAAATTTCGCAATACGTCACTCAACGAACAGCTGCTTCAAGGGCCAGATTTAACCAATAATCTCGTCGGAGTACTACTTCGTTTTCGTCAAGAGCAAATAGGTCTTACGGCCGACATAGAGAAGATGTTCCATCAAGTGAGAGTGTCTCCTCAAGACACTTCCGCTCTGTCATTTTTGTGGTGGCCTGGTGGCGATCTTTCTAAAGAAGCAGAAGACCATGAGATGCTTGTTCACCTCTTTGGAGCTAAATCATCTCCTAGCTGTGCAAGTTTTGCATTAAAGAAAACCGCAGAAGACAACAAGACGGACTTCGATGTGGAAACCATCGATACGGTTAATAGGAACTTCTACGTTGATGACTGTGTTAAATCGGTCGCAACAACTGAAGAGGCGGTACGATTAGTTGAGCAGCTGCCAGAATTGTTGAGTAGGGGAGGCTTCCGCTTAACAAAGTGGATCAGTAATCGTCGAGAAATCTTGTCCTCAGTCGCTAAGGAAGACCTAGCACCGTCAGTGAAGAACCTTAACCTAGACTTAGAAGATTTACCGTTAGATCGCGCCCTTGGCATGCAGTGGGACACGGAAGAAGACACCTTTGGGTTTAGGACCATTCCGAATATTACAGCCAACACAAGGAGAGAGATTCTTTCTGTCACCTCATCTCTATATGATCCTCTTGGCCTAGCTGCTCCAGTTATACTTCCAGCTAAGCGACTGCTTCAGAAGTTATGCAAAGACGAGCTTGGTTGGGATGACATAGTCCAAGAAGACGACCTTCTGCAGTGGCAAGATTGGACAAGGGGCATCATTGGTCTTACCGAAGTAGCCATACCACGTTGTGTGAAACCGAGAGATTTTGGCGAGCTCAGTTCCGTCCAGCTGCATCATTTCTCAGATGCCTCGGAAGAGGGATATGGGGCTGTCTCATACCTGCGCTTAACTGATGCGCTTGGTAATATCGCCTGTAGCATCTTACTGGGAAAGGCAAGAGTTGCTCCACTGAAGACTGTGACAGTACCACGACTGGAGTTAACGGCTGCCACAGTCGCTGTAAAGCTTCACAAGCAGATCAAGGAAGAACTCACTTTGCCTATACATGAAGTGACGTTTTGGACTGACTCTACTATTGTCTTGCAGTATATCAACAACAGTCACACAAGATTCCAGACATTCGTCTCCAACCGGCTGGCAACGATCCACGATATCTCTACCCCGTCTCAGTGGCGTCATGTTAGCTCTGATCTGAACCCAGCAGATTACGCGTCTCGTGGGTTTAATTCTCATGAACGTACCAAACTGAAGATTTGGCTCGAGGGACCAAGATTTTTGTTGAAGGACGAAAGCCAGTGGCCAAATCAGCCAACCCAGCTTCCTGAGATTGATGAAAATGACCAGAACGTCAAAAGATCGAAGAAAGTCCAGGCGCATGCTGTTATGCAAGATCAAGGGTTTGACTCGTTGGTTTATCACTACTCTTCGTGGTATGGTTTGAAAAAGGCTCTAGCTTGGCTGAGCCGCTTCAAGAATTACTTGCTGTATCGCACAGGGAAGATTGCAAAAGAAGACGTCAAAAGAGGAGAATTATCCGTCCGCGAAATCCAAAACGCTGAAGTGGAGGTCATTAAGTACGTGCAAAGGCTGTTCTTTCCGAGGGAGTTGAATGCACTGATGACTGAAGCTCAGCAACGCCGTAGTATCTCTAGAGTGTCGGGGAAACGCCTTAGTGACGGTTCGTACGTCAGCCCACTGCGCAAACTCAATCCAATAGCTGATAATGGGTTAATCAGAGTTGGTGGTCGTCTTAATAATGCAGAGGCTATCGATTGTTTCATGAAGCATCCAATAGTTCTACCAACCAAGCATCACGTAACTGACATGATTATTCGCCATTATCATCAGATAGGCCATGTAGGATCAAGTCAAGTTCTTGCTGCAATTAGAAGGAAATTTTGGATTTTGAAAGGTGGTTCAGCCGTCAGACGAGTGGTCAGCAAGTGCATCAAGTGTAGAAGATGGAACTCAAAGCCGGAAGCACAGATTATGGCTCCGCTACCTATGGCTCGCGTCACGCCAGGAGATGCACCGTTCACCGCAGTTGGAATTGACTACTTCGGACCAATGCCAGTCAAGTTGAAGAGAAGTCGAGTTAAACGATATGGGTGCATTTTCACCTGCCTAACAATGCGAGCAGTGCATATTGAGGTCTCTCAAGATTTGACGACTGACTCGTTTCTGATGGCGTTTTCAAGATTTGTCAGTAGGCGCGGTGCACCAACAGAAGTTTACAGCGATAATGGTACCAACTTTAAAGGAGCAGAATGTGAGTTGAAGAAAGCTCTTAAAATGTGGAATCAATCACGCATCACAGAGAGTTTACGCAAGCGCAGTATTCAATGGTACTTCAACCCCCCACAAGCAAGTCACCAAGGAGGGGTCTGGGAGAGAATGATTCGCTCTGTTCGCAAGATACTGCGCGCTCTCCTGGGAAACCAAATAGTCAATGACGAGACCCTTCTCACTGTTATGGCCGAGGTAGAGAAAATCCTGAACGACCGCCCACTCACAAGATTAAGCGAAGATCCAAATGACTTGGAACCATTAACGCCGAATCATCTTTTGTTGTCTCACCGTAATGCATGTGTTGCCCCTGGTAACTTCTCCACTGCGTCCACAGACAAGTACAAAAAATGCTGGAGACAAGCACAATACCTGAGTAACATCTTTTGGAGAAGATGGGTAGATGAATACTTGTTATCTCTTCAAGAAAGGCAGAAGTGGATTCGCCCGCGCCGGAATGTAGCTGTTGGAGATTTGGTTCTCATAGCTGATGAGCACAGTCCGCGTGGACAGTGGCCAATGGGTGTTGTTGAAGAAGTTACACCAGATCGCTATGGTGCAGTGCGACAAGCTACAGTTAGAACCGCCAGAGCAATTTTGAAGCGAGATATTAGAAAGATATGCTTGCTGCTGGAAGCTGCCGATAATTAATCCCAGCTGTTGACACAATGTAACTTGTAAGGACAGACAGACCTCTTCGAGGTTTTGGACAAAAAGGAGCCAGTTGCTGGAAAGGAAGTCCCTGATTGCAGTGATCACTTAGCTCATAAATACGTTGCGAACTGTGTAAAGCAATTAAGATGTTAATTGTAGATAAGGTTTTTGAATATTCTAAATAAGTTTCGTTTACTAGTTTCGCTTAGTTTTCTTAAGAAAGGCAAGGCTTGAATGCCCGTCTGCCTTTCGAGGCCGGTGTGTTAAAGCGAAACTTCTAGAACTTAGGGTTTTCTTTGTTTTTTTTGTTCGCGTCTACTTGCAATTAGTTGTAATTGTTTATAGTTTTCTTTTGTTATATTGTTTACTTTCTTTTTGGTGTCACCATCGTTGCGTAATGTTACGTAATCTGTCAAGTTTTTTGGTATAAACTTAGTCTTGTCGGTCAGTGTTTTTTACAGTTTTTATCGGTCAAGAACAGCTCATCCCTTTTAACGTTAAGTCAAGAAACCGTTAAGGTAAATTTTAGTCATACGCCATTTGTACGCTTTTCCGTTTTCTTTGATGTATTTGTTATTTTGTACTGATTTCTACATTTTTCGTAATTTCGTATTCTTTGTATTTTTGGTTGTACAGTACCGTAGGAGTGTGATTTATAAAATAAAGCGGTTGGACACTAATACGCGTGACTTCGGTTACACTGACAATGCCCAACAATAATGCAAGTCGCTTACATTCCAAGCGCCAGCTAGCAATTGTACAACTCTTTATGTTTGAAATTATTCCCTAAGGCAATCTATTTTTCTTTTCGTTTGCAGTCTTTTCCGTATTTCTGCTTTGGCTCGGTAGGTTGATGTAAAAAAATAGTTGTCATCAAAATTCATGAAAAACAGACTGGAAGTATGAAAGGCAGACTGAAACTATTAGCTTCTTTTGAGTGCTTCCTGCGATTAATTATCTCATTTAATACTTCTTTGCACGTTGAAAGCAACCTAAATTGTTGAAGTCTTGTTTGGTACGAGAAATGCAATGAAAACGTTCTAGGCCCGATCCAATTTTTGCGGATTTTCACTACATCGTAAGTGCTTCCGTGACATTGTAACGGTTGTTTTTCACTGACGTAGGAGTCCTGAAGAGGGGGAGAAAGTACTCCCTTTAACGGCCTGTACGTGGAGGCTCCGCCCGAAAGGGGGTACCTTTTGTAGGCTTAAGCCCAAAAGGGAAGGGATTTCACTAGTTGTAGTATATAAAAGGGTAGGGAAAGCTGTTCGGTGCGTAAAAGGACCTAAAAGGGCTGACAGAAGGATTTTGTGGCTGTGGGGGAGACAATAAAACTTCCTGGATTAGTGAGTACTTCCCTCCCTGTGTCGGGGTTAAGAGTCGGAATCACGCAATTGTTAGTTCAAAGAATAAAATAGCTGTACTTAATTAGAGAGCGAGAATATTCAGTCTCTGTTGGTTTTTTGTGAACGTCAACGATCCTGGAAACGTTTGAGCTGGCCTCCTTAACCCTTTAAACCCCAATATCCACATACAAATTCTCCAAACTGGTCTCTATACATCTCCTTCAAGAATTAGTTGAGAGAATTTGGTAGAAGATCAAAACATTTTCCTTTTGGTGATTTTTCATTAATTCTCAGAACCTTATCTCTTTGTTTGTATATTGATATTGTTTAGAGAAATTTGATGTTTGTCACTTTTGGGAATCAAAGGGTTAATGTCTTTCACAAATCGATCTATCGTTTCTGTTCCCTTTATGCTTACTTACTACTCACAAATTACTAGACAACGCGCAGTAATAAAATTCAAATTTCATCTTTTAAAGCTGTGGTTTCACGCTCTGATAGTGCTTTACAAAGGCTTCACAGATTTCACTTTGGTATTATTCAGGTTTCAAAATGATTGTCATTTACGGTACTCACGCGCTGAAGCTGGCGCGACAGGGACACTAACAACAGCGTTCCGTGATTGGTTCCTTAGAAGATAAAAAGCTACAAGGCTTGATTGAATGGTGCATATTTGCCACTCAGATCATAATGTATCTGAAGTAAGTCTAATTGTTACTGGATCTTACAACTATTTTCAATCCTACCAAGAGAGTTTTTGTTTAAATTTGCAATACTATCCAGTTCGCGCCTTTTCTCACACAGGTCTTACCCCGGGGGATTTCATTTCTGGGAATCATAAACCACGAAAACAATAACAACCATCTCACAACAAGGCTCTTTGATTGGTTCATTCGCTTTTGAGATTCCGAGAAACGCTAAACATAGACGATCACAAGACTTCATTGTTCAGTGTGAACTGCTTCAAGGGTCACAGCTCACTTGTTGTTGACGACATCATGGACCTAACAACTTTGTTTCACAATCTTCGTGAAGAAGTGTCTTGTTCGGTGTGTTCGGACTTATTTACGGATCCTAAACATCTCTCCTGTCTGCACAGTTTCTGCTTAAAGTGTTTGAAAGGATGGTACGAAACGTGTGGGGGCGGAGACGCCATTAGATGTCCAAAGTGCCAAACCTTCAGCGAAGTTCCCGCAAGCGGTGATCTTAAAGATCTTCCAACAAGCTTTTATTTGAACGGCTTAATCGATGTCCTCGCCATCAAAGAATGCAAAAACACTCAGGTGACATGCGGAAACTGCGACAGGAAGAGCTCGGAGGCTTCCTATTGTTTCCAGTGTTGTATATTTTATTGCGAAGAATGCTTACTCGGTCATAACATCATGCGAGACAAGAAGGAACACCGCGTTTTGGCCGTAAAAGAGTTCCAAGACAGGGACTATGAAGATGTGTTAAAGCGACCAGTATTTTGTTCAAGACAAGGACACCAGAAAGAAGAGCTGAAATTATTTTGCAACGAATGTGAGACGGCAGTTTGCCAAACTTGCGTCATGCTAGATCACAATGGTCATAAGTTAAAGCTGATCGAGGAAGAAGCTGCGAATCAAAGACTCGAGATAAAAACTGTTATCGAAACACAACGACACAACTTAGACGAAAAAATGAACGTTGTCGCTAAGCTAGATGAAGATTGTGCTAAAGTGATTCAACAGAACGAAAATTTGAAGGGCGATGTCCAAAGGTTTGCTGATGGGTTGATAAAAACAATTGAAGCAAAAATGCAAAATGTTATTGACGCGATGGAAAACCAAACGAAGAAGTCACTTGAAAGTTTAAGAGCAAAAAGAGGTGAGATTCAGCAACAGATAAATGTTATTGAATCATCATTGGAAGAAGCTGATAAACTTCTAAAACGAAGCACCACCGCGGAAGTTGTTCAGCTTAAGAAAACACTGCAAATAATCTTTCAGGGAGTGGATGAGACAGAACCTATTGTTCATGACCGCAGCAGACTGCAAGCGTTTGTTTTCGTAGAAAATCAGAAGATGCTTGATGTCTTCAAGGGCGAAGAACTTGGTTTCTTGGAAGAAGGTTATCGAACAAAACCCAGCAAATCTCTGGTTGAAGGTGAAGGACTGAAAGAAGGAACTGTAGCACGTAAAGCACAATTCAATTTGATCACAAGAAACGCAGAGAGAAAGCAGTGCCATGATGAGAGGGACCGTGTAACGGTAGAGATCACGGACGAGCAAGAACGAGAATGCGTGACGGAAGTAAGAATAGATGATAACAAGGATGGAATCTACAACGTCCGTTATTTTCCCAGAGTTCAAGGGACAATAAAGTTATTAGTTAAGGTAAACGGGGAACATATTCATGGTAGTCCTTTTTCTGTGATTGTAAAACCATTTCAACTCAAATATGTTTCATCCTTTGGAAAGAAAGGCTCAGGTGAAGGAATGTTTGAGAATCCTAAGCAGGTGGCAATGAATGATAGAGGCGAAATAGTAGTTGCTGACAATGCGAACCATCGTGTTCAGATATTTGACAGTAAAGGCGTCTTCTTAAGATTCTTTGGTCGCAAAGGTCAAAATGCAGGAGAGTTAAGCTTTCCCCATGGAATAGCCATTAATAAGGATGGAAATATTTTCGTGGCAGAGAATAATAACCATAGAGTTCAGATTTTTAGTTGGGAGGGGAGGCATCTGGGTTCATTTGGCGGCAAAGGAAGCCTTGAAAGTCAGCTCCTTTTCCCTCGGGGTTTATCATTAGCTAGTGATGGTAATGTTATTGTTGCTGATTCAGATAACAAACTGATTAAGATTTTTACACCGGATGGTGGGTTTGTAATGAAGATAGGTGGGCAGGGTTCACTTCATTATCCTTTTCACTGTGTTCAGTGTGGTGAATATTTCATAGTGTCAGACTCAAATGAACATTGTATCAAAGTATTTAACAGGGAGGGGCATTTTCAGTACAAGTTTGGTAAGCAGGGGGAGGGGGACGGGGAGTTTAATGGTCCATCTTTTCTGTCAGTCACTCAGTCAAAGCACCTGTTGGTTTGTGATAGGGATAATCATAGAATTCAAGTTTTTGAACTAAATGGAAACTATATTGGAAAGTTTGGCAAAAAGGGAGGCAAATTGGGAGAATTTTGTGTGCTATACGCAGTAGCTGTTGGAAGTAATAACCAAATTGTTGTGTCCGACCAACATAATCATCGAATTCAAATATTCGAATGACTAAGGTGACCACTTTTCCGAAGGAAACTGAATGGCAAGCATCCCAGTCTTATATTGTTTGATTTTTAAGCTCAGCAAGAACGAGTCGTTTTTAATATATATTATCGCATATCCAAAGTCAAGGGTTTTATAAACTTTGAGCTAGTGTATATCCGTTGGCTCATTTTTGTAACTTGGTTGGCCAAAACTTTAAGAGCCCTCTTAGTAGGTTTTTCGGGATTTGGAATTTTAAAGAGAAAAAAGGAGCAAGATTACAGGGGGGACTTAAAAATGAGTGGTGGGGTTTTTTGTAACGTCGAAATTAAAAGATTTTCCGTTTTATCCGAGCTTACATCGGCCTTTTAAACATCTGGAGGAGTTGTGCGGTTAATTTTTAGCATATTTAGTGGTTGATATTTACCTTTCAAATATTGATGTATCTTAATTAGACGAGATCGAGGTCCTTACTGTAAGTTACCAACCCTTGTATTCGCGGCTCTGTAATCCTATTCATTTACGACCACATTTTTATTCTAAGGGTGACACACACTGGTGACATATCAGTGGCGGATCCAGGGGAACCCCCCACCCCCCCCATTATTTTTGAACGAAAGCCGAGGCCCAGATGGCTGAGGCAAACTGATATTTTGCTTTGGCAATTTTTTTTAAAGCTCCCCCCCCCTCTCCCCTTACCTCAAGGTCTGGATCCGCTGCTGCATACTGTTATTGATTGATTACCTTCCTAAACATCAAAATAAGAAGTAACTGTTCAATAGTAGGAAGCCTAAAATGTACCAGAAAAAGAATGACAAAATAGATTTTTTTCATCCTAAGTAACCATGAACCATTTGTGATATGCAGTTATTTGTGTAATCTGGAGTTATTATAGAGATATTAGATATGGGTAACTTATTGCTGTATGTTCCCTATCACCACCCAACGATAATCCGAGTTTTCCATGATCCAAGCGTTAGCAAAAGAAGTAATAAAGACAGAAAAAGAGTTTCATTGGTAAAGAATTAAGCCAATATCTACCCATGAACGAACGAACGAACGAACGAACGAACGAACGAACGAACGAATGAATGAATGAGTGGATGAATTAACTTTATTCATACACGGTAGTAATTTCAATGTTCAAAATTGGTTTTCAAATTAGCCGTGTGAACAATTCTTTGCCCTAATACTAACTATATCACAATGTTAAAACTATCGTTACAAATACTAAAAATAGACGGAATATTAAGTATTTATTTAAAAATAATGATAATAAAACACCTAATGTAATTAATTATCACGGTGGTCTCTCAAGTACGCTTGAACCTATTTAATGTCTCTAAGTCTCTGACATGATTCGGAAGTTCATTCCATGCAATTGCCTCACGATAAGCAAAAATTATTTTTAATGAGTCCGTTTTAGGTTGGGACAACTGAGACAAGTGATATATATATTTTTTAAGGGAACTAAGCAGCAGTCCAGAATGGGTAAGATTACTCTGTCTTGTGTCCTATTGTAGTCAACAACTGATCGAGACTAGGGTTTGTGAGAAAGTGGCCGCGGTTGCATTTTTGGAGGTGTATTCTGTTTTTGTAAGAGAGTATAGTAATGGCTTTCGTTTTCTAGAATTTTCTTTCGCGTTTCGCCCGGCATGTTGGGAAGGGTGACCTACAATCAATGTTCGCGTTGTAGCTGGTTCGTTTTTTGCGCAGGGGCGAGCGCGAAACGCGAGTGACATGCGAGTGACTGCTGACGAAGCGCAAGGGACCATGGGAAGGAGAAAAATTATAGGCGAAGCGCATCTCACCCTCCCTCCTTCGTGCCTAGTTTGCGCGCAAATTTTCATCGAGAGGGAGACGTCTGTGTACGAGGAAACCTATGAAATGTGTTACTAGGATAAAGAACTATGAATTGAAAAAAATCATTCCCATGAGGCCTTGCCTGCTAAACAAGCCAACTGCGCAAAAACGGGCGGAAAAAAATGGCGCGAAGAAAAGTAAAGAACGGCGAGAAGAAGTCTTCTCGCCGTTCTTTACTTTTCTTCGCGCCATTTTTTTCCGCCCGTTTAGTCTTTCCCTTGCCCCCACTATCTGCCCCTGGGTCTCGGAGGATGCGTGAAATACAAGAGGCGCAAACAACATCATACAAAAAAAATAAGGCCTTGAAGGAATGGAATTAGGGTGTATGATAACAAGAGCCAATCAAATAAAATAAAGCTGCTCTCACTCTCTTTTCTCTCGTCTGTCCTATTTGTTTCGTTTGTGTTTCTTCTCTCTTACAGTACTCTAATTAATCTGGTTGGTGTCGGGCTGTGTTAGAGAGAAAACAGTGACGGCGGGGAATAGGGGGTTGGGGCTGTAACATTATAACGCAAATGAAAAACAAAAAGCAAGTGTTCCTTGATTCGCTGTCGTTCCGGAGGAATTAACAAAAGTTTCAGATCTAATCTTCTTTTGTAAAGGAAACCAAATGTAGGACAGCACCAGAGTACTGGGGAAGAGTTTCATTTGAATGGTCATGTCGTAAGATTTGGTCCACGGGCTCAATAGTCAGATCAACTTAACATGTCTATTTTAATTAACTGTGTTAAGTAACCTATTAATTAAAACACTTTCATAAGCGGATGAACTTAAAAAATGGCTTAAGGACATTAACTGACTTGCGATACACATATCGCATTTCCATCAAGTGAAAATTTAATCATGCAGTAATAATAAACACGAACAGATTTCCACGTTGGTCATTGACCCACCGTTCGGTTTGTTTGCCTGCATTATCTCCGTACAATAGCAATCGGATGGTAGGTTTCCTTAATGCATTAACAGATTTGTTGAACATTCTAACAATACTCACATTGTAATCTTGTCTGTTACTGTTCTACAACTGGCGTTTGTTTTACCAACACTAAAACATTTTTTGAATACTTCTCTTGGCTCGAACATCCAATCAACAAAACGATCCACAAAACTGTTGAATTGACTGTTATCCTTGGGTATCGTAGAGGAATTTCTCTGTGACAAGTGGACTTTTCACTCAAGAAAACACGTAATTGGAAATCAGTAAATCGAAATACCGGAATATCTAATCAATAGTGTTTGTGCTAATCTATAAACAAATGGCCTCCAGTCAAAGGTGTATCACTCTTACTAGACTAATGTGTTTACTTTACAACGTATTCTGATGCAAAACTTGTCAACCTCCTTTGTGCCTCCGAAATGCTTCTGTCACAGTTATTTTAAGGAAAGGAAAATACGCTTTGAAAGAAAAACATTAAACAGCTTCAAAGATTTCCGTTTGTTAATGGGAAATGCGAAATTAATGCCTAATCACATTATTGGCCAAGGGTAGTGGAGACAGAGGGTGTCAAACCTGATCGAACACCCGATCGAGCTCTAAAATAACTGCTAATTGACTTAAATGCGATTACGTGTTAAATAGGTGTGCTTTTTAAAGTTAGGCGATTTCCTAAAGTATTTCTGCACGAACCATCTCTTTTGTTAAAACGTTATATCCGCATTGACCTCTCACAAGATATATCACGAATATAAGTAATGCGAAGTGCTATAATAGTTCTATGATCTTAATGCAACATAATGGCATATATTATTTTTTCATGATACTTTTGTATAGTGTCTAGAAACGAGTCTTTGGGTTATTTGCGGTGATGTTAGCATGTCAACGCGAAAAGCACCTTATTTGATTGCTGGTTGGTTATCTTTTTGCGCGCAGTGCAGATCTCTTAAGCCGGACTCAGTGGGATTTTTCTAAAACTAAAAATTATGAATGAACCGAAAATAGTTTGATTTTGTCATCTGATCTGATACGGAAAGTAAAGACCATAAAAATCAACAAATCAACGCTAATGGATCAAACGTGACGGCAAACAAAGACGTGTCAACAAAACTTGTATGCGGAGAACAGAATTGCTACACTAAGGCTGGTTCCATTCTCGTCAATCGTGCGTGCACATTTTCCATCGCTTTTGTCTTCGTGAAAAGCAAAACCAAGCGTGAAGAAGCTAAATGAACTACGAGCAAAGACCAGATGATCGCCCTAGGGTAGCTTCGTTTCTTATTGCCGATATCCTGGCCCCACAAGCTGTTTCCTCTGTGCCATTATGCAGCCCGAGTCAGCCAACGCCAGAGATTGCAAATTTAAGGATTCCCCCCACCGGAACCACAACGGAAAGCGCCTTTTCACCTAGCCATTCCTTTGCTTCATCCTGCCTTCAATGCTACGGTAACATTTATCATCTTTTCAGTTCTGTCTTGGTTTCCAGTAAGAAACTGTGAAAAATTCTCTAAAATATTCGGTCATTTTCTTAGTGTTGACTGAGACCTTTGCATTGCGAAATTACTCAGTTCTTTATTGCCTATATTATCTTATTATAACTTGCTAACAGTATATAGTGTGCTAAATAATTGCTTCTCAAGAAGAAAGCCTGAATGAGTTTTCGGACCCATACGGAAAAGTTCAAAACACGGTGTTGGCCAAGTTTAACACGAACCTTGTTTTTCTTTCCCTTTGTTTGCACTGCCCGATTTCTCTTTTCTTTTGGCGGTTGCGGAATTTTCTTTCAGTTAAATGGAATATGATAACGGAAGAACAACATTTTAACTTAAACACTACCTTTCCGTGAGATAATGGGGTTATATGCCTTTGTCTGATATAGAGATATTTTACTGTATAATGAACACTGCTTGCAGTAGACATTGATTTGAACGGAAGTCAATGTAATTTGCCTTGTTTAACAATTGTTACTACACTATAAGCTTAATCGCTGATATTCAATTTCTCAGACTCTTAACTGAAAAAATTGCTTCTGAGGTAAACTAAGTGCTCATCTCGCTACATTACCGCTCAGCGTTTGTTTGAAACATGGTCGACTCGCTTTTCACATTCTTCTTTCTTTTGTTAGAAACAAAATCTTTCACTAAGTTTCACTCTTTGGCAAGAGATGAAAGCCCTAAAGCCATTTTCAGTGTTTCACGATTTATCTTCATTTTCTGCGCAACTTTGAACTCTCGTTCACGGTTTTGTCCTTGAAGCGTGGCCGCCATTTTGCATCCAAAAATTCACGCAAAACTATTGTATCGCCCTTTTTCCAACCTTGTTAAAAAAAAAAAAAGTTTCTGTTGAGCATTTGAAGCCAAAGCACACACCGGCGGAAAAAGAGAGGCTTTGTTAGTCCTGCAAGCTTTGATGTACTTGGTGACAATTTTTTCGCGATATGTTTGGACTAGAATTCACTATTAGTTCCACTAGGAAAACAGAAACAGATAAGTTAACCCCACACACGGGTACAGATATGAGCTGATAACTTTGATACCTGGTCGTGATTGATCAGTTATGATAAGGAAATAATGTTAAAAGCTCCAGACGTACAGCTTAGCTTGTATACTCGCCCTGACTACTGCAAATCGCAACAACAATTAAGCTTTTGATAGTGGCCAAATTAAACATATCATGAAGCCTTATCAATACTACACTGTAACCAATCGCTTTCTTAAGAATCACCACGCTTAATAATTTCGAAGAGACTCATTAACAGTAACAGTACTGCTTCGTAAATCCTATTTAAAAGTTGAAACAACAGGGATTTTTCCGGACCCAATAGCCAGACCCGCGTTTAGTGCGACGGCGGCGAAAACGTAGCTTAAAATATGAACTTGCCGTGATTATTGCAACTTACCGCTTACTTTGTCAAATGAAGGGCAACTCTCCTGGAGGTAAATTCCTAGAAAGCAAATCCAAATTCAGAAAGAGAAAGACAGTTTCGTCGTTGCTTGTTTACGTCCTCCATGAAACGTGAAATTAGGCATTTTCACGCCGTAGTTGTGCAGTGAAGGCAAAGAAATGTACAAAAGTGTGCTGCACGTGCAAAATTATTGTTTTTGTACAATTTGCTCATTAAACCTAATGCTTTTTTATGCTTTCGTTACTGTAGCCATCGTCGGATTTTAGGTCCTTTTATAAACAGAACCACAGGTAAATACGGCTCAGTACCTTTTATCTGAATGGTGACCCTAAAAAAGGCTTTCCGAACAACCTTGTGCAGCTCCACAGGATAATCGTATTGTTCAGTGGCTTTCATTTGAATGGTCACTCTGTATAATTTTATCCACAGATTCAAAGTCAGAACCATCTTGTACTTGTACTATTTTGGCTTGAGTACAAAGAGAGAAATTTGTCCTGTTTTCTGGAGAAAAAGAAACTGGAGGAGAAAACGAAAAGATGAAAAGAATGCAGACGCTAAAAGAAAATGAAAAAATCACTCTTTCACTTTTGCCTCGTCAAAACGTCTTCGTATGTGAAGTAAATCAGTAGCTAGAGATTGAAATAATAAAAAATCAACAGAAAATCAACATGGCATTCCACATTCTTAGGAGCCTGATAAAAAAAAAATAAAGCACATTAAAATAATGATCTTTGAAAAAATAAGAAGCTTGGAACCGAAGAAAAAAGCCATCACCAACTGAATAGTGTATAAAGCTAAAATGGTTGTTTTGGGATCGAAAATAAAATGGAAATTTTGTTTGGAGATCTCAGCTTATATTATAAAAAGACATTAGGCAAATCATTTTTATCCCAAAGAAAATCACACAACGAAAATGAAACAAGAAAACAAAACGCAAAGCAATGTGTTCTTTTTTAATTTATAGTTTCTGTTCTGTTTACCGGGGCATAGAATTATTAAGCCCAAGTTCCATTTCGATTCTAAAAGGCCTTTTTTTCTCGCAAAACTGATCATTAACATAATTCAATGTTGTTAGTTAACTGCATCGTTATTACAAAGCTGTTCATACAATCTAATGCTTTTATGACATATTTTAATTTGTCCCACATATTCACCTCTCTCTTTTCGACGGTTTTACTTTGAAGTTGCCTCTACGTGTCATTCAGCCTTCATTTAATTCATCAGGCACTCATTTCAGCTATATTTCGTTTTCATCAACCTCGAAACTTTCATTAAGAAACAAGTTATGGTTAACTTTTTTAACACTGATCACTTTTCGCTCTACCAAATTTGACGTTCATTAAGTTTATCGTCGTTCATTAAGATCCTCTTATCAAGGGAAAAAAGATAGAATTTTATTTTAAAATCATAGTTGTATCATCTTTAACTTCAATGTATTCCGTTTGCTAAGGAGAGTGGTGTTTCAAACCTGAGATAACTTATTCTTTTCTAAATTGTTTTTAAATCAGTCTACTTCTTTCAGCCGGGTCTCCATTGTTAAACCGTATTGTTTGATGTTTTGTTTTAACAGGCTAAAAACATAAATGGCTATAAATCTGCCTTAAACTCTAAAAAGCTCAAATATTGGACTTCAAAGCAAAGACTTTTAAAACTTTACCATTACAAGCTGTGCAAAGATTTAAATGATTATTATGCCGCGAATGAGGTAGCAATTAACTGACTTGTCACGATCGGTGAAAACATCTTTTTTTGAGAAAGAGAAAATTTAAATACTTTCTTTTAGAATATTGCATAGCCAGGAGCACCATAAGAAACGAATACTCAGTGTGACATTCATTTCGACTGTCCACACTTTAAGAGAGGTTTCGATTCATGTACGGACTCAAAGTTAGAAACTTCACACAATTTCATCCACAGACTTAAAAGTTAGAATCACCTTTACAGCTTAAACAGTACCACAGGAAAGTACTGCTCAGTAGCTTTCATTTTTCCTACAAAAAGAAAGCCCCAAAATGCCTTTTTTTCCTTATGAATTTATCTTAACACTAAAAACCATTGCACGTCCGATGACAGGGTAAACGTTTAGAGTGAAAGGAAAAACTTTCAGCTGTGCTCAAGTGTCATGTGGCTGTCAAATGTCTGATTGATTACTCTGGTTTGAAAAGTTTTCGGTGGCGTATGACTTTCCTCGGTAGTTAAAAAAAATATCTGGTCAAAGACTCCGAGTGAAAGGTACTCTTGCCAGGGAAAAGGAACCCAACGAATTCATTGACGGACTGTTCAAGGTTGATTATCACTCAAAATAACGTTTTGCAGCTCACTTAAATTTGCACAGACCGAATATTTGCAAGTCAGCTCAATTTTTTTTGTCTTGAGACTTTTTTGATAACACTTTTCTTTTACTAAAATCACAATTGCACTAGAAACGCTGAACATGGACCCGCTAAAATAAGTTGGTAAGGACAGGAAAAGACCCCGAATGTGTTGTGCTAAATGCTGAAATATAATGTTTGCTTTTTCAGGATCACGCTGTCACGTTTCCAGACATCCCTGCTTTTGGAATGCCCCATACACGTGTTACACAGGGTCACGTGGATACAGTTGCCACGGCAACCCACCTTTTCTTGGAGTGCAAGGTAAATGTTTTACTGTTGAGGAAACATTTTTTCAAAGGCTCAAAAGTTAGTAAAATAAAGTAAAAAAAAATTATTAAGCGTCCGAATATTTTAGCTAAAACAAATTTAATTGTCATAGGGTGAGTGTCGGACCAAAACAAAAACAAAAATTATTTTTGTAAAATATTGAAAAAAAGTTGCATCATGTGAAAGTGCTACTAAATTGTTTTCATCTCAATGGTTACATCAAAGAAATTTATCAAAACACTACAGGTCAGTTACACTTGACGTCACGGCGGCCATGTTGGTACAGTACCAAAAAAATCCTGCGGGGAATGAACTCTTGTCTATGAAAAAAATTTCTTTTGTTCCAAGAAATTTGCATGGCTGCTGACCACGTGATTGAAAATGGCCTATTAAACGATACCACAGGAAATTACTGCTCAGATTTCGTTCACAAACTCAAAAGTTATATTTTTATCGAACTTTCTTATCATTCAATTTTGGAAGCAAAAAAAAGGTTACAAAAAAGAAGGACCAGACCCCTCCTAATGAAGAACCTAATCAGCTATATTAAAGTTGAAAGAAACTAGAGCAGTACAGTTGTGTTCTTTTCGCAGATTGTGGAAGCAATCACCCATCATCATCTTCAGAACAGCTTACCCAGTCTATTCACGGACAAACGAGACCGCGCAGACCAAGGAGACCCTGGACACGAGCAGTATTTTCAAACTTACAGCGCAAGGGACTAGAGAAGCGTTTTCAGGTGCAGAAATACTTGACCAAAGCAGACAGGCATCAGCTAGCCTCCATGTTAGGATTGTCTGATAATCAAGTCAAAGTGTGGTTTCAGAACAGACGGATGAAATGGAGACAAGAAGCGCGGGAATCAGTGACAAGTACTAACACGGAGGCTGAAGACGAGAAAAGCTGACAGCGTTGACCGAGTTTCTGGTCATTTGCGGAAGGCACAAAAAAAGTGTAGAGATATATGTAAAAAAGTCTCATAAATTGTCTGCATGGTCCCGGTACGGCGTCTTTCCAGGCCTTCTCGATCAATGCATTTCGGTGACGTCCCTCGGACCACGTGATTCGAAGCGCAATGGCCGCGCGGAATATTAGGGCCTAGGGACCAGGCAAATTGGTAGTCTAGTTTCGAGTTCGTTATGACCAGTGAATAAAAGAAGTGAAGACGCATTTTTTACAGGCTCAGCCTCCATCTGAAGTAAATATTCACAAAATCCAACTAGAAGATTCATTACTCTGTCTATTGTGTATTTTCCAATTTCAAACACTTATTTGCACTGCCGGAATTTGTGAATATTTTACTTTAAGTCGAGGCTAACCCTCTATGAAGGCGTCGTTAATGTTTGTATTGGGCGGTAATGTTTAATTCGAAACTGGACTATTGTCACAGTTTGGAGGAGTGATTCCCCAAGCAGAATGAAATGCTTTATACAAGAAAGCACAGAAGGTGTCTCCTTCAGAACTGTCGTCACGCAATGCTCCACCCCATATTGCGTGACGACTCAAAAAACAACTGCGTAGCGGGGGGGGGAAGAGAGAAAGGAGACAATGGGAGGTGGAAAGTGATACCCTTCCAACCACCTTTGACCAGTTATATAATGTTATGGGCTTGAATCGACTGGAGCTTAAAAATCATAAGGCCATTATTTCGGGTTTCCAATAAAATTATTTTACGTCCTCAAAATTTAGCTAATAATTTAATTTACGTAGTAGTACTTTTACAAATATTACATTTGAATTATTCGCCACGTCTACCTGACTTTGATATTTATACATCTTTTAAATATTAACATTTTCACCGCTTGAATTCCTCAAAACAAACCGTAAAGGGCAACTGTAACAGGTGATTATTAAGAAGCTGGGTCTTATAACATTCAACCAATTCAAGCAGTATAAAAAAGCCTTTTACAATTGTTTCTATAAAGATTACCCTCAAAAATAGGTCATTTACAAGCTGCCCCAATTTTCACTCTCATGCAAATAAACTCATTTTTACCCTTAGCCTCGTTTTGAAAGTGAGAGTTTTGGTAACTCTTAAAAGGCCTATTCCTGTACGAAATTAATTAAAATGTAGTTCTGCCGGGCATGCAACCTATAACAAAGTGTCACTTCGCGTAAGAAGATAGGTTAAATGGCAAAACAGAGCGGTAATTACACACAACGTTGCCAAATGCAATCCCTTTTCCTTTTAAATTAAAAAGTGGATGACTTCGGGAGAAAACTTTGCTTCCGGACAAGCATTTCTTACTGCTATTAATTACTTAAACTTAAGTCTTCACCAAAAAGATGGCAAACTTGTGATAATTGCAACTCTGTCTGGCCTCTTCTCGCTCTAATAAAAGTCAGAATATTGCATGTAAAACGATATAAAGTTGCACATACCATATGCCATATTATAATGTACAAAGTCGCGTACACTAAAAAGTACAGTATGAATAAAAATTCCTTATCTACAAACAACAGAGTTTCCGAGAATATTTTCAATAGGTACTATTTTAGCACCACTCTGTTGGTAAATTAAAAGACATTTAAAAATTCACATAAATTTAAGTATCCATAACAAGTAAAACGTGATCTACCCTCACCGTTGTTCCCGCGCTTTACGGTGAATCACTATATTTGATGTGATTGGTTCACGAGATTATCTGCTTTCCATTGTGATTGGACAGAGTAGAAAAACGCTGTGTTACGTAAGTTATTAATTATTGGAGAGATTAAGATTCACGTTTACGCCAAACGGCGGACGTGAATTTGTACCACATGACCAAGTTTTCCCTTTATTTTCCGTGTACTCCTTGTTGCTTCTACACAAAAATAAGTAGTTTTATGCCAGTTTTAACGATAGGAATCGTTCGGGACTGTTTTATCTGCTTATTTTCTGTTCTGAGAAATTCTCAACTTGAGTCTAACGTTAGCCGTTTCGGGTAAACCTGAATCTTAATCTCTCTATTTTTAAGAAAACGCAACGTCAAATGAGGACTCTTAAGTTGAAAGACGGCGGAAAGGTTACGGTGCTCAGTTTGCCGTTCTGCCATAGAAGCGTACCGAACGTATTTCCTTGGTTGTGGTTAAACAAAATAATACGTAAACATATGCTTGGTAGTGAGAACTTCACGTGCGCACTGTTAACGCTTGATTTTTCCTGTAGATAAAACACTCCTAGGCGACCTCTTGATCGGTAAAAAGGTGACAACAGCTGATCACTTTTAAAACGTTGCTTAGTGTAAGTATTTTTAAGTTCCATCCCAAGACGCTTACTTTCGTCCACCTTACCTAACAAGTAGACTGTTTGCAGTCCCCTGTTCCTTATGATCGTCGAGATGTAACAGGTGGCCATTTTCGTCTCGATTTTAAGTGTAACCTGGGGAAGTCAAAGAGTATAAATTCTCCCTAGTGAGGTAGGAAGCGGGTTACGAACCCCAATACCTGTCACCTCGGTAAATTTGAAACCAAGATGGCCGCCCGAGAACATGCGCACGGTTTTGACGATAAGGAACTTTAAACAGCCTACCTACCAAGCGCTGAATATTGGACAACTATCAAACACCGTTGAACTCGAAGGGTTGTGCAGGTATCTGCTATACTTGAGTATCTTTATGCATTTGTAAAGCGTCCATTTGATCCATTATAAAAGTCACAGTGGTCTGTTTTAGAGAGGCCAGCTGCTCTCGTAGCGAGCTTTCATTGCGTTGAGCGACCTGTAACTCGCCTCGAAGACGGGCATTTTCCAACAAGATTTCTTCGTTACACTGCAAAGTCAAAAAAAAAATAAAGATTTTAGCCTGCACATAATGCTGTCTGATTGGTAACATGGTAAAATCCGTGTTACAAAAAAGGCAACAGAACAAAAAAAATGCTAGCCTGAGAAAACAACCGACATTTGGCGACGCCACCAGTGGTTTTCCCGCGTAATGACTTCTAAAATACGAGCGCAGAAATTCCATACTGATGACGTGTCACTACCCAGGTCTGGATAGTGCTTCTGATTGGTCGTGCTGCAAGGGAAACTTGCTTCAACCAATCAAAAGCACTGTCCAGAAGTAACACGTATGCAATTTCTGCGCTCGTTTCTCAGACGCCATTTTGTGGGGAAACCAGTTGTAAGGTCGCGAAATGTCGGCTGTTTTTTTTTCAGGCTACAATAATGCAAAGTCTGTGAAAAACCGTGACAACACAATAGGCTTGACAATAAAATGTAATATGGACTTGAAGCAACTACGACGGGAAAGTTGAGGCGACGTTGGTTAAAAAACTAAAAAACACAACACAAAAACAAAACAAAATCAATTTGCGCCCTTCAAAATTAATTTAAAATCGTTCTAGAGTTAGTTAGTTGTTATTGAATGAATGAATGAATGAATGAATGAATGAATGAGTGAATGAATGAAGGAAATGAAATGAATGAATGGAAATGAATGAATGAATGTATGAATGAATGAATGGAAGTGAATGAATGAATGAATGAAATGAATGAATGAAATGAATGAATGAATGAATGAATGAATAAATGAAATGAATGAATGATTGTTCGAATATGAATGATTGATGAATCATTGTTCGATTGTCACTCTTACTGATCCTTTGATTTGATGATCTCTCTTTTTATCAGTGTTCATTAAGATGTTAATTGTGTGTTATTATGGTTAGTAGAATTAGTAGAATTAGTATTATTAGTACAACGTCACTGCAACCGAAAGTAAGCTGTTGTGTCTTCATGTTGTCCATAATCGGATCAATTTGACCTTGCCGTTTTGCGATGAACGGGAGAAAAATATGCAAAACACTGAAAACGCATGTGAAAACGCACACCGTTGCTTTATTGCTTTCTTTATTTTTCTTTTTTATTGTGTCAAAGCCGCCGTCGCTAATGCTGCCGTCGTGGGTGCCTAACGTCCCTAGCAGATTTATGCTCCCAGCAAAAAACGCAAATGTTATTTTTTGCTTACGAAACACTTAAAGGATCTGAAGAACTGGTTTGAAAGTGTTCGTACGCTACAGATGGAATTGGAATTTGGAAGTGTTGGTTTTTTAAGGAGAGGCGAAGAAGACAAAAACCTCTCGGAGTAACAGCAAAAATAAAAAACAACCAGGCAATGTGGCTAAAGAACAAGAAGATTTGTTTATCTCACTGACCTGTTGGGCCTTAAGAAGTTGTTCGTATTGGTCGATTGGTATACTAACGCAATCGCCGTTGAAGCTCCTCAAGGAATAATCAGAATAGCGCTTGCTGTCGCTCTCTCCATTAATGCTCCTTAGCGAGTCCATTGAGCGACGCTTTTCTCTGCCTATACTCTTTAGCGATCCATCCGAGTGGTGTTTATGCAGCTTCATTCTGCTTCTCAACTTAGATCTCAGTAAAACCGATTTGCGGGGAGATATTTCTGCAGGTGTTGAAAAGAGTTAAAATCAGCAAGGTAAGATATTACTTGTCACGTTGACCCGATTCAAGCGCCATGCTTCGTCACTCCGCTTGCTCCTTCATCTCAGTAGAAAATCTGATTCCTGGGTTCACATCAAGCCGATGAAAAATTCCCGTTCTCTCCAGTCGCTGAGAAATCGGTTCGTCATGAACAAGCTGAGACATTTGAGGCCAAACAAAGCGATAGGATTTGACGCGACTACTGAAGAAGGCAGCCGATGTCATGACTCGTATTTTTAAATTGGTCTCTTTAGTTTTCAACTTTTCCTTTTATTTGAATACTTGAAAAGGTAAGTGGCAAATTTAAGTATGGAAATTGATGTGAGGACAATAATTATTCTAAACCAATCACAGTCTTGCTAACAATGAGTAGGATTCTAAAAAAGGCAGTACATCCGCAGATATTCAGAAACCTTCAAAAGAACAAGAGCTTGCCCCCCCGCCCCCCCGAACATTTTGACTTTCGTCCAAATCTTTTTCTCGGCTACGGAGATCGTTTTACGTGTATCACACACAACTGATTCTAAGCTGTGGAGAATGCAGTGACCGAAGCCTTTTTCGTGCACTTGCCGAAACCGTTTCGCACCGTAGATCAAAACACTATCTCATTACCTTCCGCGACTGGGTTCCTTCGAAAAGGTTGTTTTTTGGGGGCAAATAAATTACCTCTTCAATACAAAATAATAAGCGGCAAAAGTCAGTTGTCTGTCACAGATTTTTTTAAGTTTAGATTCCTTCAAACTGTACTGATGTAATGAATTTAACTGTTTTAGATGTTTAGATTTCTTAAACTTTTTAAATACAATCATTACTTACTTAGGCATTCGTTTTAAAAATACACTGTTCTATTTCAGAAAGTGTCATCAATTTTAATACCAGCGCCTCCCTAGAAACAGTTGCAGTGAGTGGAGGCTCCTGGTTTAATATTTATTTATTTATTTATTTATTATTATTGTTACTATTATGATTATGATTATTACCATTACCATTATCTTAATTATAATTATCACCATCATCATCATCATCATCATTATCATCATTATCATTATTACCATTATTACTTTAGAAGTCGCAGATAAGTGGGAAAAACGCAGATTGATTGTTGATAGCAGCCGTTGTGCCTTCTAAGGTTCCCTTAGGTTTTACAACTTCATCGAAAAACTGAGATATCTACCACCTGGTTTCCAAGGAGGCGACGCACGAACAGGAAACCCTAACGGGACCTCGTGGTTTAAAAGTTTATAGTTTATTTTTTTTTAATGATCAATTTTTCTTGTAAGACGCATTCTGTTTTCTTTCTTTATTTAGTTAATATTTAAGTATATGTTGCAGTTCAATTCATCCTTTTTTCAAATTACTTTATAAATGAATTGTAGGTATGCCAATGTGTGGTAATGAGTTTCAAATAAAAGAGGATAAAATTTAAAGTAATAAAACAAATTTTTACCATGTGACTGCGGAGCTGGTTTCTGACAGTTTTTGACTACCTCTGCTTTGCAATGCTTGTGGCAATTAATATGACAATCTAGAAGAGTTAAAATCAAAGCACTAATTAACAATCAGCATCAGATTGACTAGATTAACTGATCTATATTATTTGAACATACAAACTTCATTGTCTTCCTCTATATCACGCACATATGTCTTAAAAGCTACCAGGACCATTCCCATAATTTTAGTTACACGTATTGTGTTTAACCTACTCTTTTTAAAAACGAAAACAATGTTTATGCAAACCATAAAGGATTTTGCAAATAACATTACCTTTACATCTGTATCCCTGTTTGATGATTCCCCATAGCTGTAAAAAAAAGATAATATTGAAATTAAAATGTAAACAAGACAAAGACATGTTCAAATATAATGTACCAACTTTCCCCATTTTTTTAAGTGGTGAGGGATCTAGTTTAGATTAGTTTTTGCGCGTGTGTGTGCCAGCTAATTTGGTTCTAATCTACCAAACAAGCCCCGCCTTGAAAAAGTAAGTGAGACTCGCCCGCTTAAGCTTACTATTGTTCATTTCACTCACACCCAATGAACCTGTTTTACACACCATGAATATCTAGCTTGAAGCAAGCTCTCGAATCTCAGAATGGGAAATGAACAACTACACGAAACCCAAGCAATGACTAATAAGTACGGCCTTAAAAATCGCGCGGAGCATTTTTCACTTTACGTGGATCAGCTGCTAAAGTGCGCGCCAGATTTGCTGGGAGGCTAACAAGACTAGGACAGGCAACGTGTTTGGCCATGGGTCAAATTAAACTTGAACAATGCCACAGAGGAATAAGGAGATATTTCCTACTGCTCAAAATGCGAGCAAAAAATTCGGAGGTTAACGTATTAAGTAATTTAGCTACTCCGCGTAAACTGCGCTATAAGTCCTGCCTCGATTATTGGCCGATATGAGAAATGAGATAAAAGATTTTCTTACCAGGCCACCACAGTGATCACAGTAGGTTGGAGTAAAGTATGTAGTTTCTTGAAAGTTATGCGAAAAGCCTTTACTCAGTTCATGGCAGTTTGCTTTCATAAAATAACTTTTCATCTCCTCTTTACTAATTACACCATCACTGTAAAACAAACACAGAAAGTTACAGCAACTATTATCGTATGTAAAGACATGGGTTGCGTTCTACAAAACAATTTTAAGGGCAGTGTAGGAGCTGCGCGTAACTTCTCTCCTAATTGATCGCAGGAAACAATGACAGGTCATTCTTTCAATTGTTTTAGTATTGTTTGGGGTCAGGGAAACTCACCATTGGTGACTTCTCTTCAGAGCAGCTGCTATATGACCCAATTTTAAAGCAGACACGCGAAGCGTGATGTATTACAATACCATTCTTGACCAAAAGTGGATAAACATGTATAATTCATTATTAGAGACATCTCTTGAAAAAATTCCTTGTTTTAAATAAAATGTACGTTTTCGATGCTGAAAAGTTATAAAAAAGGTTTTTTACCTGTTGACATCGATAACGCCAAATGAATCAATGAAGGGGAAATTTGTAGCGATTGCTTCGAATTCCTCCACTGAAATCGAACCATCTTTATTTACATCGTAAATCTTGAAGACAGCCTAACAACAAATAAGAGAGATAATAGGATCAAAGTTAATATAAACACTTAGAGTGGTTACTGGTAAACTTGAAAGAGTATTTAGACCTTTCAAAATTTGCACTATTCTAAGGAGTGGAGGGTAGAATGACCCAACTGGTGTATCGACGTGTAAAAAGGACACCCTTGAATTTGTGCCGCTCCTGATAAACGCCTTAAGTGCAAGAGAATACTGTCACAATTGGGCATTGGCCTTAAAATTATCCTGCACTTTTCAACGAAAAAGCTTAGGGAATTACTTGATAAATGTTTAAATAGTTCGCTTTCAATCTAATTAACTACACTGTCAAACAAATTTTGCTTGAGTGAGCAAGGGCAAAATCTCACAATCTAATACTCACATCCACCATTGAAGACACATGTCTGGCTGTGGTGTCGGGATCTGGGGCTGAGTGTAGTAGCTCGGCTGCCCAATCAGCGAACATGAGATTTTGCTCACTTGTTTGGCTTCCGGGGCTCTGAAGAAAGAACAAAAAACCCAACCGTTTAATTTAACTTTTCAGAGTCTGTCCTGAGTTGTTCAAAGAGTGGATGACACTATCCGCTGGATAGGATCCAATGGATAAGCAATCAGTTTCGTTAAAACTTATCTGTTGGTTAGTGATTTATCTGGTGAATGGTACTATCCAAAGTTTTAACAACCGGGGGCGGGTAGTTAGAGATTTGAATATTTTGACACTTTATATCAGATAACATACCATTAATGAATAAAAAACTTACAGAAGAAGAGGGGCTTCTTGGTTCCCTGGCAAGAGAGAGCTCATACAACTCCTCTTCTGTGAGTCGCGGCTGCAGTGAAACCTACACACCAAGTTATAAATAAAATTAAACGTTAAGCCATAGTCGGTGGAGTTACAAATTCAAATACCAGCTAAAGGTTACACTCCAGGGCTGTGTTCCAGCACAGCTGGCCAGGTGACCTCTGGCACCTTACTTTTGTGCTTGGGTGCCTAGGATTTACGGGTTGGCAGAGGGGACTATGGCCCACCCTTTCTTGTCAAATTTTGTAGCATCTTTAAAGGATTCTTGGTAAAATAAATAGTACTCCGGGCTTTCAATAAGGTTTTAAGAAGGTGGCAAAAGCTTTGGAGTAGGCAGAGAAGGAAAAATCTTTTGCCACAGGAGCGACTTGCAAGCACCGAGGGCGCAAGTTGCAAGGGGGGGGGGGGGGCCCCCCCGGGGCAAGTCCCCCGGGAAAATTTATGAATTTGGGCCCTCAAAAAATGTTTTTTGGTTTTTTAAACAAAACTCCAACTTTAATTTTTGGTTTTTTGTGTTTGCCAAAGAAAATTAGCATTCGTAGAAATTTGTCATCTACGGGCTCTAGGTAAATAAATGTTTTGTGAAAAAAAAAAAGGGCCCCCGGGTTTTTAAAAAGTTTTAAAGGGGGGGAAAAAACTGTGGGAGAAGGAGAGAAAAAAAAAATTTTTTGCCACAGGGGGGGCGGGGAAGGACGGGGGGGGAAAGTGGGAGGGGGGGGGGGGGGGTCCATCCAGGGCAAGTCTCCCTGGAACAATTATGAGATCTGGGCCTCTAAGAATGTATTTTGAGTTTTTGAACAGAACTCCAACATTAAATTTTGGGTTTTTGTGATTGCCAAAGAAAAGTAGCCATCGTAGAAATTTGTCATCTACCGGCTCTTAGTAAAAACCCTGAGTACTATACAGCAGGCAAGTGTGCTAGCCCCCTTTCAGAATTTTCTGGATCCACTCCTGGAAATCATAGTTTATTCAAAGAAATGCTACAAAAATGTACATTGGGTGCCCTGTATTTCACAGGTTCAGACCACCAGCCCCCTTTAATTTTCTTAGAGTACAACTTCCCATTCCTCTTACCCTCAACATTTTAATGAGGTCCATGTTTGGTTGAATAGGTGGTTGACTGCTATGACCCGGTAGTAATGGAGACATGATATGTGCCAATCGAATCATCTTCTGTACATTAAGGAGGCCATCGTCGGTCTTATCACGAAGGACTGTATGAAGGGCGATAAAATCCTTCAGTTGAATACCTGCAGGAAGAAAAAATCACCTGCATGAAACTTTTTGGAAAATGATGGTCAATTTATCATGCGTAGGTTGTGCCCAAGTGGGTGTAGTTCTGAATAAGACTGTTAGAGACTGAGTGACATTTTCAACAACCCGTGCAGTACTAGCAAACATCATCAAAGACAACAACCCTCATGCTTCTGGGTGTCTTACAGGTTGCCCAAATGCCAGTCACTGGCAAAATTAGTCCTATTTAGGACCACACTCACCTGGAGCACTGATACTCTTAGGTTCAATTTAACAAGTGTGACCTAATACAAACACCTCCCTGACATTCATAAAAACAGCTTCTTAACTAAGGTTTAACACCTTGTACTTACAGATGTATTGGTGCATGCAGGAATTACTCACCTCTACATTGTTTGGTTTTCAAGACATTCAGGATAAGAGGAAGGAAAAGAGAAAATAAAACACACATGATGAGCAATAAAATCAAAACCTACACTTCCATTAAGGTGGTTTATGAAAAATTTCATATTAATGAGAGGAGCCACTTTGTTTACAAAGGTATCTATAACATGCACATCAAGACAACCATGACAAGAATCAGCGTTGTCAAAAGTAGCTGGCTGCTGGTGAAAATCACTGCCTACTTGGTTAGTATCGGCTGGCTACTCTGCTTGTCATTTCTTTATGAATGGCGTTTTTTAAATAAAATATCCCTGGACTGGCTGCTTACTTTGACAACCCGGCCACCTACTTCAAAACTTTCTGACAACCCTGAGAATGCTCATGTTGAAACTGACTGACTGCTCTTCAAGAGTTTTAGCAAGTATTGAACGGTTTTTCACTATATTACACAGGACTCAGAAGTGGGGTGTTCACTGTATATGCTTCCCCTTGGACCTTGCAGAGACATTACACCATTCTACACCCATTACTGTTAGCCCAAAATAAATATCTTGCTCCCTAATTCCCCAGGCACCTTGTAGGCCTTTCTGCAGGCACTGTCATCACAACAGCAACAAAGGAACCAAACAATACAGTTCTCCTGGTGGCTTTCTTGTTTGGTTGTATTGTTTCTTTTGTTATATGTAATCTGTGCCTCAGTACCTACAGAAGGAACCCACCTTTTATTCATGAATGAGGAAAACTTACTAGTGGTGCATTTTACTTACAGGATAGGAATATGGAATCCGTTAGCAGCATCATTTAATGCTTTCCTGTAGAATGCATAATTCCCATTGGAGGATAAAAACTCCATCAACAGCTTCATGAACTGAGAAAAGAACAAAAGGAAATTAGATAATTTGAAGTTAATTAACTCAGGAAAGATTCTACTGATTTTTTCAAATAATATTTCAACAGTACTCCAGTATTCAGTATACCTGCATTCTGATTGGCTTGCATACTTAACATCCATGAGCTCAGAGATAGCAAGAAGAGAAAGGTCATATCACCAGATTTGCAGTAGTATACACCCAAAACCAAGCAAACAATTAAACACAAAACAACAAGCAAGAGGGATTCCCTGCTGATTTTTACTGGACTTGTCAACAAGGGTAAAACTACCCACAGAAATCTCCAGTTTCCCTTCTATCAATATTAAATTAAATAATTAGAATCTAGATGAAGAAGTAACCCAACTGGCATTTGTATCATGAGATTATAAGGGAGACATCACAGAGTTAATATTATTGCTGTACCTCTCTACAGTCTTGGCTGAGCAGCTCTTGAGTTTTTTGTAATCTTGATAAAGCTGTACTCCTTAACCCTCCTGCCACCGCCATGAGACCATTAAAATTTTGCAGCTCTTTTAAATGCTAATTATTGAAAGAAAATAAATTGGTAAGAGACATGCAAACATATGTGTAATATACTAAATGATTGGGCTTAACCTTGCTTCATCTAGCCCAAAACAGGGAGGCAATAATGTACATTCCAATTAGAGAGCACAATTTTGTTTTATCTTGTGACCATAAGGACAATCTTACTTACAACTACCCAGTGATCAAGGATTTCTTTCCAACACAGCTTCTAGCAATTACGAAGTCTTTTTCATGGCTTGTCAGTCACATAGTCGGTTTGTTTATGCTTGTAGGGCTTCCCTCGAGTTTCTCTTTGGGAATAAACAAACCAACTATGTGACTGACAAGCCACTCAAACAAGGCCATGCCAGAAAAAAACATGCTCTGCTCACGGTGTAAATTACAGCATAACTGACCTAGTACCATTTTAATTACTTACTTTAGCTGTTTGTTGGAATTTTTCAAAGCAAGCTGCTCTTTCTTGAGGGGAAACACAATTTAACACCATGCCTTGTACCCAACGTGATACACCGTTAAATAGAGCTACATATCTGTCCAGATAGGTGGTGTCCTTTAACTTGCCAGTAAGAACATATGTCTTCCACTCTGAAAACTGGATATGAAAAATTAATGTTGATAATCAAGGTTCCATATACTTTTAACGAAATGCAATGGAGGCTTAGGTAAACTCTTGTAAGTTGGTCTGTGTTGTTCTATATGTCATAGTCATCTTCCTTGACTATCTACAGGGCTGACTCTCTCTCAGTAGGACACCAAGTGCATGTGAAAAGCTGTCTATTTTTTAGAGACTTGGCTATTATTTCTTTGTCTGTGAGCTAAAGAAGTGCATCAAGCCATATAGGTATGTGCCGCCCCATCGGCTGGGTTTTTGCGCTGTTTTGTTCTGAAAACGAGTATACACTTTGCCCATTTTGGTCTGAGCAGTTTTTGGCGCCTGCTCCAAAAAGACTGCCCTGGCGGTAAGGTACCATTTCTGAAAAAAAAAAAAACAACCCAAAAAGAAAATGAACAAGAAATGAGTTATCCTTACTGGTATTCTACGAAGCATTCTGTATTCAAGAAAAGTTAGTTGTTCTGCAATGGTAGTAGCTGATAAATCCTTAAAAGCCATAGAACCCTTTCGTTGTCCTAATGGTTGCTGTTCGCCAACTGTCCCCCCACTGAATGAATGTTGCCGCATCTCCTCAACACCTCTGATAAGGAAGTAAATGCCAAGCACAATGTTATCCCTAACTTAAATCTTCATCTTTAAAGAGCAAAGGTAGCAGGTCATCATTTACAGTACGATTTTCATATATTTAAAAACTTCAGTACAGGGTTAGTTAACTTACTTCCAATCACTGGGTTAAAGATCAATGAGCGAGAAAATGAAAATGAACCAACAAACCAGTGAGAGAATGAATGAACAGATGTGCTAATGAATAAATGACTGAACAAATGAAAGAAGAAATAAAAGAAGGAAGGAACAAATGAATGAATAAGTGGGATAAATGCTGGTTCCCTTACATATTAGAAGGATCAATGGCTTCTCTTTCCACCTCAAATTCTACGCTCTTGTGAAATTCTTTCAGCAGTGACGTCAATTTTTCATTCTTCTTGAAGTCATTTCCATATCTTGTCATCCAAAACCTGTGCACATAAAAATGACATGCATTTCATTGGATGATCTTGCAACAATACTTCATTTGGTGATTTCAACTGAAGCTGAAATAAAATCAAATACACTTAAAAAATAATGATAGATTAATATTATTTCTTTAATTCTTTATCCACAAAAAATATTAACAAGTTTTTAATTAGTTTCTAGAATAACATGCTTCTCTAAAACTCATTTACACAGTTAATAATTTAAGCCAAGATTAATTTTAGACTAAAATAATATTAAAATATTTTACATACCCAACAGCATAACAAAGACTTGTCCTAAACTTTCTTTGTTGTTTGTTACTTGAATTGGAGAAATCAGAGTATCTGATAATTGACTTGAGTCAAGAAATAAATAACATTTGCCTGATGATTGCTTCATAAGAGGCATGAAACTCTGCGTAGCAATAAATGATCAAGATTTAATCCAGATCTATCAGTCTACTTCTACTTGTGATGTTAATTATATTAATTTTATGAAATGTTTTTTAAAATTTGGTTTCAAATAGTACACTGTTTCAAAATCTTTCAGTGAAGTTGGTCAATTTTGACACCAGAGGGAAGTAATCTAAACAAAATAATAATTTAACACATTTATTTCTTGATAAAAGCTAGGCTATGGTTTATAACCCCATTTTTTCTTAGAAAACTAACCTTGCACAAAAATCAAATTATAGAATGCTAAATGCTAATAAAGTGGACTTGCATAAAAGATGATGTTCCAGTTGTACATTAATTTTGTTTATAATGTGTAAAAAAAGGCTCTATCCAATGTTCTTAACAACAACTGTCAATTCTTAAGAGAAAAAGCAATCTGAGGAATGTAATTATCTTATAATAATCACAGGTAAAAACTGGAATATATAACAACCTTATCATTATAACAAAACATTTAACATGTACAAACATAAGAACAATATTTTTATTACGGTAAAAAAAAGACCACCCAACTGTGCTTTCATACTGTCAAGGATACCGTTGCATAAACTTCTTGAGAAGCTCTTCGGAGGAAAGGAACCATTTGTATGTCATAAATACACAATTTGAAAGAAACGCCTCTGACATTGTAGGCTGAGGATTTCCACCTGCTAAAAGACAGAATCAAATCAGTCTTAATGTTAACATGATGTACAGGAGACCCTCCAAGGAGGAGGGGGGAAGGGGGTATGTATGTCCCTAGTCTGAATATCAAATAAGGTCATTTCTAAGGGTGCTTTCCATTTCTCAGAACTGGCTGGCCAGACTCTTCCCGACGTAATGAGAATTTCACTGTTAATCAAAACTATTCAACCAGATTAGTCAAATCCTAAAGAATGTGTAGGAAGGGTATGGTTTTTCGGCAAAAACCCTTGCAAAAAGCCAATTTCATTGTCAAAATGACTGGTCTGGCCGGCCAGTTCTGACAAATGGAAAGCGCCGTAAGTTTGAGGAGTAGGCCATGTCCATGTGAGTGTTTAACCCATGCTGCATGTCACTTGTCGCAATTTTACCCTAAGAAGGGCCTAGTACAAGGCAAACAATTAGAAAAAATAAGTTGCAGATCTTCATATCAGACAGTTTTTTTATTAAAGAGATAAAGAGATCTTGATCTAATACCTACACCTATAGATGCAATAAACTATGGCAAAAATATTCTTAGAGAGTATAATTAAAAACATGTACCCCATACGAATGATTTCAACTGTCATCATAAAAATAGAAATTCCAGGTTCAGTTAAATATTGGATCTTCATTCTAAAGTTTAAGCTGTATTTTTATTTAAATTGCCCGACTCGCAGAAGTGGGTGGAAAAGCTATAATGATTACAGTGTATTATGGCAATAGACATGAATTGTCGGTTTAGCTGTATAAAAGGGTCTTTAAAAAAAAAACAAACACTTTTAAGACTTTCCTTATTAAGAAATTCCTTTAATTCTTCAAACCAAAACAATTGAGGGAATTTCCCCATACACAACATGTAAACATACATGCAGGATGCAATCTTAACTCTTACTATTAAAAAGAAAAAGCTGAAGTGTAAGCAGTTCTAAAAGTGTGAAGTTATTCATTGTGATTTTCTAGTAGAGTAGAGTCATGTAGCTTTCATAGGCTCTTACTTACAGAGTAAAACATACAGCTGAATACAGTGAATGGGGATGATCGCAGAAGTGCGCGGCTTGGATCCGCATGCACAACCACAAATCTTCAGATTTTTTTTGAAAAATCCCTAGTACTTAAACCAAGCCACCCCCAAAAAAACTTAACAAATTTTCCTACCAAAAGAATCCTGGGATCAAAAATTTCAAACCCCCAAAAATAACTGCGATCATCCTCGTCACTTGAGATCCAAAGTACCCCTGCCCAGGCATGCAGTGTTGATCCCGCTTCCTTCCTAGTTGTACACACATTAAATGTAAAACCAACTTTTTTGTCGAAAAATTAATTCTGTTTTTCAATTCAAATTTTTACTGAAAAAATGCTTACACACAGATGTTTGCTGGAGGGTATAATTCTTTTGACTTGCAAGTACCAAAACCCACTCACATTTTGCCAGCACGTTAATTATGAACCCTGACTGACATGTACTAACAAAAGAAGATAATATCTGATCCACATGTTCATGCATGTATACACTTGTAAACTAAACATACTCTATATGATCAACAACATACAAGGCAATATTCATGGGACGTTTGGTGCAATGAAGCTTTTAAAAAATTTTAAGAATATTGATTTTTTAAGACATTCTAATAATTCTTTAAAGTGAAATCTAAGGGAGCCGGAACTCCCAACTGCACACGTACTGAGGAAACATGATCTTTGATTTTACATCTTCTGGAACTTAACTAATCGCTGAAGATACAAATTAAGGTCACCAAGCAGGGTTTCCTTTGACATGAGATCAGATTCAAATTACACCTCAGGCAGACAGTTAGCAAAGTAGGACAGGAAAACAAGACAAGACAATCCCAAAGAGGTCAAGTTACTCTATTGAAGAAGAGTTACCAGAATGATCCATGTCTCATTAAAAAATTTGACTTTTAATCTCCCTTTAGTGTTTGAACGTGAAGTAAACTTGAATCATTTCTCTTGTACACCTCCTAGATATGTGCACTTTTCTTTTACTAACAGTTGTTTGGTCTCAAAGACAGCAAATCAAGTCATGTGATCTCTTACATCTCCGTAATACAGACACACACTAGATTGCTTCCGCTTCCATGTCCACATTAAATTAAAAAGGATTTGTTATTCTCCAAAGACTTAGTGCAATAGCAATGAAATTTAAAGGCCTCCAAGCAATACACAGAGGCCAAGCCTATTATATTATACAGTCGACTCCAGGTAACTCGAACCCTCTATAACTTGAACCTCCCGCTAACTCGAAGCAATTTTCATTTCCCTTCAGATCGTTTCTATATAATTTTACCCTCGATAACTAGAACTCCCGATAACTCGAACTGTTCTCTATTTCCCTTGGAGGTTCAAGTTATCGGGATTCGACTGTAGTTTTACACCTGTAGATGCCTACTTGTGAGAAGTGCCTTTTCCTTCACAATTGTTCCTTTGTTTACACGACTTATGTACTGGACAATAACATAAGTACCATTAAAAGTTACCCTTTGTTTGTCTTTGCAATTCTTACTGCCTTACAGTCAGGTAAAATTATACATGTATCTGTCCTCTGGTCAAACCAATATCCAACCTTATTATGAACAATAGGAGACAGGGAATTTTGCTTAATAACCTTTGAATGGATTTTTCCTACATGTAAAACATACACATGTACACTGAATTCAAATACATCCAAACTGTGGTAAAAAACCCCATATTCTTATTTTTTCTTGTTTGTCTGTAGCTTTTTTTTCTTTTTTTGCTATCATTAATGATCATTGGCTGCGCTTTAACAAATAACAGTATTATTATTATTATTATTTCTTTACAACATTATTATTTTTGGCACAATGAGTTATTTCAGTTTTACATATAGAAAACACATGAGTAGGAAAACATGGTATTTCATGGTTTTCCATGCATTATCACAAACTGTCTTGAGTTCCCTCTGCAATTATCAAAGCCCTTTTTTAACTTCGTACTTATATAACTACTTCCTGTGGTAGTAATTGAAGGGTTTCCTGAAAAAGGGAGTAATTTGCTTATCAATAATACACAAATAATAATTATGCCCTTTTTTCAGGAAACCCTTCATTATTGTTGTGGCAAAATAGAAAAATAATTATTTTTTTAAATATTTTGGATCTCATGAGAGCCTAACTTTTCTTGGCTCAGATACTACACCAAGTTATTTGCTCATAGCACCTACAGCGCATTTTGGCTAATTTTCATGTACTATTTTTTCTTTTTTTTCAGCTATGCACAGCCCATAACAATGGAGCAGTTCATCGAGCAACTACATGTTTACATACTGTTATTATTAAGTAGCCTATATGTTGAAATGTAGAATCTGTTCTCAGGTTAATCCAGAATTAACTTTGTCTCCTAGCTTAATAATTATTAATAGAAAACAACGGAAATTCCAAAACAAACTAAGTTGATTGCTGGTTTTACCAGAGAATGGATTGAACCTACAAGATCAATTAAATAAAATAAACTGTATTCTTTATAAATGCCACATTCACAAACAATAAGGTCTAACAGAAACCTTACATGTAATTCAATATTTTTTTACCAGACCAAATTAATATCAAATTTTTGGTGAAATATAAAGTGATTCACAACTACGCTTCAGTTAATGACTTTCTAGAAATTCTAAAATGAGTTTTTTCCCACAAATTGACTTAATATGTCGAATGAACCTATAAATAATTTATTAACCTTACATTAGGAAATATTATTGTCGATCCAGACATACAGACAACGCTGACGATTGTAAAAACGGAAAATACATGTAGAAACCTCTGCCTCTCGGTTAAAACTTCCTTGAATCACGTGAATTATTTGTGAACAATGCTCAATGAATATTGCTAAAGTACAAGACTCAATATAATTCTCCTCTTATTTTCATATCCACTGTTCGACGACACCTATATGCAAATTATTGCCGGGTGGTTATAAACATATGGATGATGTCCTTATTATTTTTTTTGTTACACGCTTGAAAATAAAATAAAAGCTACTCGATATCGCGACAAAGCAATCAACAGAGATGTATTTTTGTTAGTTACGCCTCGGATGTGTATAATAAACTTATACACACGCCCATGTTTTAAGGGTCGATCTTCAGCGTTTTCGATTATTGTACCCAATGTTTTACAAACAAAGGCTTCCTTTTCAAATAAGTCATCTTTTTGAACATAATAGAACAATCACTACACCCATCGAACATGAATGCATGGATCTTAAAAACAAACAGAAAAATTTTCCCACTAAAACCACGCAAGGTTCTTGTATAAACATAAAAAATATTAGTATAAATAATGGCTTACCGAATTCCTCGACGCAGTAGTCCACCAGCTTATCTAAGGAGGCCGCGCGCTGGTATCTCTGTTCTTCATCACTTGTGATAAAATCATCATCAATTCGGGGCTGTTTGTCACTGTGCACATCATTCGTCATGTCTATAGTCTCGGTTGACTCTTCTTGGCTAGCAAAATAAAATTTTACAACCATTATAACAGATTGCAGCGTCACTTTAACGTTCGAATTTAGTATAGATCTTAGATTTCAATTGACACGATGCGAAAACGATAAAGGAATAACTTGCGGCGATAAACTTTTGAATAAGCCGTTCTTTTCCAAAATGCTCCACCAGAAATAAAAACTCTGCGCTATCGTTAGTTTATATTGAAGAGGGGAAGTCATAATTCCTGGATAATTCGATCGCTTACCTTCTCGCATCGTTGGTCATCTTTAAATAAAATACAGTTCGAAATTCGCAATAGCGACAAGCGTCACCATAAATGGTGACCAAAGTTTGTCAGCAATCGTTTCATACATAACGTAACCCAAGATTTGTCGCGTCATAGCGTAATGAATATCTTTTTACGGAAATATTCAAAACTGAAGATCGTCCTCGCTGCCCCTACTTGTCATCGCGTGGCTCTAAAACTACGTAATCGTATCCGGTCACGTTAGGGGCCGACTATTTAACTTTTGAGAGGGGGTGGGTGATTTTGAAAAAAAAAATTACTGCAAGCGCTTGTCGGAAGAAAAAAATTGCATGCGGCACAAATGTAATAGAAGGCTTATGGGAAAAAAAGACAAAAAAATATCCTACCCACCATATTGCTAGGAAAAAAATTCTTGATGATCAGAAATCACCCACCCCACCCCTCAAGAGTTAAATAGTCGGCCCCTTACTCGTTAAGTTTGTGACATTTCCTTCGCCAATTTTCGGAGATTCTTCGTCTATTTTCGGACCATAAATCGACTATAATTCGTCTAGCCAATCAGATTGAAGAACGGTTGGGCACAGTATTCGAATTTTGCTCAAGACAAAACACGACAAGAAACAATTTTTTGTATCCGAAAAATTGAGAATGAAGGACTTTTCCTCTATCGATTTCAAAGACAATGTTCGATTTGTTGTTAGACGTTATCTGAAGACTATTGGAATCAAAGTACCAAAGCTGAAAGGACAGAAAATTCAAGTAAGGGACGCGGTTTCACTGATTCGTTGTAGAGATAGTTAGCTTTATGAACAAACGTTTATCTTAAATTTTATGATCTAATTTGATGTATTGCTAGTTTTTCTACTTTATATTAACTGTTTAGTGTATAAGCGATTGCAGTCATACAAATTACGGCCAGTTTGCTTTAAAGAGCATGAGGTTACAATGCATGCAATGAACAGTGAAACTGACTTCATCATCCCACCTGAACCAACTGCTTTCCGCTGGCGTTATTTCTGCCATTAGCCAAATTCATCCCTGTTATAACACCATTTTTGACAAATGCTCCTTTCAATACAAACAGACTCACCTATGGTTAGAATCTAATATTGAAGAAAAATATGCCATTCATAAAGTCCAGACATCCACATTCACAAGTCGGACGTTTGTTGAAATCGACATTAATTAACCTCCACTTGAGCTTGACTAACCACTTGCCCGTGTTGCTTCTTCAATCGGATGTGCAAAGCAATCAATGTACGCTGTATGATCATGTCTTACACAAGGACGCAGAACAGTGGGTCAGTACAGTTACTTTTGTACGTAAAAAGGTCATCGCCATCGTGGTAACAATTATCTCTTCCATGATCAGGTTAAATCAGAAGTAAAACTATTTAGGTTAGCTTTCTGCTACGCCTAGGGTTTTACCCTGGTATTTACAAGGTTGAGTAATGATTTAATAATGATGCAACAGGATGGGTGAGGAAAGAAGACGGCAAACCTTGTGTGACAATCAGGACAATAATTTTGTTTGATAAACTTTTTCGCCGAACTTCACCCTACTTTAAACAGGTCTTTAAAAAAAACAGAAAACATTAACTTAAGTAAAGATCACGAAAAAACACCTCAGTAATGCGTTCTGCTGTCCTCTTCTTTCTGCCGTCCTGTTGCATAAATTCACTATTGTTGAAAGGGAGGAGAGGAACTATACACTGGCTTCTACTGTGTAACTTACAGTTGATTACAGTTAATTTAACACACTGTAACTGTTCCTTTTAGCCCTCTGTGGACAATAATAAAACTGGAGTATTTGGTGTTTGCCTTGAAAAAGTGGAATCGGTCAATGTGGGAGAGGATTTCTATTGTAGTGTTCCCAAGTAAGTGTGCAACATTAACATTTTAATAATAGAAAATGGACCTTTTAAACAATGGGGTTCATAGAATATTTTTCCCAAATTTATCTTAGATTCTTGGTAGATTCTGCAAGCTCTCTGCAACAACATTTGGCAACAGAGGGCCTATTTAGAAAATCTGGATCTATTCAACGCCAAAAAATACTTAAGGTAAGAATCTCAAAATAGACATCTTTTTTCCCCAGCCAGGTTTTTATTATTTTTATTTTGTTGGATTTGACAATAAATTTGATCACTTGGCATTTAATACTCACCTGACAATCTATTTCCGACAGCAAAAAGTAGAAGATGGTGAAACACTCCAAAATGCTCAGCCTCATGATGTCGCAAGCTTGATAAAGCAGTTTTTCAGACAATTACCAGAACCACTCCTTACCAATCTGCTCCATAACTGCTTCATTAAAAGCCAACATTTGGAAGACGAAGGCGATCGGATTGAGGCTGTTTTACATCTTTGTCTGCTCCTTCCTGTACATCATCTCACCACTCTACAGTTTACAATGAAATTTCTAGCAAAAGTAGCGTCCTGTTCACAGCAGAGTAAAATGGGAACAACAAACCTCGCGATTGTTCTTACTCCCAACCTGATACACAACACTAAGAAAGAAGGAAACAACGCTTCTGAAAAACAGCTCAAAGAGCAGACGTCAGTCATTGACATTCTCTTGAAGAATGCCGATAAAATTGGTTTAGTGAGTGAGGATATCTATGAACGTGCTAAAACAATTGGAGATGATTTAGTTGATGGCTTGACATCATCCAGTGATGAACTTGACAGTGATAATAATTTTAGAAGAGGAGGTAGAAGACAGTCAAGGCCTAGGACAAGGACTGGCTCACTTTCTGGTATGCTTTTTGTGTATAAAAAATTAATAATTAAATCAGACAGAATAGAGTCAAATTGTTGGCCAGAATCATCTAGGGTCCTGGGCCCTTGAGGTAAACTGTAATGGCGTAACGTTAAGACCTTGGCCTTGTCTTATTCGTCCTTCCTGAACAATTCAAAGGGGATCAAAATGAATGAACATTCCTTTTTGAAAAGAGTAGGATGTAGGAGGTGGACCAGGGGGGGAGGGGGGGTGGGGTAGATCAGACCTCCATGATGTGATCTATCTCTGATGGGGGGAGGGCACTAGTAACAGGCCTGGGCCTAGTTGTTCAGAGGCCAATATTAATAATAACCCGGGTTAAACTTTAATCCAGGTTTCTTTTACTTTGTTTGAAAGCATTTTTCGCGATGATTTTCTCTATTCTTTTTAGAGAATCCAATCCTCAAATTGTTGGCAAAATGAATAACACTGGATTTTCTTTTAAAGCCTCGAAATATGAATTGAAAGTTTGCACTAACCCCACGTTACATGTATCTTAACCCATCTTTTAACAACCCAGCCCTGTGTAGTGTTATAGTGGAACCTCGATTTTATGAAGTCCTTGGTATAACGAATGATTCTCTTCACCCAGCAATAGTAAAATATATCGAAAAGCACCTTAATATAATGAAACCTCGTTTGCCAGTCCCTTGGTTCCATTGTATTGGCATCATGCTGTTGTGGTTGCCCTAACCAACAGTTGGCAAAACTAATATTACATAATCATACAATGCAGGTGTTTACTTTTGTTTGCCGCAGGGTTTGTATCCGGTTTAGGCCAAAGTCTTAGCAAGTTCAAAACCTCATCCACCAAGACACCAGTTCATCACAGACGTTCCAGGAGCGTGAAAGCAGATCTCATGCGAAATAAAGAGAAATACATCCTTGATGATAACTGTGAAGTTAAAAAAGGTAAGATGCAACGATCTGTCCTTTCGTGGAGACGCTAAGAGATATGCTAGTCCTATAAAGAATACAGATGCCACGTAAAGCACATGATCAACTTTGTCATGGACAGTTGACTTGTTCCTTTCAACACTACACCGCAGTTCATACAAATATCTCTGTCTGTAACAAGGACACCCATGGGTGAATGTAATGCATAGAAAACACTTGGCACTGTTTATCTGGTGTTGGTATTAACCAATCAATAGTAGAACACCCCTGAAATGCATACACGTACAGTTGGAGCTGCCTCTTTGGTGACTATAATAATTATTTAGAATTGTTTCGATTGTTGATTAACGTGTTTTCAGGTAATTAATTTTGGAAGGCTAAGACATGAATGAATTTCCCCTTGAAGTTTACAATCATGTAGTTTGTATCTATCATTATTAACACATAAATGTATATTATTTTTTTGTTATACAATTCAGATGACCTTGAGTTGGAGCATTTTGTGGCTCGTAACAGTCAACGCATGAGCCTGAGGTTGCAAAGCAAGCGCAGACCAGCGGAAAACATGTTACCCCTTTCACCTGCTGTGAAAAGGTCACTACTTTTTGCAAGATTAGTATAGATGGTTTTCACAGTGATGTCATCAAATTGTTAAGTCAAAATAGCGAGGTTTTATGAATTCTTATTTACACTAGGTTGAAGATAAACAAAAAGTAAATTTCCATAGCATGATTCATTTTAAAAAAAACAGCAATTTGAACTTCTGAGTTTTCAAAGTGCGTCTCACCAAAATAGGGATACTGTTTCGTCTCTCCTCTTGATTTTCATCAGTCTAACCATTTCAAGCATTAGAAGATATGTTTATGCACACGTATGCTAGTTCTTGAGTGAAAAGAAAGAGCTGTCTTAGAAACGGTGAACTCCAGATGTTTTTGTTTATTTTTGGCGGCCATATTGGTACACTAAAACGGTACACCAATATGGCATCTACATACAATGCTCTACAAAGGTGCGTCATTTCAGCAAACAACTCAGAAATTGTGGGCCACAAAGACCTGAGACTTGGACAAATTGTTTATATATTAGTCTTTTATAACATTTCATTTTCTTGGCTTCATCCACTGGATGGTTTCCAATTTATTTTTTTGTTACGTGACAGTGTAAACAATCTTTTATAACTTTAATATTAACAAGTTATATATTAGAGAAATTTGAGGTTTAACTGTATCAAGTGCTAGTGTTGCATTTTTAGAATGATTACCCTGTTCATAGTAATTTGTCTGGATAGCCTTCCACACAGACGTTCTCATGACTTCCTTGCCATGGGGGGAGGATGCGTAGCAAACTCATACAAACGTTTATGTGGGAGGCAGACTGACTTGGTACATTAAACATGTTTTCAGAGTTCGTGACATGAATAAAAATTTCCTATCATAAACTTTTTCCATGATTATACAATAATGTACTCCTCAATATTTTATCTTCAGGAGAGCAATGTTAAGTGATATGACCAACGCTCAAGGTATCAGCCATCCTCGTCTTGTGTCAGCATCAACACAAATGTTCACCACGCCCATCAAACCTCTTATGCCCTCAAAACCATTGAATCAAATGGGTAAGAGTAAGAAGTTTAGTGAGCCTGCTTTGGGTGTAATGTTTAATCACTTAATTCCTTAATGTATTGGCGATGAAAGTGCTAGAGCAATATCTTACAGGTGCATCAGACAGACACAAATCTACAGCTGGTTAAAATCAGTGCTAAGAGAAGAAGTGGTAATTAAGGTGGCGCAAACCTATTTATACATGTGTTGGCTATGATTTTGAATCATGTTTCTCGGCGGAACAATTTCACTGATTTCTATGATTTTTGGCATCCTAAGTAAAGAATGATCATTGGTGGAACTTAAGGAAAATGTTGCTTATTTTCTTGTAGTTTAAGTTCTAAAAACTTTTAAGACATTGGCGTACATTAAAAACCCCGTTTTTACAAAAAATGTAAATAACTTCAAAACCCTACAGCCGATTTTTCTCTAACTTCAGAAAATAAGCCTCAAAGCCCTGTAGATTTACACTGTATATCTGTAAGTTTGAAGAAGTCAATTGTGACCATACAACTTGCTGCACAAAATTCTGGTCAAATTAACCTTAAATTGCTTCGCTAACATATTTCTGAAAGTTGACATACAAATGGAGGAAGAGTGTCGACTGATTATCCCCTATCTGCATCTTGGTATTCTTGCCCATTGCTTCATTCAAAGTTTCTGCAAACTTCAAGTATATGATGAAATTATAGCTGGAGTCAAATGTCCATTAAAATACCACTATGAAATATACACATGCCTTTTAGAGTAAATATATACCAGTCATGTATTGTCATTGTTCAACACTAAAGTTGCATGACTTTCTTGCTTTTTCAGTTAAACCAGGTCATAGCAGGATTCTTCTGTCCAATGAGACAGAGCTCGTCAAGGTAGTGGATACTAGGTCCTATGTGCCATCTCCAGGCAACGAGAATGTTTCACCCGGTGTAATGTCGCCAGGGGACAGTGAAGTGTTTTGTTCATCTTCTGCTGTCAACGTTGACAAGCACAGAGATACTCACACACCACGCAGACGGGTCAGAAGAAGGTATCTACTGCATGTACTTGTTAATTAAAGAACAAAATGAAAAATGCCTGCTTGTGGAAACTCAGTTTGTTACAGCAAATTGACTGGTAAGACTGGCTTGGATGATAACCTTAAGCCGATGCACCATTCACACCAAAGCTTAAACATGTTTAAAAGCTGTTTAGCTAAATGCAGTTGGGATTTGACTTCTTCATATAACTTGTCTACTGTAAAAGCCTATGCTTGTGTCTTCCTTTAATGGTTTTCATCATAGTTTAATCAAACATGTTTAGGCGGGAATGGGGCACTAGTCAAACTTACAACTTGGCAAGCAGGTATTTTCAGTCATGCTCTCTCTAACAAGCTCAACAAATCCCATAATTTCAGAATTATAATACTAGCTTGTGACATCACACGTTTGTATTTTGAAACTACAACCTCTGTTGCAATAATATAGTGTTTTTTCACATGATGTCATGGCAGCCATGGTAGCGGCTAACAGTGGCCTTGTTGGTGTCCCAAATCAGTCTTGTGGGAGTTGAACTCTTTTCTTATGCAAATGCTTTCTTTTGTTCCAATAAATTTGCATAGATGCTAGCCATGTGGGTGAAAACACTCTATAACACTATTGTTTAAGCATTCTGAAAAATGCTTATACTAATATAGGTTGCTTATAAATTGTCCTTCTAAATTCATTTTTCAGACACTCATCTGGGGCAACCACTTGCTTCTCCTCATCTCCAAGGACAAGATATCAAGGCAGCTCTAAGACTACTGTAAGTTTTAGGGTGCAGTTGGCACTGTTTCCAGGGGCAATTTGATACAAAGCAATATAAGTATGATAGCTCTTGTTTCAAAGTTAAGAGACCATAAAGTGAGACACTTTATAAGTTTTTCTCTGTCAATTTTCTAGATATCAAAGGAGTTGGATCAAGGAAAACAGGACAACCAACAGTGCCACAGTCCAACCATTGTGGCTTCCTCTGATTCACTGGACATCAGTCATATTTCAGTTGCTGCCCGCCCTTTGGAGCACACACCTCCAGCTCGTGTGAAATATTCTGGAGCAGCTCTGTTAAAGCCTACCAATGATCTAACACCATGTAAATTCCATCGAGCTACTCCGCCAGCTACCCTACACAACATTGAGCTTAAAGAGGTCTTATCTCAGAAAATCTGAATGTGATCTTAAAAGGCTTAAACCCTTAGACATCTTTAGCCAAGACTCAAACAATGGAAAAGCACCTATTTTAAAGAATAAAGAGAACCAAAGGAAACTAATAATCAGTAGCCAAGCTTATGTTTGAATAATCACGGCACATTCACTTGTACAATGATGTAAAAGTTAATGAACCATACTACAGGAAAATACTGCATAGTAGCTTTCATTTGAATGGACACACGTTCAAGGGTCTCACCCACAGACCCAAAAGTTGGAACATAATAATCAGTTCAACAGGAAAAATCTGCTCCGCAGCTTTCATATGAATGGTTACACTACAGGATTTTTTTCCACAGACTCAAAAGTTAGAACCACCTTGTAAGTACAGCATAATAACTAGTACAACAGGAAAGATCTGCTCTGCAGCTTTCATTTGAATGGTTACAAAATGCAGGATTTTTTTCATTGATTCAAGCATTTACACACTGTATAACCAACATGGAAAGCATCATTGATCATAGATGCAATACAAAAGTACATGTACCGCATGAATGTTTTGCTCAATGACTTTCACTTAAACACAAGTAATCACACCTTGTACAACATGATAGACAGTGATTAGCCACAGGAAAGAACTGCACAACTCCGTTTTCATTAGAACGGCCAAAAATTATTATTGCTTAATCTGACCATAGTTTATGTCTCTTAGATTAGGAGGAGGTGTTTTGGGTACCTACAATTTGCTACAAACTAAACACTTTTGAAAGTCCTATTAAAACCTTGTAGACATGAGGGCCTTGTTTTAAGTCCGTTATGTTTGTATGTTGAGTTCTAAATATAATGATTAATGATTAGACTTCACCTTATTTCAGTCAAGTGCTGTAACATCATAAATTTTAGGTGCTCATGTCAGCATTGATTAGAGGAGTTTAATTTCAAAACGGACACTTTTTTCAAGACACATATTAAATTTTTTTGAGAACCATAATTCTACCCTACGATAACATGGTAAGCTAAGCATTATGATAATTTATTTTCATGAACATAAGACAATATTATTTGTTGTTAAAATAATAGAGATCTGGCAGATTTCAAAAGATATTGCTGTTCCAATTTAGTTGCCCCTTGTAATACAATAAATTTGATGAATAGTTAAAACCCTTATGCATTGGAGTGTCAAAATTTAATGTACTTAAAAAGATCAAGTTTTTGATGCTTTGTTTACTGGCAAGTTCACTGTAGTTCAATAATGGTCACTGAACTGTAATTAGAAGTTATTATTAATTTTATTTGTGGAATTTTCTTATCTCCCTGTTTTAATTTTTGAAAATGTACAGACAATATCAGTAATGTTATGACTCAAAAAACAAAATTCAAAAACTAAGTGTAGCTTGACACTTTAAGGTCCTATAAACCTGGAATATTTTTTATTTCTTAGTTTTTCTTTATTAATTTTATGAAATATTTGAATTATTGTTATTTAGTGTAAAATGGAAATTATAAATTGTTATTAAGACATTTTGCAGTATAAGTAGGGCTAAACATGTAAATAGCTACATTGCCAATCATAGTTACAATCAATAAAGGGATTGAAATTTGAGGTGTTTAGAGTGTTAGTTTCAACTGACAAAGTAGCCTACTTTTTGGGCAGAGGGAGACAAAAAATGAAAAGATATCTGCATTTGCAGGCTACTGACAATACGACCCCTTCACTCCCATTAACAGTGGCCACTGGCAAAAATTCAAAATTCCCTTTTTTAATCCTAAGGGGAAAAATAGCACCATACTGTAGTTATGCCAAAGATGCTTCATTTCATCCACAGCTTTAAAGTTATACAGTGACAAATCATCCTGCCATATCATTTATTGTATCTTGGTCCAAGGGTAAAAGGGTTGAAAGAAAGCTAGCCACAAATCTGTTACACATGTCTTCAGTGTAGATCTCAGCCGTGAGCATTTCAGAGAAAGAGCTCTAGGTAATTTTTAATTTCAAGCCAGTATTAACTTTTGTGACTATAAAAAGTGCCACAGGAAACTTTATTAGAAAACAAAATTAATATTTATTTAATTAGTAAACATTTTTGTCACGTTAACATCAATAATATGAGAGACATCGTTACACTACAGTTGTATCTTGTTTCATACCTGCATAAAATGCAATTTATGGCTATACAGGTCAAAATTAAATTTAGGTTAAAAATTTTTAACCCACCATAGGTTGATTCTTGATTTCCTCTGTCTCCAAGCCCTAATTATTAATGAATTAGTGCTAGGAGACAATGGAAAGTGAGAATTAATCTAGGGTAAAATTTTTTAACCTGAATTCGACTTTGACTGGTAACATTTTGAAAATAATTCTTTTAAGGGAAAATCTCCACCCAGGAGGCTTCATCACGAAAAACACCAGTTAATAAAAGTTTGAAATTAACAGTGGTGCATACCACACCTTAAGTGGCAAAAAAGTGTTGTGTCAGAATTACGTAGGACACTAAAATGTAAAAAATCCTGTTTGAGTTGCCCATACCTTAAAGAGACCCTTTACTGTATCAAGTGGAAAATGGCAACATATAAGTCACTAACAGTAATATTTATAATTATTAATTAATAGCAATAAGGATGTTGCATTTGGGAAACAAATACATTGTTACTCAAATGAGACATTCTTATTGCTATTGAAATTATTTATGGGCTTATAACCACAAAATAACATTCAGGTACCTTCTAGAGGTGTTTTCAATCTCAAAAAATATTCCTGTCATTTTATATGGGACACAAACTCACTACCAGTTCTGCCTTAGAGGTTGTACAAGTATTTGAATAGTAACAACATACAAGTTCACGAACATCCTCAAAAGTAGTTAAGAACAATCTACCCCATTATGGTGCTCTATCATGGACTTCGCAATCTGACAATACATGGTAGAAATACTATTATTAAACAGGTACATCCCAACTTGATTACCTTTCTATTCGCTGCACTAACTACACTGTTTAGTTTTACTGTCATTTTACTCCAACTGCTGAAGCATCTGAAGCTGTTTTAAAACTTTGCTTTGGCTTGTCTCTCTTATTTCACCAGCTAAAAACATCTCATCCACAACAGCATAAACCTAAATGGAGACATTTAAATACCAATCAAAACAATGGCTATTAGCAAATTATAACGAATATCCTCTCATTGAATTAGGTAAAACTGACAGTTGAGGAGAAAAAAGGCTAAAGTTAAATAAAGACATAGATTCTTAAGTCAAATCAATAAAAATTTTGCAGTACCTTGTAAAAGTTAAAAACTAAGTCCAGTTCACAAACATTGTGAAAAAATTCATTTAAAACCTGAAATAACAAGAAGATAAAGGATGATATATTTAATGAAGCTAAATGTTAGCTAAGGCCTGGTTAAGACATCGAACTTTTCATGAGCCGAACCTAACACATTGAATTAAGTACATGAAAAGTTGGGCATCTGAATCAATAAGAACACCTGTTTCAGTTTCGAACAGCTCAGCCATTCTTTCCACCTACCCTGGCCGGGAATTTCGCCTTTGGAGCGACTTTGGAACGGCTTTGATTCAGATGCTGAACTTTTCATGTACCGAACCTGAGATCGGCATCTGAACCAGGCCTAAGTTATTCATTTCAATAACCCTGTCTTAACAAGCTACACCATGAAAGTTAGTCTTCTCTTACAACACAAGACACACTGGCGTGAAATCCCAATTACCAGCAGAAACAAGGTTTTAGACAAGAGTGTCGATGCGTCCTGTGGATACCCACTTTTGGATGTAAATGCGACTAAAATAATATTTTATACATCTATTCACATAATCTGTTGTAGTTTTGTGGGAGAACATGATTTCTGGATGCCCAGTTTTCAATGTTTGGCTAAATGCCTCAGCAGAAATGGAGACACCCTACAAGTACACTTTTAGGCTTTGGAGCTTATTGAGTTGGGTGTAAGTGATTATGGGGTGGGGAAAGCTAATTCTTACCTCAACAAAGTTATGAATAGCTTCTAAATAATATAAGTTGTTGTCAAGTACATCCACGCAGAAACAGAAGTAAAGGCCAGCATATCGTCGGTATACAATCTTGAAGTTCCGAAACTAAACAAAAAAATTATACCATTCAGAAAAGCCCCATTTACCGTCAGTTACATTTAAGCATGTACACGTGAGGAAAAAATACATTCTAATTGGGTGCAAACACGACATGTTTTGCTGCCAAACATTTGAAGTTTGAAGTAGGCGGCTGTTGTCAACTTGATTTGTTTTCGCTCAAGAAAATATTCTTTGCAAGAATTTTTAGACCGTTGTTAAGAATAATTTCTGGAGGCTAGAGTGCTACTATGCTTCATGCAAAAGAACTGGAACAAGCTCCGGCCGTTTGGGTCTTTGGCTCACGTGTACCTTTACTTAGAAATGATCTTACATATTTTATGCCAACTCTCCTAGAATTTCCAGCAATCTACTGGAAAGAAGACAAATCTCCTACTATAACCTAAAAGAGGCTTTTTTAAGCTCTTTGGAATTTAACCCAAGTATTTAAAGTTAAAATTATGATTTCTGGCAGTATTACTGTGTGAAAAAGATCATTTTCTTCCTTTGGGTTTACCACAATATGTCGGAAGAATGGTGGGGTGGATTGGCAATATGGTGGAGAGGGTAGTACAGGGTTTCACTATTTGTTAAAGTAGAAGGGTGCCAAAGGTTGAGTGCAGGGGGGGTGGGGTGGTGGCAGAGAAAGTAGGTTTGAGAGTCAGCTTTTCCATTTTGCCCGGAGGAAGGTACTACATACACTGGTGCCAATACCCAGGTCCCGGCTTCTAATAAAACCCTGACAAACAGTAGATGGAGAATATCTATATTTCAGATCTCTAGTGGTTGGCATCTCTGTACTCAAAGGCTAGGGTACAAAGTATAACACTACACATGTATTGAGGATTTACCATTGGACCATATGGTAGCCGGTCATTTCGCCCAGTTACTTAGCCCCCAGTCTGCAGAGTATGGCAGGTGCATGCGCAAGTTTTTCAAAAAATTTATAAGAAATAAGGGGCTAAAAACGGCCTTGCATGCGTAAAATCTCGTCGAGTTCGGCCGTACTCTGCAGACAGGCTTGGCCCCCTATTTTCTAGGGATATTCCTCATTCTATAAGCCATAAAGCAAAACAAGCACACTTTAAATAGAAGTTTACTCGTTCTAGAATGTAGGGGGCTAAGTAAATGAAGGGAAATGACTTGGGGGCGAGATGACCGGTAACCTATCCAATAAGTACAGGTGTTGTCCATACTGTATGGGCAATACTTTTTTCCTTACATACCTCGACAAAGTTAGTATGCTTAGCATCTCTGACTGTAACCAGAGCATGGACTTCCTCGATGAGCTTTTGTTTTTCATCATCATCGAAATTCATGTACCATTTTGCCAGTCTTGTTTTGCCAGCTCGATTTTGGATCAAAATGAACCGAATCTGTAAAGCAACAGACATGTAATGGTGACGTAAGGTTTTCAAGCTGCAGTAAGATGCAAATCGAATTCCAAAGACTGTACCATCGTTGTTTTAGTCGCTATCAAAGTTGGACAAGGTGAAACTCTGTCAAAGATCCAATATGGCTGCAATATTTTATTGCCCGCAGTGTGTTATGGGCTACTATGTCGACTTCCATCTACAAAAGGACTGGGAACTAAACCCGAAATAATGGCGGAGGAGTTGTCATCTGTTCGTGCAGAACACAAATTTGATGAGACCGCCCTTCACGAATACCTAAAGAAGAACTTGCAGGGTTTTCCCAGAGGTCCTGGGACTTTGAATGTTTTGCAGTACAGGTTTGTATTTGATCTGATTGTGTCAATGATCAGCAAGACTTCGGATCTATCGTCTTGCATACCAGCTGATCAATTTCTCTGACGAGAGTTTACTTTGGGGAAAGTGGTGCCGTTTTAAAGTGTGCTCTATACTAAACTTGGTGGTTTTGTTCTCACTCTCCCTTGGTGCTTCACATTCTACAATGATTTGTCTTTGCTACGATCCAGTTGTTGCACAATCTGGATCTGAGTACCACCAGCCTGTGGGCAAGCTCTCCGGGGAGCTCTGGCGGCGGGACGGTAAAAAGAAGGAGATCTTGCAACTACATGAATGTCTCTGGAATTTGAATTCCACGTCCAGTTCCCCTGTGGCTGCCTGTAGACTGAGCTGTCAGATTTCTGCCAATCAGCGTGAAGTGGAAAGGAGCACAAATGTAAACAAATATTGAAAAACACATACCAAGGATAATGACGTCGTTACTAATGTCATCTTCGCCAGTCAGCAGTTTTCATCAACTTTTGGATGCAGATATTCAAATTCCAGAGATGTCGTTGCGAGCTCCCCTTCCTTTTCCCACCCCGCCACCAGAGTGCTCTTGAGAGCTTGCTCACAGGCTAGAGTACCACCGTCACTCCCTGATAACAAAAAGCAGTTGATAACAAAAGCAGTACATTCGTGATCTTCCCAATAAAATATCACATTGGTGGGGATATGATTGCAAGTTAGTTAATCCAAACAGTGACATGTGCTTTCTCCTGAACCAAAGGTCATTTACACAAACACCCAACCCCTCCACCTCCCATCTTGATGGGATTTTCTGAGGGGAAGCTGTGTTCAGACTCTTTTATACATGTAGTGTTTTCAAAGAGAATGTCAAAAAAATTTAACAGTCCTTGTCAGCACTTTAATATTATTGTTATTTTTTATCTTTTCTTTATTCCAGTTCGTGTTGGTCTTTTAATATCTGATTTGTCCATATCAGTGAGCAAGGATATACGTCAATTTTATTATTGAAATGGATCTTTTTCCATTCCACCTGATCACAACATTTTCCTTTGACCATATATTCTGGTGTTTGCAGTTTTCTTAGGTTGACAGTATATGTTCTTCTTTAGTTCAGGGCAGTCAAATCCAACATTCTGCTTGAGCAAGAATGGAAAAAAATTTGTCTTGAGGAAAAAACCTCCTGGAAAGCTGCTCAGAGGTGCTCATCAGGTATGCCTTGTTCATTTTTTTTATCTTTGTAGTTTGATCGTGTAATTCAATGTTTTGAAAAGATCATAGTCCCACACCATTATAAGGGGTAACAGTGGAGTCCAAAATCACCTTCCTCCCCTTCCTTGAATTCCCAGTTTCTTCCCTTCAGTGCAATGTTTATTTTGAGATGTTAAGCATTGTATTTTTTGGCTGCATACCTCCCTCAATTTCTCCTGCTTTCTCCCTTTTAGAACTCTCTCCTCTTGTTTTTTCTCTTCCCGCCCCCTTTTCTCCTACATCATTTTTGGCAATAGAGTAGTGAGAAGAGTAAGAATAATATTGGTCATTTTTTAAATTATTAAACTGTTCATGTTATCCTTCAGCAGCATGATTGATTGCTCTAATGAGGCCTTAAAATCCTGTTTTTTAAAAAATAAAAATAAAAACAACAGTTTAGCCCTCATTAGAACAATAATTTTTTATTTATTATATTCATATTTTTGGAGCCCAGACAATGGTTTGTAAGAATAATTCTAATACTGTAAGAACTTTACAATGATGTTGTTTGAGAGAACTTTTTTCAGTCTTACTGAGATTTTTTTTATTGCAGGTTAAGAGAGAGTTTAGAGTGCTGTCTGCTTTGAATAGCATTTCTTTCCCTGTACCCAAACCTTATCTTTACTGTGAAGATGCATCTGTTATTGGTACAGAATTCTACATTATGGATCATGTTAAGGCAAGTTTTTGTCACTTTGCATTGTTCCATTAAAAAGTGTTTTTAACTTTCGGAAAAGCCTCATCTGAGTTCTTCTTAACAAGGCTTTGGAGGTTTAAGCCCTTGCTGTGATTGAAACATTTATGAATGCCTTCCCTTTGCCACAGGGACACATATTTCGCAGACCAAAGCTGCCTTCTCACACAGCCAGTGAGAGAAGGGTGCTTTACAACTCAATGATATCAACGTTGGCTAGGCTGCACAGTATTGACTGGAGAAGCTTAGGACTCTCAGATTTTGGTCATCAAACAAACTACTTAAGGAGGCAGGTAAGATTATCAAAAGTGATTAATTAGCAATTTTACTGTAAGTTATTTCAAGTTTCAAATAAAGGTAAAAATTCATGAAAATCTCACATTTCTGTTGCTCTACCTATAATAGCATAAAAAATAAAGGGCTCGGCTAGATCATAGTACCTTTAGTTAGTTTTTATTTTTTGTTAAGTCTAGACTTCAACGTGAGAAAGCAAAAACCTTTTAAATTGGTTGGGTGAGAACCAGCCACATTAGAACAAATGATTCCAGAGGATAAGACACCGTACTTTCATACATACCGAGTCTCTTTCACTATTCTGTTTCCTTGAACAAGAGGGAAAACCCCATTTATACTGTTCTATTTATTGTTCTCCACTCTCAGTGTGTATAGAACTTGACATTACCCAAGGGTAACCCCCCAGGGACCCCACTCACATATTTTAATGACGGGGGGGGAGGGGGGGTCCGACAGAGGTTCATATTTGATACCCAAAAAAATCCCAACTTCAGAATTTGTCTACCCCAAAAAAATCCCTACTTTTTTTAGCATACCCAAAAAAATCCCTCAGTGTTTTTGCATCAGCAAATTTTATTATTTATCTTCTGGAAAGCTAAAACATGCCAACTTCAACTTTGGTTTTGGACAAAAACAAAACTATAAATTGCGCTTATGTTATTTTTGATTTGAGCTGATGAAAAATACAATACCCAAAAAAATCCCTCTGTTGTTTTCGCGACCCAAAAAAATTCCGGCGTTTTTCATAGACCCAAAAAAATCCCTTTTGGCCAAAATGTCAGACCCAAAAAAATCCTTTGGACCCGCCCGTCATTAAAATATGTGAGTGGGTCCCCTGGGGGTAACCCTTTGATAGACCATGGTACCATCCCTCTTGGAAATGACAATGTCTTGCTAGCTTTATTTTTTTAGAATAATACTTATAGTAAATGTTTTCAGGTTTCCACTTGGGACAAACAATACAGAGCATCAGCAACTCAGCCAATAAATGCAATGGAAAAGCTTTTATCCTGGCTGGAAAAAAATATTCCTCCCGAAAGCACCCAAGAGACAGGTATGTGGCTAGATTTCACTAGATACTCTGGGAAATCCACCATCATTTCTTGATTTAGAAAATAGGTATTTTCTGGACTTCATGTTACCTGCTTTAATCTATTCAGTAAGTGTTTAGGTAAACCATTTTTAGAGGTTATTTTTTCATCCTTTGTTCCACTTTAGCCATTGTTCATGGTGACTTCAGACTGGATAACCTTATAATTCATCCCACGCAGGTAAGTGGTTTAAAATTAATTCTGCAATCAGAGCAGTGCCATATGAAGAAGTTTGCTTTTCGACAAGTAAGAAACATAACATATGGTTGCAGACAAGAGGAATGTGTACAGGACATTTTCAAAGAGAGGCATCAATAATAAAATTATTTTAGAACTTTGCAATGGCGCTCCATAAAACAGGTCATTAAAGAACTAATGCTCACCAAAAAATACTCCTAACAGATGCTAGCACATGAAATGCACTGATGATCTCAAGCACTGTCTAACTTTTACATTCAGCTAACTGTGGCAGCCGTTTTGGACTGGGAGTTGTCAACTCTGGGTGATCCAATACTTGATCTTGCTCACAATTGTGTTCCTCATCACTTCCCAAGAGAACCTGCAAGGCTGCTGCCTAAGAAAAATTTTAGGTAGCCCTTCGGGCTCCTAAAGTTTAAAGTTAGGAGCCCGAGCCACATTGTTAGGAGCCCAGTTTGAAATCCATGTATTGTTTTTCCAAGATCATTACATAGGTTATAGAGGTTCTTGCACACTTTAATAAGAATTCGCCGGGCCTAATAAATAACACGTAAACAAGAATTAACCGAATTATTTACTTTCATACGTTGCAAACTGGTACATGAAATCGAACATCAAGCACGTCCAGTCGATAGCACGCAAGATAGCTTCCCATTCTCGCCACAAAAAAGTTATCAAATCGACGAAAACCCAAGCAAACGATGAACTGCACGAATGTCAACATAGGCAACAAACAGCCCATAATTTTGCTATTCCATATTTGGAAGTCAAATCTCAGACCCAGTCTTCAACTGCCATCCGGACTCGGAAACGATGGCTTCGTTCGTTTCGACAAAGCTTCACAGTTGAACACGTTAGGTTTACATAATTTACGGTTTATTTGTGGAAATTTTATACTGCCTAATCGCATCATCGCTAACCATATCAACAGTTCCACTGTTTAAAGTCCTACTCCAGCTAAAGGAATATAATGTACAAGGAGGTTAAGTCTAATGCCGTGTGTTAAGTCAGGCGCCCGCGCGGGCTCCTTGTACCGAAATTTGGTCGCCCATGCTCTTACCTTGGGCGCCTCTGGCGACCGGGCGCCCGTTAGGCAGCAGCCTTGAGGACCTGCAGACATGCTTCCTGCATTTTCCTTAGGTGAGTTTTATCAATCTTGTTTGCCCATTCCCAAAGTATTTCATTTTTCTTCAAACTGTAACAATAACATGGCCTGGAAAATGCTTCTCAAGGGATTATCCCATCAATATATCATCAAAGCAACCTCAGGTCCTACTAATATAAACTTGTTTTATTCTTTAACTGTTTTAGCAAGTCCAAGTGCTGGTATTCCATCAGAGAAGGAGTTGGTCTCTACATACTGCAAGCTTCGTGGCTTTAGTAAAACTTCATTTCCAAACTGGAACTTCTACCTTGCTCTGTCTTTTTTCAGAATGGCTGCTATAGCCCAGGTTTAGTATGGCCATTTTTTTTTTACCACAAACAAGCCCCTAGGCTATAGGTGTTAGGAAGTTCTCCTTGGGGGCGGGGGAGTCACATTATGAAAGGAGAGGTACAGGCTAAATTTAGAATATTTAATGGATGACAAAATGCATGTGACATGATTGATTAGATCAGGTTAATTGTTATTTAACCAGTAAAATTTGCAGAGAAGGCATAGGCTACTCTCAATTTTCAGGGGTCTGCCCTGGTTTCTGAAGCATCAATCCCAGCTTCTTTGCTGTAAATGAAATATCACTAAAAAAGACTTAAGGCACTTTTCATTTGTCATTACTGACCAGCCAGACCATTCTTTTTTTAATAAGAATTTCACTTTTAATCAAAACTATCCAGCCAGATCGGTCAAATCCTAAATAGGATGAATGAAGGAGGTGCTTTTTCAGCAAAAACCCTTCGGAAAAAGCCAATTTCATTTGCTAACTCACTGGTCTGGCAATGGTCTGGCCGGCCAGTTCTGACAAATGTAAAGCACCATATGACACCAAATTTGTGATTGGTTTTACAGGGAATCTATGCAAGAGCTATGCAGGGCAATGCTAGTGCACCTAATGCTGCTTCATTTGGACAAATTGTGCAGCCATTGGCTGAAGCAGGGTTGAGATTAGCTCTCCAAGATCAGTAAGTTGAAGCATGAAGATACTGACTGTTTAGTCACGACCCATCTGGTGTGATTGTGATACGTGTTCATACTTTGTCACAAAATCCTGATTTATTGTCATAATCCTAACTGCTATTGTGTGAGTGTGGTGTAATTTGTCTAAGAATAATTGTTTTACTTTGTTTCAGAAAACCCTCTGTTAGTCACAGCATTGCTCCACGCCAATGTAACAATACCTCAATCTTTCAACCATCTGAAAAAGCTCAAGCATTGTATTCCAAAATGAAAGCATTCATGGACAAATATGTTTACCCAGCTGAACAGGTAATAATTTTAGCAGACAACAGTATTAAAATCATACCCTGAGCTCACAGGTTTTTCTTGAAATTTTTCCCTGTGTGAGAGAGAATGAGCCATATGAAGCAGCAAAAACGAGTCGCAAAGGTCCAAGATAGCCAAGGGGTTTTCTCTTCCTCCCCACATTGCAATTTGTTTTCACTGCTTTGTAGCTCATTCACTCAAAATGAGGCTTAGAAAAATTTCAAGAAAAACCTCTTTACAAGGGTAATAAAATGTTTCAGGCAGAGGAAATTATATCTATCAACAATACAACTTTTGGAAATATTGGGGAAAAAAATTGGTAATTTGAAACATTATTCTTCTCCAGGCCTTCTATGAGCATGCAAGCAATCCTGAAACACAGTGGAGCATCCCTCCTTTAATGGAGGAGTTAAAGGTACTTACAGTATTTTTTAAGATGTAAATGTATAGATTTTGATTGTTTCCTTACTGATGTAAGTCCACTCAGAACATCTCTGGGAAAAAAAAAAACAATCATATTAATTGTGAAGTATCATCTTCTACAATGCTTTTTCCAGCAAAAAGCAAAATCAGAAGGCTTGTGGAACCTATTTCTTCCTGGTGTATCAGGTTTAAGTCAACTAGATTATGCTTTATTGGCTGAGATTACTGGAAGATGTCCTTTTGCTCCAGAAGTCTTCAACTGCAGTGCACCAGGTAAATAATTATGTTTCTATGAGACAATGTTTTGCAATTAAGTGAAATATGGTAGCTCTGAAGTGTTTTCTAGGAATGTTTAAGGTTTTTTTGGATAGGTGTATTGCAGCGTTTGCCTGTCGACCTAATTCAATAGAACGAATGTACATTTATCCCCAGCAGGTTTCTAATGAAAATAAAACTAAGAAAAACAGCTCCTTGGCTCCCAGAACTGAAAAAAATGGCAGATGTAAGCTAGATGAAAGTGTGATTCATAGTCCATTGTGATCATGTACTCGACTTCAGTTCTGTCTTAATGTCGCTAGTCAGTCGCTGTTGCTTGCCAATGAAAATTATCGAGGAAAGCGGCTTCAAAGGGAAAAGTGGGGAGTCTGTGGACCCTAATCACTCTTATACTGTGTACAGCCACCCCTCCCCTAAAACAAATCAACTGTTTTCAAGGGGAGGGGGAGGCTGTACATAGTGTACCTCCTCCTGAGTGCCTGTGAAGAGGGCAGCTTCAGTTCTGTTTCCATGGCCATTTCTTTTGATGACTGTATTTGTGTTATGTTTCCTCTAGACACTGGTAACATGGAGGTTCTTCATTTATATGGATCGGAGGAACAAAAGAAACAGTGGTTAGAGCCTCTTCTCAGAGGAGAGATACGCTCTGTCTTTTGTATGACAGGTACAGTAACAACATTGAGGTTTGTTAACAAAGAGCATGCTAAGTAGACACATTAAAAATATGACTTGCTAGTGAGTGCAGTGCATGCGAGGGAGGAAGACACAAGTCTACCACCCTGCCATGCTTGCATCAAGACCTCTTCATTCACACAGGACAAAAAAATTGGCTTTACACAGCAGATTACAACACGTACAAAGGAGAAAAGTCAAAAGTACATTGCTTTTGTCACTTTGAACATTGTCTTCAATTTCTTTTGTCTCAGAACCTGACGTTGCATCTTCTGATGCGACAAACATGGAGTGTCAGATCACCAGGGAAGGCAGGGAAGTTGTTATCAATGGAAGAAAGTGGTGGAGTAGTGGTAATTGAAAATTATTCTAAACTATCAATGTTATCAAACTGTTCTTTTTCAGTCAGAGAGCAGTCAACATCTCTTATGATGGGCCAAAAGAAAATTACTGCACAGAAGTTTCATTTGAATGTTCGCAACATAGGATTTCAGCCACAGACTCAAAAGATAGAACCACCTTGTACAGCATAATAAACAGTACCACAGGAAAGTACTGCTCAGTAGCTTTCATTTGAATGGTCACACTTTAGGATTTCATCCACAGACTCAAAAGATAGAACCACCTTGTACAGCATAATAAACAGTACCACAGGAAAGTACTTCTCAATAGCTTTCATTTGAATGTTCATACTCAAATGAGCGAGCAACAAACACAAACCATGTAATGCCATTATGACGGCAAGAAAAGATGAAAAGAAAACAGAGATCAATGTGCATGAAACAAGTTGCTTAGAAGTACAAACTATTTTTAGCGGCACAATACTAAGAGAATTCTTTTCATATCAGGTGCCGGAGATCCACGTTGTAAGATTGCTATTGTGATGGGATGTCATGCAGGTGAAAACTTACCAAAGTGAGCACATGAAACTCTTTCTAATAAAACAATTTATCAGATGCCACAACTTGTAGATAAAAATGCCTTCAGTGTTGAAATTTAGCCTGCGTAACACGCGGAAAGAAAGAAGGGCAACGCGCGTGAGGATGAGAGCTTCCTTATCGCATGTGTCCTGACACCTTGCGCGGGCCGCATTTCCTCGCGCCCTTTCGCGCCATATCTTGAGAGGCCCATTTATACCACTCTGGAAATAACAACGAGAGAATAATACTTCTAGAGTAGTTTTGTTCGCCTTACCTGTGCACGAGTACAAGTAAAATGGAACAGGAATACGACATAACGTATCCCTGTTACATTGAATATATTTTCGCAGTCCCTTCGGCACTTTGTTGTAATGAGATTTCACTGTAGCAGTCTTCGCACCTCATTTCAGGCACCAGCGCCATACGATGGTACTAGTCCCACTGGATACCCCAGGGATAACAAAAGTCCGGGCTCTCACGGTGTTTGGCTACAATGGTGAGTACTTGCTTGTATCGTCCTTACTTCTTTACCAACAGGTGACTCTCTCTTTCCTAAAGGTCGTTTTAGCTTGGAAAAAAGAAAAAAACTAAACTCACGAGAACTGTGGGAAGGAATGAACCCCTTGCCTTCCTATAGTTCACCACGCGCCAATGTTTGCTTATCGCAGCGACACTTTTGCACTTTTGAGGAGTTAAGCCTCTGACAAGATCCCGAAACTAACGGTCTCGTGAGTTTAACGCTCCCGAGAAGGGAGAAGAGCATCGTTCCGCCCGAAAGTATAATTGAGGCCAATTTGACGTAACTAGTAGGCAGTGACTATTGTAATGAGATTGTCTAAGCCTTTTTTTCTTCACCATTTAACACTGAGAGTTTTATCGTTGCTATAAGACTTATAATTATTCCACAGCTTGTGGTACGTAAGTATCCCGGTCCATTTTCCTCAAGTTTCTTTCTTTCTTCTTTGTTTTCCGTTTTAGACGCACCGCATGGCCACTTCGAAATAGTGTTCGACAACGTTCGTGTACCTTTGACGAATGTTATACTGGGTATGTATACAAGAGTTAAATCTCACGGTCCTATCATGGACGGAAGAAAATCGGCGACATCATGAATTTCAACTATTATTTGGAATTTATGAGGAACCCGTTGCAAATTTAATCTTCAAGTCTTCAATTTTTGAGCTCGTCTGCATCAACAATCTTTATACGAAGATTTACACATGTAAAGTGAATTGGAACTTCAAAAAGGTGTATTTAAGTTTCTATATTACCAGCTAGCTAAAGTTATTATCACATTTACTTGAAATCCTTGTGGACTCTTACCCCTGTTATCTTTAATGATCCACAAGGGTTTGGTCTAATTTTCATCCAAGGGTATTCACTTTTATGCTTTATTTTTCATTTATTAAAAAGGGGATTTTTATGAACTAATTTACCCTAGCAAATTTCTGCAAAGATATGATGAGTTAATAACATCATCCGTGTAATGTTAAAATATTCAACTCTTCTTTGTTTTTATTCTTGTTGCTTTTGTTTCATGACAGGGGAAGGGCGAGGATTTGAGATAGCTCAAGGCCGTCTGGGTCCTGGGCGAATTCACCACTGCATGCGTTCAATTGGACTAGCAGAACGATCACTCGAACTTATGGTTAAGCGGTCTTTAGAGAGAGTGGCCTTTGGAAAGCGTTTGGCCGAAAAGGTTTGTAGTAGGCGGTTCAAGGTCCTGTTACACGACTGAATCTGTTAGCCAAACATGGCAATGGGATCCTACTGGTAGCTAAAACGAGTACGCCGGACGATAACGTTGAGAAGTTTTGTTGCCAACGAGGCTTAGGGACTAGGCAAGGCCACAAGTAGTAATACCACTTACCTCAATGGATTACACTCGTGATAAGGAACCCGTCGCATGGGAGTCTTGTCATGTATTGCAGTTACTAAAACGTTGTATCACTGATGTTTCTTTAGGGAATGGTACAGGAGCAGATTGCTCTGTCAAGAATTGAAATTGAACAGGCCAGACTGCTTGTGCTTAAGGCGTCACACACCATCGATTGCCATGGAAACAAAGCTGCAAGAAAACAGGTGGGTATGTCAGCAGTATTGGGAGCACAGGGCAACCAGGGCTATCGGGAATGTCACTCGTGTGTAACCCCTTAGTTCTAGTCTACAGCTTAGTGTGACTTAAGTTAGTGACCATGCCAAATTGATCTTCTTCAGTTGTTGCAACGTGCGTTCTTCGTTGGGAGCTTAAGCAACCACGACGGCGACGATAACGGCAAATAATAAAAAAAGATTTATAGGGTTTCGTACCGGTCATGGAAAACCTGGAAAGTCATGGAATTTAAGCATTTCACTTACAAGGCCTGGAAATGCATGGAATTTAATTGTCGGTTCTTGAGAGTCATAGAAAATTAAAGTTTTATTTGATAGATTAGTTACTGCCGATGACAAGGCAAGGACAATATAAAATAGAGAGAAGTGATTTAACAGCGCGAACGGCACGCATTTTGGTGGACACCAGAGTTTGTGTCTGTTGAACTGTTTAAGGTCCAGAAATACCCTAAAACAGGGAAAGTCCTAAAAAGGTTTGAAAGTGACAGCTAAACCTAAACTGACGTGATACAACTCACTTTGACTCTGAAGATGACTACCGCACAGGTTGTCGAAACGTCAGTCACTGTCAACAACAACAGTCCTATTCAGGACTACGTTCACCCGGACGATCAAACTCAACCTACTTTTGAAATGACTCCTGGGTTCAAACCTTTCACAGTTTTAAACCTGAAGTCTTGGAAAAGTTTTAAAAGGTAATAGAAAAAGTCATGGAATTTGAAGTGCCCAAACGAGTACGAACCCTGGGTTTATAATTAGATTGGAAAAACAACATTTTTGCACGTGCATCACGCTTTTTTGTACATTTCTTTGCCGCCGCTAAACGGCCACAACCGGTGAAAGTGCCTAATTTCACGTTTTGTCCAGGACGTGGACGAAGACAACGACTTCATTGTTCTTTTCCTGAACTTTGATATAGTGTTTTAGAATTCAACTCCAGAAATTTTGCCAACATTTGACGAATTGAACGAGTTGGAATAAGCGCGATAAAGTTTGAAGCAGCGCTAATTCACGTTTATAGTGACGCTTTCGTAGACCTCGCCGTACGTCGTTGTCGCGTAAGCTCCCTAATGTTCTCTATCTCAACTTGAAGTTTGTCTGGCGGCTCTGTGTGAGAAAGAAAGTACGGAGCTGTGAACACGAATGAAACAGCTGAACCTTTTCTTGTATATACCTCTTTTTTGGTAATAGTAGTGTACTGTTATAGCGAGATTAGTTTAATGGCGAAAATTTCAGTATTGATCTGTCTTGCTATGACAAATGATATTGAATTTGCTTACCTGGTGAACCAACCAAATTCCAGCAGAGAATTGGTTGAAAAAGACTGTTTTACATCGATTGAGAACTTCACAATTTAACTCTTGCAGATTGCTATGGCAAAGATCGCAGTTCCTCGCATGGCCTGTAACGTTATTGACCGAGCGATTCAGGTGCATGGTGGGAAGGGAGTATCCCAGGATACACCGCTGCCTTATTTCTATACAGGAGCTCGGAGTCTGCGCATTGCTGATGGCCCGGATGAGGTTCATTTGGAGGCAGTGGCTAAACTTGAGCTGAAGGAAGCACTCAAATCCAAGATGTAACCTGGCTATACCATCCATCTGGCCATAGTTATAAAGGTGAAAAGGTTATGAAGCCGGTTAGCCTCCTTTGTTGACCTGACAGTGCACAACGTTCTATAGCATTCCTATCATTTTGAACTTACTGACCGATAGAAACATCGCCTGAATTTATTCAGTCACAATTTGTAAAAAAAATAAAAAAAAGAATTGTGCACGGTCAGGGAGCTTCCAACATAAACTACAGCACCGTTGTTTTCGACTTTGATGTTTGCTGGCTTTCATAACCAGTCTCCTCTGCTAACTATGATCTGGCACAACGATAAATCAACTACATGTGATCGTATACTTAATAAACATATGATAGTAGTCCTGAATGGGACTGTTGTTGACAGTGACTGGCGTTTCGACAACCTATTCCATAAAAATGTTATTTAAAATTCAGCGACGGATTTAGTAGGGAAGAAAGCAATGACGTCGAAATCTCTCGTTTTTCATCAGTACGTAGGTTTTAATAACCACGATGATAAATGTATCAAGAACAGCGCAAAACTTACGGTTTGATGTACCAAAACAATGCCTCTGTTCGTGTGCTTTATACCGATATTTTAGGATATTTCTCCGCCATAATAGAATGAATAATAAAATTAAAGGTTTTATGGAGAACGTGGGTTTCGTCTCCTTTGTCTTAACCTGACCTAAGCTGTTTCAGCCATTTCAGTTGCACAAGTCAAATTGAGCGTACGTGGTAAACACAAAGTTTACATCGAAAAAAAGAAACTTAGCAACTCTACGTATCACGTCAAAATGTCATGTAATAGACCATTTCACAGTTGTGGGCTTAGTATCCTAGCCTTTGAGTGAACGTGAGGCTGAGGTTGGTCTTGTTTTGATACAAACCTTCTTTCTTTTCTTATGAAAATTATACTCAAAAATACTAGTTAGCATAAGAACAACATGATTTACATAATGAAACAAGAAGAGTTGTATCAAAACAAGGTCAACTCCATCCTCGTTTAAAATTTTAACTGTAAAATGGCCTGTTACGTTACTTTTCCTTGAAGCGTACTTTGAGGACTTATGAACAAAGCTTAGTCAACAAAACAAAGCCAAAAATGGGCGTTTATCAATCCCGCTCGCTCCAAAACAAAAAAGTATGAAAGTACAAATACTGTGAAATTACGAAAGTACATCTGCTTTGAACTTTTTGAGTTGGTGTATTAAGGAATTTATTTTTTAAGTGTCATTTCACAACCTCTGTATAATATTTCTAATGCTTAATAGAATGACTCTGGGCAAAAACGAATTACGCTAAAACATTCCAAGATCAAGAAAAGATGATTGAAATATAAACGAATTGATATCCCCATCGTGACACGAGAGGTCCTGGGCCTAGGTTATGCTGTGTTGTCATTTAGCTGTCGCGATTTGCACTAACTGAAACAATTGTGTTGTATAGCTGGGTCTGTTAGAGACCTGTCACACAATCAGATTATACTGTAGACTTGTACTAAACGTATGAAAGCAGAAAGCATGAACATCTACTAATGAGACGAAGTTCTAGTACATTTGTAATATAAATCCGCTTTAAGGCGTTAAGATTGGTCCATGACAATATATAGTACTTTCACCCTGGGTTCTTTAGACTGTGTCAAGTCACCCTCTCCCCTCAAACAAAATTGAGGAGAGAAACGGGAGCGGCAGTACACAGGCTAACAGTTGTTTTGCTTTAATCTAGACCGCAACCGTACTTGGTTTTACATACTTCATCCATAGCTGTGGCTTTCACGCATTCTTGCTACACAAAGGACTTACCAGCCCCCCGGGGGGCTTAATAGAGGATTTACGGTAATCTTTCTTTGTTATTGATCATTTTACGTCTGGTTTAAGTTTCACAATAATTGACTCTTACAATAGCGGTCTGTGATTGGCTCGTCGTCCTTTGTTTCCGAGAAAAGCTATAGATAGAAAGTCACAAGACTTCATTGTTGGGTGTGGAGTGCATTGAAGGTCACTTTGCCTTTGTTCCTTTAGCCATCATGGATCTGACAACGCTATTTCACAATCTTCGCGAAGAAGTGTCTTGTTCGGTGTGCTCGGACTTATTTACGGATCCTAAACATCTCTCCTGCCTTCACAGTTTCTGCTTAAAGTGCCTGAACCGATGGCACGAAACGTGCGGCGGTGGTGAGGCCATTAAATGCCCGAAGTGTCAAACCCTAAGCAGAATACCTGCAAGCGGTGATCTTAAAGATCTTCCAACCAGCTTTTATTTGAACGGCTTAATCGATGTTCTTGCTATTAAAGAATGCAAGAAGACTCAAGTGACATGCGGAAACTGCCAGAACAAGTGCTCGGAAGCTTCGTATTGTTTCCAGTGTAGCATATTTTATTGCGAGCATTGCTTAATATGTCATAATACCATGCGAGACAAAAAGGAACACCGCGTATTGGCGTTAAAAGAGTTCCAAAACAAGGACTACGAGGATGTATTGAAGCGACCAGTGTTTTGTTCAAAGGAACGACACCAGAAAGAAGAACTCAAATACTACTGCAAAGAATGCGAGACGGCTCTTTGCCAAACTTGTGTCACTTTGAATCACGGAGGTCATGATTTGAGATTAATCGAAGAAGAAGCCGAAAACAAAACACTCGAAATAAAATCTATCCTTCAATCCCAGAGAGAAGGGTTAGATGCAAAACTAAACGTAATTGTTCAACTAGACGAAGACTGTGCTAAAGTAATTCAACAAAGTGAAATCGCTAGGAGAGATGTCCAAAGGTTTGCTGATGGCTTGATCAAAACAATTCAAGCAAAAATGAAAAATATTATTACCGCTGTGGAAAACCAAACGAAGAAGTCACTCGAAATTTTAAAAGCAAAAAGAAGCGCGATTCAGCAACAGATAAATGCCACTGAATCATCATTGATTGAGGCTGATAAACTTTTAAAACGAAGTACCACCGCGGAAGTTGTTCAACTTAAAAAATCATTACAGACAATCTTTCATGGATTGAATCAAACCGAGCCTATTGTTCATGACCCTAGTAGTCTAAAAACGTTTGGTTTCGTGAAAAATCAGAAGATGCTTGATGTCGTCAACGAGGAAGACATTGGATTCTTGAAAGAACCTTCTCAAACAAAAGCAAGTGAATCAGTGGCTGAAGGTGATGGACTGAGAGAGGGAACTGTAGCACGTAAAGCTCACATCAATTTGATCACAAAAAGCGCAGAGAGAAAGCAGTGGTATGATGAAGGGGACCGTGTCACGGTAGAGATCAAGGACGAACAAGAACAAGAATGCGTGACACAAGTGAAAATAGATGATAACAAAAATGGAATCTACAAAATCACTTATTTTCCCATAGTTCTGGGGACATTCAAATTATTTGTTAAGGTAAACGGGGAACATATTTCTTGTAGTCCTTTTACTGTGATTTCAAAACCATTTCAAGTCAAACCCGTTTTATCTTTTGGAAAAGAAGGCTTGGGTGATGGAATGTTTACGTTTCCTTATGGGGTGGCAGTGAGTGATGGGGACGAAATATTAGTAGCTGACTGTGCGAACCATCGGGTTCAAGTGTTTGACAGTAATGGTACTTTTTTAAGATCCTTTGGTCACGAAGGTGAAAATGCTGGAGAGTTCAAATGCCCTGTTGGAATAGCCATTGGTAAGGACAGGAATATTTTTGTAGCAGACAGTGATAACCACAGAGTACAGATCTTTAGTTGGCAGGGGAGGCACCTGGGTTCATTTGGCGGCAAAGGAAGCCTTGATAGTCAGCTCTCTGACCCTTGGGGTTTATCCTTAGATAGTAACGGTAATGTTATTGTTGCTGATAGAGGTAACAAACTGATTAAGATCTTTACCCCGGATGGTAGGTTTGTAATGAAGATAGGTGAGCAGGGTTCTTTTCGTTTTCCTACGCACTGTGTTCAGTGTGGTGAATATTTCATAGTGTCAGACTCAAAAATACACTGTATCAAAACATTTAACAGGGAGGGGCATTTTCAGTACCAGTTTGGTAAGAAGGGGGAGGGGGACGGGGATTTTAATTGTCCACGTTTTCTGTCAGTGACTCAGTCAAAGCACCTGTTAGTTTGTGATATGGATAATCATAGAATACAAGTCTTTGAACTAGATGGGAAGTTTGTCGGAAAATTTGAAACAGATGGCACCAAATTAGGAGAATTCAAGGAACCATTCTCAGTAGCTGTTCTAAGTAATGATCAAATTGTTGTGTGCGACAAAAATAATCATCGAATTCAGATATTTCAATAAAAATTGTCCTTTTTTCCCGGAGGAAAGGAGTAAGCAAATCTCTGTTTGATTAATATTTGTATTTGTCCGCTTTACAGCAGTGCTATAATGTTATTGTAAGCCACATTTAGTCGAGGTGAACCCGTGTGGTCTTAAATCAAGTTATGTACATAACGTATTTGTTAAAGGAATGAGTTAACTTGAATATTTTTTTAATAAAGTTCTGTATTCGATAAACGACTTTTTCTTTAATTCTTACTAATATTCATTCTCAACCAAGTTACAGAAAGGTGGCAGTGGTAAGCTTTTTTGAACAGAAATACGTTATTGTTAAATAGATATTTGTGCTTCAAAACCTTATAAATATTCAATAGACATACTCTCGTGGAAGGACATGTAAAATTCATCTGACGACCGAAACGTGAGGGGAGGGATTTGAATTCAGCCTTTGGGGAGTTGAATGACTGAAACAATAGAATGCTAATAAGGATCGACAGGTCATCATTTGCATTTGTAAATGAATTAAAAAGTGAAAAATTCAACGAAAATCTTACAGATGCCAGAATAGATTTTCAGCCTATTGATAGACCAAAAAATAGTGAATCTGATAGAAGTATCCTTAAACGAAATACGGAGTTTTGTAACCAACAAACACCGATCATATTTATAGCGAAACAATTCATTTCGAAATAAGACTGCTTAGCAAGTGAAGAATGAGTCATATAAACAGTTCTTACCAGTATGCAATTACGTAAAATTTCCAGTGTCCCTCATGTCGCTTTGGAATCACTCTCCTTTAGCAACGTATGGTTATCAACTGTGGAAACAGCCGAGCTTAATCAACAACAACGACGGCGAGAGCAACGAGAACGTTTTTTAAAAAAGCAATTCGCCACTTGTACATCTCCCATAATACACCTTGTTTGCCCCCAAAATTTTGCATAACCTTTGATTTTCATTTCTCCTGGGTATTACAGCCGTCCCGAGTCAAGCTGAGGGAACCCTTGGAACGAGGTAACTCTTTCCTCATTAGTAAAATAAGTAATCAATGAGAGATTACGTCAAAATGTTCAAAACTAAGGCCGAACAACGAGTTGCAGTCGAATGGTTCGACTGCAAAGTCTTGAACATTTTGTGGTCTATTATATGGTATAGTATATGATAGTATATGGTATATGAGTCAGACCTGTATGGAATAATAACAATGTAATATTTCAAAGACCTCATAAAAAGTCCGGCGAAAACTCCCAGTAACTTCCTACATATCCCCCCTCCCCGCCCTACCCCCCCCCCCCCCCCTTTAGAAACTAGAAGGGAACTGGAGCCGAAATGAGTCCCTCAATCGTTTCTGGGATCGTGACTGGTGACGTGTCGGTCAGCTATTGGCCAATTTTTTTCCCTTTCCCTCGTAAGTTATTCGGCCCGGTTTCCTCGCTTCTAAAGCGGCGAATGACAGTTCAGGTTTGGAATTTTGTAACTTCTTTTATTCTTATTTTGTGAGATCGTTTCTTCCCTTTTCGGTCGTAGAGACAAAGAGCACGGAAGGGAACAGACTTCCAACTAACAGCATCATTTATTGAATTTCAACTATATTCTATGCAATATTTGGTGGTGTATAACCCTTGAAGCCCAGATAGAGTTTCGCCATCTTATTTTTCGTCACCTCCAAAGGTGAGGTTCAGGTAGTAGAGCGCGGTGCAAAAATTCACGGACAAAAAAAAACGAGGGTCCCCTTCCGTTTTCCCGGTGTACAATTTAACTCGCTCCCCACTGACCGTTGCGCTCTACTATCTGAACGCCTGGAACAGGCTAGGTGATGTTACACGAGACGATTCGCGACTACGATTTTTAGCGCAACACAGCGTTACAACATTTTTACGAATTCCAAAATTGCAACGCTGTGTTGCGCTAAAAATCGTCGTTGCAAATCGTCCCGTGTAAAATCACCTTAACAGTCATGAGAAACAGAAAATATCAACAAAGAAATTCTCCTTTGGTATCAGAATGGAGAGAAGTGCGGAGAATATGGATACCAATATAAGGGCTTTTAGGGTTTATTTACCATTCTACTTGTGCTTAGCACTTACATTCTATTCCTCAATACTTTAGTTCTAGAAAACTTTTAATCATACAAGTTAAATGAAAGTGTTCGCATCTATTATTTACTTTTAAAATATTCTGAATTACTATTTACTACTTCTTCGTGCAACAAGGAAATAAATTTTCTTTAAAAGCTAAAAATTAGCCCGTCTAGTTCATAACGAGTAAATTACATCTATTTGAAAATACCTTTAGGACTCTTGCACTAACGGAATAAAGCATATTCTTTTTTATTTCCAGAAAGGCAGGCAACCTTTTTTAAATTTGAGTGAGGAAATCCTATCCTTATTCATACAGTGCAGTTGACATAATTGACACACCACAGTCTAATAAAGCTTTTACAACTGTATGAGGATAGCTATTGCTGGTTTGCAATTGTGACGTCATGGTCACGAACAATAGCGTTGCTATCCGTTGCAACAAATTTTTTCTATTATATCAACCACCAACATGGCAAAAACATGAGCCAAAAGCCTGCATTTCTGAACATGCCTGGTTTGAAGTCTATGAAAGCGATGCTTGACAGTAAAATGTAAACCCAACACTTGCTTTCCCTTCCCTTTGTGATAAGAGGTCTATTCAGTACATAAGAAAACGCGACAAAGAGCCTAGAAATTATATTAAATAATTCTTATAATTCATTATGAAAGAAAGTAACTCAACAAACAAGTTGCAAATGTTGGTGAAGTTAGCTTTTGTCTCTCGATCTTTTGATTTGCACGTGCCCTCGCCACAAACGAAACTAAACCTCTAGCTGCGAACCAGAATTGAAATACGCCGCATGATTGGCCATTTAAAAAAAACATTGTTTAACTGACCAATCAGGTTGTAAGGAAAACTAAATCCAATTCGTTGTCCGTTGAGGGTTGAGAACAAGCATTCGTAGACGTATTACGAAATAAAACTACCGGAATCGAGTTTTTGAAGCTGTTCAAAACACTCACAGCACCACTTGTTTAAACGTTACATGGTCTTTTTTACTGAGCGATTTCTTGCGCGTTTATTTGTCGAGAGCTATGGTCGATGAGAAAACAGACCATGGAATAACGAGGACACTTTGTGATGATCAACATAGAGTTCGTCCAACTCAACATAGTCTGCATTTCTGAGGATACCGGAATAAAAGTCTATAAAAGCGATGGCTCGCCAGCGAAATTCAAACCTACTGCTTTAACACAATGATGTTTCCTTGATGGCAAGACGTTTATTTTGTGCACGAGAAAACGTGACTCTCATTTCTTTCTCAACAAAGAGTTTGTAGTCAGTTGTGTTAGTCTACGTCCTTAACTAAAAAGCACTTTGACCAGGGGTCTTTTTTTATATTCCCCTACCCCTGAGGGTAACCTTTGCTCCGCCCATTTTACAATCTCCCTCGTTTACCGGTGATCCTACACAAAGGGGAAGCTAATGACATGGGGGTACGTGGTATTATGTGTATGGAGGCTCACTCACCCTAAACATCGGCATCCAGCAAGATTTTCCTTGCTTAGAGTTGTTTCTCGTGTCAACTATGCTTCAAGCTTAGACAAGAGAGCTTTATTCTCTCTTGGCTTAGAATATAGATTTTTTCCCTTCAATAAGATTTAACATTACGGTCAATTAGGTATGCCGGGTACCAGCTCAAGAGGCTTCTAAATTACGCGACCCTCAATATAGGAGGGAAAGGCTTTTAGTGTCATTCACCTAACCTCTTACCGGCACGAGTATAATATTCCTAAAACTTAATATACTGAGCGTAGCCAAAAAAGGAATTACGCTAAAGATAAGCACATTGCAAGAGAAAGAATAGATGATCAACTAAACGAATTGATATTCCCACCGACAAAAATAAATGGGGCGTAAAGGGGGGTCAGGGTAGTTACAACATCCTGCTGCTGGCTTATGCTGTGTTGTTATTTGCCTAACGTGATAAGCCCTACAAGATTTTTACCAGAAACAATTATGCTGTATAGCCGGCTCTGTTAGGGACCTTTGACACTATCATAATATATCATAAACTCGATAAATTTTGCCAAAATTTTGTCTGCGGAAAACATGAACAACTTACTTATTTTAAAGCTGGTTTAAACCCTTGAGGGGAAGGGTGGGGTATTGGTCCGTGGGTTACTATATAACACGGTAATATAATTATTTCACGGACATTTGTTTAGACTGTGTCAAAAGGGGGTTAGTCCATTATATTACCCATATATGTACGTGCCGCCCCAAATGGGGATGGTGTTTGAATCGTTTTGGTCTTAAAACGGGTGTATAACGAGTACAGTAACCCCACCCCTCAAGCAAAATAGAGCAGAGAAACGGGGCGGCGGTACACAAGCTAACAGATGTTTCGCTTTTATTTACTCTGCACTCGTACTTGATTTAGCATCCTTCATAGTTATGGCTTTCACGCATTCTTGCTTCACAAAGGATTTAGTCTTCATCTTGTTATTGATCATTTTACGTCTGGTTTAGTTTTAAAATTATTTGCATTTAAAACGGGAAAACTAAAGCTGGCGCGACGAGGACTCTTACAACATTGGTCGTGATTGGCTCGTCGGCCTTTGTTGCCAAGAAAAGCTAAAGATAGAAAGTCAAAAGACTTCATTGTTGGGTATGGAGTGCATGGAAGGTCAGTTCGCCTTTGTTCCTAAAGCCATCATGGATCTTACAACGCTATTTTACAATCTTCGAGAAAAAGTGTTCCCCCCCCCCCGCCCTACCCCCCCCCCCTCTCTTTAGAAACTAGAAGGGAACTGGAGCCGAAATGAGTCCCTCAATCGTTTCTGGGATCGTGACTGGTGACGTGTCGGTCAGCTATTGGCCAATTTTTTTCCCTTTCCCTCGTAAGTTATTCGGCCCGGTTTCCTCGCTTCTAAAGCGGCGAATGACAGTTCAGGTTTGGAATTTTGTAACTTCTTTTATTCTTATTTTGTGAGATCGTTTCTTCCCTTTTCGGTCGTAGAGACAAAGAGCACGGAAGGGAACAGACTTCCAACTAACAGCATCATTTATTGAATTTCAACTATATTCTATGCAATATTTGGTGGTGTATAACCCTTGAAGCCCAGATAGAGTTTCGCCATCTTATTTTTCGTCACCTCCAAAGGTGAGGTTCAGGTAGTAGAGCGCGGTGCAAAAATTCACGGACAAAAAAAAACGAGGGTCCCCTTCCGTTTTCCCGGTGTACAATTTAACTCGCTCCCCACTGACCGTTGCGCTCTACTATCTGAACGCCTGGAACAGGCTAGGTGATGTTACACGAGACGATTCGCGACTACGATTTTTAGCGCAACACAGCGTTACAACATTTTTACGAATTCCAAAATTGCAACGCTGTGTTGCGCTAAAAATCGTCGTTGCAAATCGTCCCGTGTAAAATCACCTTAACAGTCATGAGAAACAGAAAATATCAACAAAGAAATTCTCCTTTGGTATCAGAATGGAGAGAAGTGCGGAGAATATGGATACCAATATAAGGGCTTTTAGGGTTTATTTACCATTCTACTTGTGCTTAGCACTTACATTCTATTCCTCAATACTTTAGTTCTAGAAAACTTTTAATCATACAAGTTAAATGAAAGTGTTCGCATCTATTATTTACTTTTAAAATATTCTGAATTACTATTTACTACTTCTTCGTGCAACAAGGAAATAAATTTTCTTTAAAAGCTAAAAATTAGCCCGTCTAGTTCATAACGAGTAAATTACATCTATTTGAAAATACCTTTAGGACTCTTGCACTAACGGAATAAAGCATATTCTTTTTTATTTCCAGAAAGGCAGGCAACCTTTTTTAAATTTGAGTGAGGAAATCCTATCCTTATTCATACAGTGCAGTTGACATAATTGACACACCACAGTCTAATAAAGCTTTTACAACTGTATGAGGATAGCTATTGCTGGTTTGCAATTGTGACGTCATGGTCACGAACAATAGCGTTGCTATCCGTTGCAACAAATTTTTTCTATTATATCAACCACCAACATGGCAAAAACATGAGCCAAAAGCCTGCATTTCTGAACATGCCTGGTTTGAAGTCTATGAAAGCGATGCTTGACAGTAAAATGTAAACCCAACACTTGCTTTCCCTTCCCTTTGTGATAAGAGGTCTATTCAGTACATAAGAAAACGCGACAAAGAGCCTAGAAATTATATTAAATAATTCTTATAATTCATTATGAAAGAAAGTAACTCAACAAACAAGTTGCAAATGTTGGTGAAGTTAGCTTTTGTCTCTCGATCTTTTGATTTGCACGTGCCCTCGCCACAAACGAAACTAAACCTCTAGCTGCGAACCAGAATTGAAATACGCCGCATGATTGGCCATTTAAAAAAAACATTGTTTAACTGACCAATCAGGTTGTAAGGAAAACTAAATCCAATTCGTTGTCCGTTGAGGGTTGAGAACAAGCATTCGTAGACGTATTACGAAATAAAACTACCGGAATCGAGTTTTTGAAGCTGTTCAAAACACTCACAGCACCACTTGTTTAAACGTTACATGGTCTTTTTTACTGAGCGATTTCTTGCGCGTTTATTTGTCGAGAGCTATGGTCGATGAGAAAACAGACCATGGAATAACGAGGACACTTTGTGATGATCAACATAGAGTTCGTCCAACTCAACATAGTCTGCATTTCTGAGGATACCGGAATAAAAGTCTATAAAAGCGATGGCTCGCCAGCGAAATTCAAACCTACTGCTTTAACACAATGATGTTTCCTTGATGGCAAGACGTTTATTTTGTGCACGAGAAAACGTGACTCTCATTTCTTTCTCAACAAAGAGTTTGTAGTCAGTTGTGTTAGTCTACGTCCTTAACTAAAAAGCACTTTGACCAGGGGTCTTTTTTTATATTCCCCTACCCCTGAGGGTAACCTTTGCTCCGCCCATTTTACAATCTCCCTCGTTTACCGGTGATCCTACACAAAGGGGAAGCTAATGACATGGGGGTACGTGGTATTATGTGTATGGAGGCTCACTCACCCTAAACATCGGCATCCAGCAAGATTTTCCTTGCTTAGAGTTGTTTCTCGTGTCAACTATGCTTCAAGCTTAGACAAGAGAGCTTTATTCTCTCTTGGCTTAGAATATAGATTTTTTCCCTTCAATAAGATTTAACATTACGGTCAATTAGGTATGCCGGGTACCAGCTCAAGAGGCTTCTAAATTACGCGACCCTCAATATAGGAGGGAAAGGCTTTTAGTGTCATTCACCTAACCTCTTACCGGCACGAGTATAATATTCCTAAAACTTAATATACTGAGCGTAGCCAAAAAAGGAATTACGCTAAAGATAAGCACATTGCAAGAGAAAGAATAGATGATCAACTAAACGAATTGATATTCCCACCGACAAAAATAAATGGGGCGTAAAGGGGGGTCAGGGTAGTTACAACATCCTGCTGCTGGCTTATGCTGTGTTGTTATTTGCCTAACGTGATAAGCCCTACAAGATTTTTACCAGAAACAATTATGCTGTATAGCCGGCTCTGTTAGGGACCTTTGACACTATCATAATATATCATAAACTCGATAAATTTTGCCAAAATTTTGTCTGCGGAAAACATGAACAACTTACTTATTTTAAAGCTGGTTTAAACCCTTGAGGGGAAGGGTGGGGTATTGGTCCGTGGGTTACTATATAACACGGTAATATAATTATTTCACGGACATTTGTTTAGACTGTGTCAAAAGGGGGTTAGTCCATTATATTACCCATATATGTACGTGCCGCCCCAAATGGGGATGGTGTTTGAATCGTTTTGGTCTTAAAACGGGTGTATAACGAGTACAGTAACCCCACCCCTCAAGCAAAATAGAGCAGAGAAACGGGGCGGCGGTACACAAGCTAACAGATGTTTCGCTTTTATTTACTCTGCACTCGTACTTGATTTAGCATCCTTCATAGTTATGGCTTTCACGCATTCTTGCTTCACAAAGGATTTAGTCTTCATCTTGTTATTGATCATTTTACGTCTGGTTTAGTTTTAAAATTATTTGCATTTAAAACGGGAAAACTAAAGCTGGCGCGACGAGGACTCTTACAACATTGGTCGTGATTGGCTCGTCGGCCTTTGTTGCCAAGAAAAGCTAAAGATAGAAAGTCAAAAGACTTCATTGTTGGGTATGGAGTGCATGGAAGGTCAGTTCGCCTTTGTTCCTAAAGCCATCATGGATCTTACAACGCTATTTTACAATCTTCGAGAAAAAGTGTCTTGTTCGGTGTGTTCGGACTTATTTACGGATCCTAAACATCTCTCCTGTCTGCACAGTTTCTGCTTAAAGTGTCTGAATCGATGGTACGAAACGTGTGGCGGCGGACAGGCCATTAAATGCCCGAAGTGCCAAACCCTAAGCAGAGTACCTGCGAGCGGTGATCTGACAGATCTTCCAACCAGTTTCTATTTGAACGGCTTAATCGATGTTCTTGCCATCAAAGAATGCAAGAAGACTCAAGTTACATGCGGAAACTGCGACAAGAAGAGTTCAGAAGCTTCGTATTGTTTCCAGTGTTGCATATTTTATTGCGAGCAATGCCTGGTTGGTCACAATGATGCGAGACAAAAAGGAACACCGCGTATTGGCAGTGAAAGAGTTCCAAGACAAGGACTACGAGGATGTATTGAAGCGACCAGTGTTTTGTTCAAAGGAAAGACACCAGAAAGAAGAACTTAAATACTACTGCAAAGAATGCCAGACGGCTCTTTGCCAAACTTGCGTCACTTTGAATCACGGAGGTCATGATTTGAGATTAATTGAAGAAGAAGCCGAAAACAAAACACTCGAAATAAAATCTCTCCTTCAAACGCAAAGAGAAAGGTTAGATGCAAAACTGAACGTAACTGCTCAACTAGACGAGGACTGTGCTAAAGTGATTCAACAAAGTGAAGTCGCCAAGAGAGATATCCAAAGGTTTGCTGATGGCTTGATCAAAACAATTCAAGCAAAAATGAAAAATGTTATTACCGCGGTGGAAAACCAAACAAAGAAGTCACTCGAAAGTTTAAAAGCAAAAAGAAGTGCGATTCAGCAACAGATAAATGCCACCGAATCATCACTCGAGGAAGCTGATAAACTTTTAAAACGAAGCACCACCGCGGAAGTTGTTGAATTTAAAAAATCATTACAGACAATCTTTCATAGAGTGGATCAGACCGAGCCCATTGTTTATGACCCCAGTAGTCTGCAAACTTTTGTTTCTGTAGAAAATAAGAAGATGCTCGGTATTGTCAATGGAGAAGAAATTGGAGTTTTAGAAGAAGCTTTTCGAACTAAAGCAAGTGAATCTCTGGCTGAAGGTGAAGGACTGAAAGAAGGAACTGTAGTGCGTAAAGCTCAATTCAATTTGACCACAAGAAACGCAGAGAGAAAGCAGGGGTATAATGAGAGGGACATTGTCACGGTAGAGATCAAGGACGATCAAGGACAAGAATGCGTGACGGAAGTACGAGTAGATGATAACAAAGATGGGACCTACAAAATCAGTTATCATCCCAGAGTTCAAGGGACAATCAAATTATTAGATAAGGTAAACGGGGAACATATTTCTTGTAGTCCTTTTACTGTGATTTTAAAACCATTTCAAGTCAAACCTGTTTTATCTTTTGGAAGGGAAGACTCGGATGATGGAATCTTTAGGTATCCTCTGGGGGTGGCAGTAAGTGATGGGGGCGAAATAGTAGTACCTGATAAGTGCAACCATCGGGTTCAAGTGTTTGACAGTAATGGCACTTTATTAAGATCCTTTGGTCACAAAGGTGAAAATGCTGGAGAGTTCAACCGCCCTATTGGAGTAGCCATTAATAAGGACAGGAATATTTTTGTAGCAGACACTTACAACCACAGAATACAAATCTTTAGTTGGGAGGGGAGGCACCTGGGTTCATTTGGCGGCAAAGGAAGCCTTCATAGTCAGCTCTCTTACCCTTGGGGTTTATCCTTAGATAGTACTGGTAATCTTATTGTGGCTGATGAAGGTAACAAACTGATTAAGATTTTTACCCCGGATGGTAGGTTTGTAATGAAGATAGGTGAACAGGGTTCTTTTAGTTTTCCTGTTCACTGTGTTCAGTGTGGTGAATATTTCATGGTGTCAGACACAAATGAACACTGTATCAAAGTATTTAACAGGGAGGGGCATTTTCAGTACAAGTTTGGTAAGCAGGGGGAGGAGGACGGGGAGTTTAATTATCCAAGTTTTCTGTCAGTGACTCAGTCAAAGCACCTGTTGGTTTGTGATCAGCATAATCATAGAATACAAGTCTTTGAACTAGATGGGAAGTTGGTCGGAAAATTTGGAACAAATGGCAGCAAATTAGGAGAATTCAATTATCCATTGTCGGTAGCTGTTCTAAGTGATGATCAAATTGTTGTGTGCGACAACAACAATTATCGAATTCAGATATTTCAATAAAAATTGTCCTTTTTTTCCTGAGAAAACTATATGATAGGCAAATCCCTCTTTGATTAATAAATGTGTTTGTCAGTTGTACAGCAGTGCTATAATGTTATTGTAGGCAAGTGAAGCCACATTTAGTCCGAGGAAAAACCGTGTGGTCTTAAATCAAGTTATGTACATAACTTCTTTGTTAAAGGAATGAGTTAATTTGAATATTCTTTTAATAAAGTTCTGTATTCGATAAACGATTTCTTCTTTAATTCTTACTAATATTCATTCTCAACCAAGTTACAGAAAGGTGGCAGTGGTAGGCTTTTTTAAAACAGAAATACGTTATTACTGAATACCTATTTGTGCTTCAGAAACTTTTAAATATTCAATAAGCACATTCTTGTGAAAGCACATGTAAAATTTATCTGACTCTGATGACCGAAAAGTCAGACGAGAGATTTGAATTCAGCCTTGGGGAGATACGGAGTTGAATGGCTAAAACAGTGGAATGCTATGCTACTAATTAGGATGGAGAGGTCATTGGAAATCAATTAAAAAGTGAAAAAATTCAACAAAAACCTTATACATGTAGATTCCGAAAAAAAAGATATTCAACCTACTGAAACGACCAAAAGAGTGTCATTCTATTAGAGCTTATTCTTAAATAAAATAAGGAGCTTTTTAACCTAGAAAACTCTGGCACTAAAAAGCAAAACATGAGGGGCTGCTTAGCATGTTAAGAATGAGTCAATTCTTACCTGTATTCGATTCCATACAATTCCCAAAACCCCTCATGTCGCGTTTCAATCACTCTCCTCCAATAACTTCTTTTCTCTCGTGCTGTCATCAACGGTGGAAATAGAAAGGTTAAGCAACGACGAGAACGGCAAAGAGCAATAGGTCTATTCATTTGTAATATGTACGCGTATGGCTGTCGCATTTGCAATTATTGTTTTTAAGTAAACAATTAAAAAATTCCAACGGGTAAATGCGACGGCTTTAAGCTTTTGTTGCAAATGAATCCTTGTATCCTCACGATTTATTTAATTGCATAAGTTTACTTGACCAACATTTCCATTTCGGAAGTTTGTCGTCGTCATCATTTTTCAAACAACACAATCAAAAAGGGAAATTTATTATTTAGCAATGGTATAGAAATGAAATATTCCACGCACCGAGTCTTGTTCAGGTGTTCAAGACACTTGCTGCAGCGTTGTTCACTAATGATTTCTCGCCTTCTTATTAGCATGTGTACAGACGTCCCCCCCCCCCCTCAGGAAAAATCGGTAGAGGAGTCTCCTCTCCCGATTTTTCCTGAGGGAGCCGGGGGACGTCTGTACATAGGCTACTTCTTATGGTAGATGAGAGTACAGTCCATGGAAATAAAGCGATGGTGAGGTGATTTGTTTTTCACTCTCTTATCAGCCGCGCGATTTTCGGAGAAACTTAAAAAATAAATGGACGTCAAGCTGTCAATGTTATTGTGTTTTGTGGTTTCTCTCGAGTTTTAAAAAATGGAGAACAATTTTCCATGATCGGATTACTTATCGATCATAGATGATGTGGTCAAAATAAGTGTTAAACAATTTGACGCCATTTCTGTCGTGGATAACAGCACACGTATAGACCGTGGACAATTGTCGCCAATCGTCTTTTTACAATAACATAGTTAGTTTTTAACATTTTAAGGTCATTTCTGTGGTAGATAACAGCACATGTATAGACTCTGGACAATTGTTGTCGATCCGCTTTTTAACAGTTACCCCATTTCGATTGTCTCTATTCTCATATGCTGTAAATCGCGATGCTTTATCCTCTACTTTAGAAACAATAGGGGAACTGCGTGGAGCCGAAATGTGCCCCGCAATTGTTTCTGGGATCGTTACTGGTGACGCAACGGTCAGCTATTGGCCAATTCTTTCCTTTTAATTTGTACCTAGTAACAGTCCCAGACATCTTTGCAAAAGTGACTCGGCCCAGTTTCCTCCCTTCTAAAGTGGCGAATGAGAGTTCAGGTTTGTAGTTTTGTAAGTTCTTTTATTTTGTTAGATCGTTTCTTCCCTTTTCGGTCGTGGAGACAAAGAGCACGGAAGGATACAAACTTCAAACTAACAACATCATTTATTGAATTTCAAATATATTCTATGCAATATTTGGTGCCAGTGTATAACCCTTGAAGCCCTGATAGAGTCTACCATCTTATTTTTCATGCCTAATCACCTCTAAAGGTGAGGTTTAGCCTGTTCCAGCCGTCACAGATAGTAGAACGCAGGGGAAACATTCACGAAGGAAAAAAAACACGAGGGCCACCATCCGTTTTCCCGGTGTTCAATTTAACTCGCTCCCCACTGACCGTTGCGCTCTACTATCTGAACGCCTAGAACAGGCTAGGTGATGTTACACGAGACGATTCGCGACTACGATTTTTAGTGCAACACAGCGTTTAAACATTGTTGCGAATAGTTACAACATTGTTCCAACATTGCAACGCTGTGTTGCGCTAAAAATCGTCGTTGCGAACCGTCCCGTGTAACATCACCTTAAAGCTCATAAGAAACGGAAAATATCAACAAAGACAGAATTGGAATACGCCCCAAAATTGGCCTTTTAAAAAAATCCATTGCTTAATTGACCAATCAGGTTGTAAGGAAATCCAAATCCAATTTGTTGCCCGTTGAGGGTTGAGAACAAGCATTTCAGCGTTGCTTCGCAGACGTATTAACCGAAATAAAACTACCCGAATCGAGTTTTTGAAGCTGTTCAAAACACTCACAGCGCCACTTGTTTAAACGTTACATGGTCTTTTTTACTGAGCGATTTCTTACGCGTTTATTTGTCGAGAGCTATGGTCGATGAGAAAACAGACCATGGAATAACGAGGACACTTTGTGATGATCAACATAGAGTTCGTGCAACTCAACATAGCCTGCATTTCTGAGGATACCGGAATAAAAGTCTATAAAAGCGATGGCTCGCCAGCGAAATTCAAACCTACTGCTTTAACACAATGATGTTTCCTTGATGGCAAGTCGTCTATTTTGTGCACGAGAAAACGTGACTCTCATTTCTTTCTCAACAAAGAGTTTGTAGTCAGTTGTGTTAGTCTACGTCCTTCACTGAAAAGCACTTTGACCAGGGGCCTTTTTCTATATTCCCCCACCCCTGGGGGTCACCTTTGCTCGACCTATTTTACGACCCCCTTGGTTTACCTATGATTCTACCCAAAGGGGAAGCTAATGGCATGAGGGTAAGTGGAATTATGTGTATGGAGCCTCACTCACCCCAAACATCGGCATCCAGCAAGATTTTCCTTGCTTAGAGTTGTTTCTCGTGTCAACTATGCTTCAATCTTAGACAAGAGAGCTTAATTCTCTCTTGGCTTAGAATATAGATTTTTACCCACAATAAGATTTAACATTGCGGTCAATTACGTAGGTCAAGTACGAGCTCAAGAGGCTTTAAATTACACGACCCTCAATATAGGCGGGAAAGACTTTTAGTGTCATTCACCCAACCTCTTACCGGCACGAGTATAATATTCCTAAAGCTTAATATACTGAGCTTACCCAAAAAAGAATTACGCTTAAGATAAGCACATTGCAAGAGAAAGAATAGATGTCAACTAAACGAATTGATATCCCCCCCGCAAAAATAAATGGGGCCTAAGGGGGGGTCAGGGTAGTTACAACATCCTGCTGCTGGCTTATGCTGTGTTGTTATCAGTGCCTAACGTGATAAGCCCCACAAGATTTGTAACAGAAACGATGCTGTATAGCCGGCCCTGTTAGGGACCTTTAACACTATTATAATATATTATAAACTTGTATAAATTTGGCCAAAATTTTGTCGGAAAACGTGAACAACCTACTAATTTTAAAACTAGTTTAAACCCTTAAGGGGAAGCGCGGCGGATTGGTCCATGGGTTAACTATATAACATGGCAATATTATTCTTTCACGGACATTTGTTTAGACTCTGTCAAGGGGGGTTACTCCATTATATTACCCACATAGGTATGTGCCGCCCTAAAGGGTATAGTGTTTGAGGCCGTTTCGGCCTTTTAAGGCCGAAACGGTAAACCCCCCCCCCCCCCCCCCCCCTCCACCCAAAAAAAGGAAAAGAGCGGGGGAACACCAACCCCGCGCTTCAACAATTTTGGTGTTTTTTCCTGCACGACAGTGCGGGCGGGAGGGGAGAGAGGGGAGATACGGGGTGGGTCGTGACCTGTAAAAAAAAAAGTCACTTTTTTTTTTTTACAGAAGAAACCGGCATAGGGGGTCGTGTTGTGACTGGAGTTCAGCAGGTTCTTCTCCCGATTTTAAATTACCCCCCAAGGTATGGGCCCCCCTAAAGGGTTTAGTGTTTGAGGCCGTTTCGGCCTTTTAAGGCCGAAACGGTAAACCCCCCCCCCCCCCTCTCCCTTCAAACAAAATAGAGGAGAGAGACGGAGCAACACTGACACAGGCTTACAGATATTTCGGTTTTATCTACGCTGCTCACGCTCTTGATTTTATATCCTTCATAGTCGTGGCTTTGACGCATTCTTGCTTCCGAAAGGATTTAATCTTCATCTTGTTATTGATTTTACGTCTGGTGTAAGTTTCAAAATAATTGGCATTTAAAATAACAAACTAAAGTTAGCGCGATAAGGACTCTTACAACAGCGATCGTGATTGGCACATCGTCCTTTGTTTCCGAAAAAAGCTAAAGATAGAAAGTCACAAGACTTCATTGTTGGGCGTGGAGTGCATCGAAGGTCATTTTCCATTTGTTCCTGAAGCCATCATGGATCTTACAACGTTATTTTACAATCTTCGTGAAGAAGTGTCTTGCTCGGTGTGTTCGGACTTATTTACGGATCCTAAACATCTCTCCTGTCTGCACAGTTTCTGCTTGAAGTGTCTGAATCGATGGTACGAAACGTGTGGCGGCGGACAGGCCATTAAATGCCCGAAGTGCCAAACCCTAAGCAGAGTACCTGCGAGCGGTGATCTGAAAGATCTTCCAACCAGTTTCTATTTGAACGGCTTAATCGATGTTCTTGCTATTAAAGAATGCAAAAAGACTCAAGTGACATGCGGAAATTGCGAGAAGAAGTGTTCGGAAGCTTCGTATTGTTTCCAGTGTTGCATGTTTTATTGCGAGCATTGCTTAATATGTCATAATACCATGCGGGACAAAAAAGATCACCGCGTATTGGCGTTAAAAGAATTCCAAAGCAAGGACTACGAGGATGTGTTGAAGCGACCAGTATTTTGCTCAAAGGAACGACACCAGAAAGAAGAGCTTAAATACTACTGCAAAGAATGCGAAACAGCTCTTTGCCAAACTTGCGTCACTTTGAATCACGGAGGTCATGATTTGAGATTAATCGAAGAAGAAGCCGAAAACAAAACACTCGAAATAAAATCTATCCTTCAATCGCAGAGAGAAGAGTTAGATGCGAAACTGAACGTAATTGCTCAACTAGACGAGGACTGTGCTAAAGTGATTCAACAAAGTGAAATCGCCAGGAGAGATGTCCAAAGGTTTGCTGATGGTTTGATCAAAACAATTCAAGCAAAAATGAAAAATATTATTACCGCTGTGGAAAACCAAACGAAGAAGTCACTTGAAAGTTTAAAAGCAAAAAGAAGCGAGATTCAGCAACAGGTAAATGCCACCGAATCATCACTGGAGGAAGCGGATAAACTTTTAAAACGAAGCACCAATGCGGAAGTTGTTGAACTCAAAAAATCACTACAAACAATTTTTCAGGGATTGAATCAAACCGAGCCTATTGTTCATGACCCAAGTAGTCTGAAAACTTTTGCTTTCGTGGAAAATCACAAGATGCTTGATATCGTCAACAAGGAAGAAATTGGATTCTGGAAAGAACCCCACCGAACAAAAGCAAGTGATTCTCTGGTTGAAGGTGAAGGACTGAAAGAAGGAACTGAAGCCCGTGAAGCTCAATTCAATTTGATCACAAGAAGCGCGGAGAAAAAGCAAGGGTACAATAAACATGACCGTGTAACGGTGGAGATCAAGGACGAAAAAGGACAAGAATGCGTGACGGAAGTACGAATAAATAATAACAAAGATGGGACCTACAAAATCACTTATTATCCCAGAGTTCACGGGACATTCAAATTATTAGTTAAGGTAAACGGGGAACACATTTCTTGTAGTCCTTTTGCTGTGATTTTAAAACCATTTCAAGTCAAACCTGTTTTATCTTTTGGAAAGGTAGGCTCGGGTGATGGAATGTTTAATAGTCCTTATGGAGTGGCTGTGAGTGATAGGGATGAAATAGTAGTAGCTGACTATGCGAACCATCGGGTTCAAGTGTTAAACAGTAATAATACTATATTAAGATCCTTTGGTCACCTAGGTGTGAATGCTGGAGAGTTCAAATACCCTTATGGAATAGCCATTAATAAGGACAGGAATATTTTTGTCGCAGACAATAACAACCACAGAATACAGATCTTTAGTTGGGAGGGGAGGCACCTGGGTTCTTTTGGCGGCCAAGGAAGCCTTGATAGTCAGCTCACCTTCCCTTGGGGTTTATCCTTAGATAGAACTGGTAATATTATTGTTGCTGATAGAGGTAACCAACTGATTAAGATCTTTACCCCGGATGGTAGATTTGTAATGAAGATAGGTGGACAGGGTTCTTTTAGCTATCCTGTTCACTGTATTCAGTGTGGTGAATATTTCATAGTGTCGGACTCAGATGAACATTGTATCAAAGTATTTAACCGGGAGGGGCATTTTCAGTACAAGTTTGGTAAGAGGGGGAAGGGGGACGGGGAGTTTAATTATCCACGTTTTCTGTCAGTGACTCAGTCAAAGCACCTGTTGGTTTGTGATGGGAATAATTTTTAGAATACAAGTCTTTGAACTAGATGGAAAGTTTGTCGGAAAATTTGGAATAAATGGCAGCAAATTAGGAGAATTCAATTATTCATTCTCGGTAGCTGTTCTAAGTAATGATCAAATTGTTGTGTGCGACAAAGACAATCATCGAATTCAGATATTTCAATAAAAATTGTCCTTTTTTTCCTGAGAAAACTAGATAATAAGTAAATCCCGCTTTGATTAATATATGTATTTGTCAGCTGTGTGCTATAATGTTATTGTAGGCGAGTGAAGCCACATTTAGTCCGAGGAAAAACCGTGTGGTCTTAAATCAAGTTATGTAGATAACCTATTTGTTAAAGGAACGAGTTAACCTGAATATTCTTTTAATAAAGTTCTGTATTCAATAAACGATTTCTTCTTTAATTCTTACTAATATTCATTCTCAACCAAGTTACAGAATGGTGGCAGTGGTAAGCTTTTTTTAAATAGAAATAAGTCATTGCTAAATTAATATCTATTTGTGCTTGAAAAACTTATGAATATTCAATAGGCATATTCTCGTGGAAGGATAGGTAAAAGTCATCTGACCGAAAATTCCCCGAGGCGAGAGATTTGAATTGAGGCTTGGGGAGATACGGAGTTGAATGATTGAAACAGTGGAATGCTATGCTAATTAGGATGGGGAGGTCATTGGAAATAAATTCAAAAGTGAAAAATTCAACAAACACCTCATGGATGGCGAAAAAACATATTCAACCTACTGAAACGACCAAAAGAGTGTCAGTTTATTAGAGATTATTCTTAAATGAAGGAACTTTTTAACCTAGAATTCTGGCACCAAATACATTCTTGATAAGTATTATAATGATTATTAAGACTGCTTAGCATGTTGAGACGGAGTGATATATAAACAATTCTTACCTGTGTTCGACCAAAACCATCATGTCGCGTTGCAATTACTCTCCTCCATTAACTTTTTTCCTCTTGTGCTGTCATCAACGGTGGAAATCAGAAGCTTAAGCAACGACGAGAACGGCAGAAAGCAATAAGTCTACTCATTTGTTTGCAACATGTACGCGTATGGCTGTCGTATTTGCAATTATTGTTTTAAGCAAACAATTTAAAAAATCCTACGAGTAAATGCGACGGCTTTTAAGCTTAAAAGCTTTTGTTGCAAATGAATTAATGAATTTATGCAACCTCGCGACTTCCTTGCTTAACTTTACTTGACCAGCCTTTCTATTTCCGAAGATTTGGTCGTCGTTTTTCAAACAACACAATCAAAAAGGGAAATTTATTATTTGGCAATACTATAGAAATGAAATACCCCAGTGACCGAGTTTTTGAAGCTGTTCAAACTACTCGCTGCGCCACGTGTTTTAGGGCCTGTTTACATGAAGGTGGGGGACCCTAAGGTAGGTGAGGTAACATGTGGCAAGTTACCCCACCTAACATGTAAACGTGATCACATCAAAATGAGAGATTATCTGGACATGCGGGTTACCCCACCTAAGCGGGTTACCTCACCTACCTGGAGTCCCCCACCTCCATGTAATCAGGCCGTTAAAGGCTGATTGCATCGTCTTACAGTAACGATTTCTCGACTTCTTATTGGTCGAGATGATATGGTACCAAGGAAATGACGTGATGGTGAGGCAATTTGTTTTTCACTCTTTCATCACCCGCGCGATTTTCGAAGAGACTTCAAAAGAAATTGACATCACAAACTGTCAATGTTATTGCCGCTTTCGGTTCCTCTTGAGTTTTAAAGAATGGAGAACAATTTTTTTATCATCGGAACTCTTATCGATCATAGATGACGTCAAAATATTTAAGACTTACGTGGAACAAGAGCTGTAGTCGATCGAGTTGTTTTTACTGCAAACTAATGAACTATTTGACGTCATTTCAATGGTAGGTCATCAGAGCACATGTATAGACCGTGGGAAATTGTTGTCGATCCGCTTTTTGCAATAACATCCTTAGTTTTCAAATGAAGAATTCAGGACTCTATCGGGAATTGAACCCGTGTCCTCGCGATACCGGTGCAATGCTCTCACCAAATAATCTTTAGACGTAAAAAATTGTATACACCATGAGAAATTGTTGTCAACTTTTTGCTTTTCACTAAACGGAATATTTGGTTGGTTTCAAAGTCTTTTAATGCTTCCATAAGATAATCAGTGATTCAGATATGTATAGGATGGTAACCGTTCATATCAAAACATACCACAAAATAAACCATTTTTAAGCTTAAAAACTTTTAGGAATCTCTACGGGTCATTTCAAGTTTTGCTGTTTTCCGTTTTGAAAAACTGTAGCGTGAATAGCACAAAAACTTGCTATGCACATATTTTAAATTCCTTTGGTCGATGACTCGTCCCCAGAATCTCCTGGAGGCCTAAGCACCAGGTCCTTGTGCTTAGGCCTCCAGAGGGCTCTGGCGACGAGAATGTCTATGACAATGTAGGACCATATAGATGATAAACAATTCTTTGGAATTTATGTTTGACAATAAAAGCGTTATATATTAAAAAGCCTATTAAAAAGTCCGGCGAAGATTCTGGGAAAATCGCATTGAGGAGACATCAAAGTTTCTCCATTTCGATTGTCTCTTTTCTCATATGCAGTAACTCGTGACGCATTCCGGTGCCACTTTAGAAACAAAAGGGGAGCTGCATGGAGCCGAAATGTGGCCCGCAATTGTTTCTGGGATTGAAACTGGGGATGCACCGGTCACGGTCAGCTATTGGTCAATTCTTTCCCTTGCTTGTACCTAGTAACAGTCCCAGAGGTCTTTGCAAAAGTTACTCGGCCCAGTTTCCTCCCTTCTAAAGTGTTGAATGAGAGTTCAGCTTTGTAATTTTTTAAGTTCTTTTATTCTTATTTTGGGAGTTCGTTTCTTCCCTTTTCGGGCTTTTTTTTTATATTCTTCCAATCCTGGGGGTCGCCTTTGCTCTGCCCATTTTATAATCTCTCAGGTTGACTGGTGGTCGATCCTACCCAAAGGGGAAGCCGATGAAGTGGAATTATGTGTATGGAGCCCCTCACTCACCCTACACATGGGCATCCAGCAATATTTTCTTTGCTTTAAGTTGTTTCTTGTATCAGTTATGCTTCAAACTTAGAATATAGACTTTTCCCTATTCAGTAAGATTTAATACTACGGCAAAATACGTATGCCCGGTACCACCTTAAAACAGAACGAAACAGAAAGAACAGATGATAAACTACACAAATTGATATCCCCACCGTCAAAAACAGAGGGGGCAGAAAGGGGGGTCAGGGTACTTGCAACATCTGGCTCCTGGCCTCCTGGAGTTATGCTTTTGTTTTTGTTATTTACTTACTGATATAAGTCCTACAAGATTTGTACCTGAAACAATGATGCTGTATAGCCGGCCCTGATAGGGGCCTTTGACATTATCATAATATGTTACAGACTTGTATTAACTTTTGCCAAAATTAATTTGTCTGCGGAAAACATGAACAACATACTTAATTTAAACCTGGTTTAAACCCCTCAGGGGAAGGGTGGGAGATTGGCCCGTAAGTTAACTAACATGACAATATAATACTTTCAAAGACATTTGTTTAGACTGTGTCCCGGGGCGCGGGGTACTTCATTAGTTAACCATATAGGTATGTGCCGCCCCAAAGTTTCGGTCTTAAAAAGGGAATAGAACGAGTACAGTCACCCCTCCCCTCGAACAAAATAGACGAGAAAGACGGGGGTAGGTACACAGGCTAACAGATGTTTCGCGTTTATTTACTCTGCACTCGTACTTGATTTAGCATCCTTCATAGTTATGGCTTTCACGCATTCTTGCTTCACAAAGGATTTAGTCTTCATCTTGTTATTGATCATTTTACGTCTGGTTTATTTTAAAATAATTTGCATTTAAAATGGCAAACTAAAGCTGGCGCGACAAGGACTCTTACAACATTCGTCGTGATTGGCTCGTCAGCCTTTGTTTTCGAGAAAAGCTAAAGATAGAAAGTCACAAGACTTTATTGTTGGGTGTGGAGTCGAAGGTCATTTTCCCTTTGTTCCTAAAGCCATCATGGATCTTACAACGCTATTTTACAATCTTCGAGAAGAAGTGTCTTGTTCGGTGTGTTCAGAATTATTTACGGATCCTAGACATCTCTCCTGTCTGCACAGTTTCTGCTTAAAGTGTCTGAATCGATGGTACGAAACGTGCGGCGGCGGACAGGCCATTAAATGCCCGAAGTGCCAGACCCTAAGCAGAGTGCCTGCGAGCGGTGATCTAAAAGATCTTCCAACCAGTTTCTATTTGAACGGCTTGATCGATGTTCTTGCCATCAAAGAATGCAAGAAGACTCAAGTTACATGCGGAAACTGCGACAAGAAGTGCTCGGAAGCTTCGTATTGTTTCCAGTGTTGCATATTTTATTGCGAGCATTGCTTAATATGTCATAATACCATGCGAGACAAAAAGGAACACCGCGTACTGGCGTTAAAAGAATTCCAAAGCAAGGACTACGAGGATGTATTGAAGCGACCAGTATTTTGTTCAAAGGAACGACACCAGAAAGAAGAGCTCAAGTACTACTGCAAAAAATGCGAGACGGCTCTTTGTCAAACTTGCGTCACTTTGAATCACGGAGGTCATGATTTGAGATTAATCGAAGAAGAAGCCGAAAACAAAACACTGGAAATAAAATCTACCCTTCAATCGCAGAGAGAAGGGTTAGATGCAAAACAGAACGTAATTGCTCAACTAGACGAGGACTGTGCTAAACTGATTCAACAAAGTGAAATCGCCAGGAGAGATGTCCAAAAATTTGCTGATGGCTTGATCAATACAATTCAAGCAAAAATGAAAAATGTTATTACCGCTGTGGAAAACCAAACGAAGAAGTCACTCGAAATTTTAAAAGCAAAAAGAAGTGCGATTCAGCAACAGATAAATGCCACCGAATCATCACTGGAGGAAGCTGATAAACTTTTAAAACGAAGCACCAATACGGAAGTTGTTGAACTCAATAAATCACTACAAACAGTTTTTCAGGGATTAAATAAAACGGAGCCTATTGCTCATGACCCCAGTAGTCTGAAAACTTTTGTTTTCGTGGAAAATCACAAGATGCTTGATATCGTCAACAAGGAAGAAATTGGATTCTGGAAAAAACCCTACCGAACAAAAGCAAGTGATTCTCTGGCTGAAGGTGAAGGACTGAAAGAAGGAACTGTAGCACGTAAAGCTCAATTCAATTTGATCACAAGAAACGCGGAGAAAAAGCAAGGGTACAATAGACATGACCGTGTCACGGTGGAGATCAAGGACGAGAAAGGACAAGAATGCGTGACGGAAGTGCGAATAAGTAATAACAAAGATGGGACCTACAAAATCACTTATTATCCAAGAGTTCAAGGGACATTCAAATTATTTGTAAAGGTTAACGGGGAACATATTTCTTGTAGTCCTTTTACTGTGATTTTAAAATCATTTCAAGTCAAACCTGTTTTATCCTTTGGAAAGGGAGGCTCGGGTGAGGGAATGTTTCTTTATCCTCTGGGGGTGGCAGTGAGTGATGGGGACGAAATAGTAGTAGTTGATCAGTCTAACCATCGGGTTCAAGTGTTTGACAGTAATGGTACCTTTTTAAGATTCTTTGGTCACGAAGGTGTGAATGCTGGAGAGTTCAAATACCCTCATGGAACAGCTATTAATAAGGACAGGAATATTTTTGTAGCAGACAATAACAACCACAGAATACAGAATCTTAGTTGGGAGGGGAGGCACCTGGGTTCATTTGGCGGCAGAGGAAGCCTTGATAGTCAGCTGTCTTACCCTCAGGGTTTATCCTTAGATAGTACTGGTAATATTATTGTTGCTGATTCAAGTAACAGTCTGATTAAGATCTTTACCCCGGATGGTAGGTTTGTAATGAAGATAGGTGGGCAGGGTTCTTTAAGTTATCCTATGCACTGTGTTCAGTGTGGTGAATATTTCATAGTGTCAGACTCACATGAACACTGTATCAAAGTATTTAACAGGGAGGGGCATTTTCAGTACAAGTTTGGTAAGAAGGGGAAGGGGGACGGGGAGTTTAATTATCCATGTTTTCTGTCAGTGAGTCAGTTCAAGCACCTGTTAGTCTGTGATCAGAATAATCATAGAATACAAGTCTTTGAAATGGATGGGAAGTTTGTAGGAAAATTCGGTTCAAATGGCAGCAAATTAGGAGAATTCAACTATCCATTCTCAACAGCTGTTTTAGGTAATGACCAAATTGTTGTGTGCGACGAAAACAATTGTCGAATTCAGATATTTCAATAATTTTTTTTCTGTGGAAAATAAAGTAAGCATTTCCCTTGTTGATTAATAAATGCATTGGTCAGCTGTACAGCAGGTATTTTGTTATTCTAGTTAAGGGAAGCCACATTTAGTCTGATAGCTAAACCTTGTGACTTTAATCAAGTTATTTAATTAGTTTTTCGAGGGACTGATATAACTTTATCTATGAGTACATCCCTCTTTAAGTTCACGTGAATTTTTTTCTGACTAAAGTTCCGTCAAGAGCCATGGTTCTGCATTTGATTCTTCTTTTAGTTTTATAGTGTTAACCCTCAATTAAGTTAGAGAAAGTGGGGACTGGAAAACATTTTTTATAAAAGAAATAGAACCATTGCGAAGTATGTATCTGTGCTCCAAAACCTTATAAAATATTCAATAGGTATATTGTCCAATAGAATGAACGGATTTAATCCTGCAGAAGGACCTGGTTAAACTCACCTGACTGAAAAGTCAAGGGAGGAATTTGAATTCAGCCTTTGGGGAAATGCGAAGTTGAATGACCTGAATCGCACTGAAACAGTGGAATGCTAATTTGGATACACAGGAAGTCGTAATCGCAAATCATCTTAAAAAGAGAAAAATTCGAAAAAACCCTACAGAAGCCAGAAAAATTCATGTGACTGAAACGTCAGGGAAGAGATTGAATTCAGCCTCTGGGGAGTTGGGGAGTATACTAATGACTGAAAGAATGGGATGCTAATTCTCGCGGAGTGAGCGGCCGTTAGGCCGCGAGCAAAGCGAAGAGTTATAATTTTGTCGCGAGCGCAACGCGAGGATCGCAAGCGGACTGCGATTTTCGCTTTGGTCATTAAATCTTTCTTTCTATCGGTTTGGTATCCGCAGTTGCCTAGCAACAAGCCATAAACAAATCCTAAAGACGCCATTCAGTATGACGTCATCGTGCATTTTGGGTTTCCAGGCACTACGGCAACCGACTTGAGTTCATTTTATTCATCCTCTGCCTTACTGTACGTTGACGAATCGCCTGGCGAATCGCAAGTATTTCTGAGGCAAATAACAGCGGGCTGCAAACACAACAGTGCCCGATTCGACAAGTGGCTAGAAATCCTTGCCGTGGAAGATTTAACACCGAAAGAACGGCGACCTGAACTTCAGCGAGAGCAACGAAGAAGAAGATGAGTGCGTTCATCGAGCGGCCATTATAAAGCCCGAGAGTGAATGAACACGGAAATAATGCAAAATGGCTTTGAAATACTCGTTTAAGCTATTTTTACTCAAATGTATCTTTGAATTCATCATAAATACAGCACCACAAGGCTCAAACCGTGTGAATGGCAGAGAAAAATACTTCAAGACTATCAATTTCAATTTGCTATTGGTGCAGTGATCGCATGACCCAGTGATATGAAGCCTCACTATTTTCGCAGGGGGAAGTTTGGGGTGCAGGTTCAAATCTCGGCCGGGGCTACTTCCAGTTTTTTTTTTCTTTCATCGTATTTTTACGCTTTGGCTTGTTCCTGCTCATTCTCACTGCTTAGCTTCGCGAGGTTTCTGCGATAACGTATTTCTAGTTAAGGGGATGTTTACATGAAAGGAGGAAGATCTTATCAAAAGCGAGATCCTTGAAGGTGGTAAAACTTTTCGTCCGGTTTACATTCAGTAATGTCGGTTCATGTGGTTAACAGTAGAGACGGAATTAAAGATTAAAGATTATCCACTGAAGGGAACTTCGCTCTTTTTATGTGGTTTGTATCTAGTAGTAGGATCTTCTTGGCGAAAGCAGTTTACATGGTGCTAGCAGGGGCGGATCCAGGATTTTTTTAGGAGGGGGTGCACTCGTCTCTTGCTCTACTTCAACACCAATAAACCACATAGTTTTTTTTTGCAGGATACCAGTTGTATTAGAAAACCGCAGGTCATCTCAGGGGGAGGGGGGGTGCGCACCCCCTGCACCCTCCCCCTAGATCCGCCCCTGGCTAGGATCTTCCTACCTCTTAGCTAGGCGAAGACAAGTACAATTTTTAGCATGTAAACTGAATACAGGAAGCGTATGGCGCGAGGATGTTCCGCCCTCTAAGATCTTCCTGGTGCTAGGATCTTTCTCCCTCCATGTAAACAACCTCTATGATTCACAAATTTTCAAATCAATTAAAAAGTGAAAAATTCACCCAAAATTCTCAGGATGCTAGAAGAGATTTTCAGCCTATTGAAACGACCGAGCGTTATTCTGAAAGAACTTATTCTTAAATTGAATACCGAGCTTTTAAGCCGAGAAAAAGCACCGAAAACAATACCATTTCGAGGTGAAAGTGCTTAGGAAGACAAGAATGAGTCATATAAACAGTTCTTACCAGTATGCAATGCAATAAAATTTCCAATGCCCCTCATGTTCCGTTGCTATCACTGACTCTCCTCTCGTAAGGTTATCAACTGTGGAAATGTCTTTAGCAGACCTTTAAAGGCAGCGTGAAGGCATGTAAGTAGGGATCAGTTTAAATGACTACGACGGCGATAGCAACCAGAGCGTCCAAAAAGCAAAAACTAGAATAGTCAAAACAACAACTCTTGCACATGCAGTACACTTTTTTTGTACATTTCTCTGCCGCAACTGCGCAACTGCGCAACTGCAACTTGAAAATGTCCACTTTCACGTCTTATGAACGACGTAAACAAGCGACAAAGAAAATTTCTTTCTCTTTCTGAATTTGAATATGTTTATTAGGAATAAATTCAAGAAGAGTTCGCTTGCATAAGAACGTAAATACACAAAAACAATGAAAAAATTCCAATGGGTAAATGCGACAAATATAGGCTCCTGTTTGCCAATAAATCCATGCAGCCTTACGAGCTGAGACCAACCTTTACATTTCGGAAGATGTGGTCGTCCTTTTTAATCAACACAATCAAAAGGGGAAAAATACATGAATTGGCAAAACTATACAAATGAAATACTCCAGGTATCGAGTCAGTTTACTAGTCAATCTAATATATAGATTTAGCCAGGGCTAAAAGCGAAGCTCTCTTTTATATTTATGGTTTCCTCAAAGAAAATATAAAATCGAGTAACACTAAAGATAGGTTGAAAACAACGAGAACGGTAAAAAACAACAACAATAGATCTAATTAGGAATTTCCTTGCCGTTGTTTTGCACGACTAAAACGTGAAACTTCTTTTAACTTCCTAGTTACACGTTTCAGGGAGGAAATGTTTGTGTTCCTGTTTACTCTCTTTTGTCACTGCCCATGTTAGTCTTTCTCATTTTCTCACCGCCGCTATATAATTTTCATCTTTTTCCTCCAACGAAATTGTTCTCCGTTTATTTCTCGCTCACATACACAGACTACCCGAAATTAATTTTGCATTAGTATGCCAGTGGTGTGGACGGACGGTCGTTCGCTCGCTCGATGTACGGTCACGTGATTATCAAATTTTCTGGGATGGGTAGATAACCACATTTTCTTAGCTGTGGGGCTCCGCTACAATTCCCTGGTAAGACATGGGTATAAGTGGAATTATGTGTATGGAGCTTCACTCATCCTACACATGCATCCAGCAATATTTTCGTTGCTTTGAGTTGTTTCCCGTATAGACTATGCTTCAAGCTTATAATATAAATATTTACCCTAAATAAGAATTATTAGTATATACACACTCAGTGATCTTGGCAATTCAAGCAATCTGATTGGTTAGCTATCTCGGACTATGACGTTATATTCACCGCGCTAGGCGGTGAATATAAAGCCGAACAAAATCGCTGTCGTGAACTGGGTGTTTTGCCAAAGTTTCAAAGTAAAACCTTTTTGAAAATACACGAATATCCAAGTGCTGATGACTTTGAAGGCAAGAAAAGACTTCATGGTGTTTAAACAGCGTGATTTATTGTGAAGTGGTTTACTTTAGCTGACTTTTTGTACGCTCGAAGCTATGTTTACCACTTCAGAGGAAAACGAGGTCGCTTTGTCACTGTTTTGTGATTTCGGGATTTTCTCGCAAGACCAATTTTGCCTATAAATAGAAGTTAATTTATGGAGAAGAGAGGAAGGCAAATATTTTCGAAAATTGTACGTGCCAGCAAGTTATAACAAGGCAAAGAACTTTGGACATAAACAACGCTCACCTTGATCGCAGCCGCTGTTGACAGCATTTGCAAGAAGCGACGAGGAAAACTTTCTCATTCACGGTGAGTTGACAGAAACAAATAAAGCGCTAGATACTTTTCTTCTCAGAATTGGGTAGTAATTTAAATTTCCGGCGTTTTCTTTTAAACTGTTGATGCTAAAGCTTACAGAACTCGATACAAAAGGATTAAAACTATCATTTGCCATGTTTGAAGATACTGTAAAGATCTAACTTTTGCGCATCCACTGTTTACGGCTTCGTGTTCACGCATGAATTTTCACCCGTCAATCAAACTAATCGTCTTTTAATGGTTTCCTTTCTGATTCTGTTGAGATCACTTCGTGTGAATATACTAAAACAATTATTCACCTCAGGCTCAGTTAATATTGTTGAATAATCCCCTCGACTTCGTCTCGGGGATTATTCAACAATATTAACTTCGCCTTCGGCGAATAATTGTTAAATACTACGGTCAGTTACGTATGCCCGGTACTAGCTCAAGAGGCTTGTAAATCACACGCCCCTCAGGATGGGGGAGAAAAGACTTTTAGTGTAATTACAGAACCCCTTACCGACACGGGTATAGTATTCCTAAAGCTTAATATACTGAGCTTAGTCGAAAAAGAATTAAGCTAAAGATAAGCACATTGCAAGAGAAAGAATAGATGATCAACTAAACAAATTGATATTCCACCGTCGAAAAATGGGGAGGGAGGGGGGGGGCGGGGGGCGGAAAGGGGGTCAGGGCATTTGCAACTTCCGGCAACTGGCCTCCTGGGCCGAGTTGTTCAAAGCCGGGTTAAGATAACCCAGGGTTAGTGCGAGATTTGAATTCAGATTTGAAAGCTTAAAAAGCATTTCAGTTTTAATTTTTTTTGTCTACAAATTGATGATTGAAAGCTCTAAATATAACAGAGAAAATTATCCGAGAAAATGCTTTTGAACACAAGAAAGAGAAACCCGGGTTAAATTTAACCCCGGGTTAAGCGCTAATCGGCCTTCGAACAACTGGGCCCTGGGTTATGCTGTGTTGTTATTTGCCTATCGTGGTAAGCCCTACAAGATTTGTAGCGGAAACAGTATAGCCGCCCCTGTCAGGGACCTTTGCACCATTATAATATGTTATAGAGTTGTATTAAATTTTGCCAAAATTTGTCTGCGGAACAACTAAGTTACTTAATTTAAAACCTGGTTTAACCTCCTGCGGAAAAGGATGGGAGATTGGTCCGTGAGTTAACTAACATGTCAATACTGAATACTTTCACATACATTTGTTTAGACCGTGTCCCGGGGGGGGGGTAGTCCATTATTTTACCCATAAACAGGAGCCCATCAAATGCATAAATGCATGTGCCGCTCTAAAGAGTATGGTGTTTGAGCAGTTTCGGTCTTAGAACGTGTACGGCCACCCCCTCCCCTCAAACAAAATGGAGGAGAGAGACTGGAGCGTTTTGCACTGTAAAAAGCTAACAGTTGATTCGCTTTCAGTTTATCCATGCCGCACTCGTACTTGATTTAACATTATTCATATTTTTGGCTTTTACGCATGATTGATTCACCAAGAAATTTTTTCAATCTTCGTCTTGTTGTGGATATTGGTACTTGTATTAATATAAATCTAGACCGCTCCCCAAGGTAGGGAACATTAGCTAGCCATCGGCAAAATACACTAAGGATGTAAAATTACTACAATATAGCTGAAAGTCACAAGATTTTAAGTAACCAATCAGACAGCGATAGGTTTTGTAAATTTAGTACTAATAGCATACTCCTCGGGTATAGACGCAGTTTATAGCATAAGCAAGCAGAGTTCAGAAGCGAGATTGCAAGCATAGTGCAGATACAAGTTTTCCCATCCCGCCACTCCCAGGGACAGTCTTCTGGTCTTTCTGTCGTTTGTATTCTTTTATATGATTTAACTGTAGTTTTAAGTATTTGTTTTAATCAGTTATCTCGGGTGTATTTCGTTGCGTTTAAGTGTTCCCTGTTGTAATAAAGACTGTCAGATCCCAAAGCGTGTGTGCGTGGTGGTTTAGATTGATCATTTTACGCCTGGTTTAAGTTTCAAAATAACTGATTTGCATTTCAAAATGGCAAACTAAAGCTGGCGCGACAAGGACTCTTACATCCGCGATCGTGATTGGCTCGTCGGCCTTTGTTATGTTTCCGAGAAAAGCTAAAGATAGAAAGTCATAAGATTTCATTTGTAGAGAGCATCGAAGGTCACTTCGCCTTTGTTCCTGAAGCCATCATGGATCTTACAACGCTATTTCACAATCTTCGCGAAGAAGTGTCTTGTTCGGTGTGCTCGGACTTATTTACCGATCCGAAACATCTCCCCTGTCTGCACAGTTTCTGCTTAAAGTGTCTGAATCGATGGTACGAAACGTGCGGCGGTGGAGATGCCATTAAATGTCCAAAGTGCCAAACCCTAAGTAGAGTGCCAGCAAGCGGTGATCTGAAAGATCTTCCAACCAGCTTTTATTTGAACGGCTTGATCGATGTTCTTGCTATTAAAGAATGCAAGAAGACTCAAGTGACATGCGGAAACTGCGACAAGAAGTGCTCCGAAGCTTCGTATTGTTTCCAGTGTTGTATATTTTATTGCGAGCATTGCTTAATATGTCATAATACCATGCGGGACAAAAAGGAACACCGCGTACTGGCGTTAAAAGAATTCCAAAGCAAGGACTACGAGGATGTATTGAAGCGACCAGTATTTTGTTCAAAGGAACGACACCAGAAAGAAGAGCTTAAATACTACTGCAATGGATGCGAAACAGCTCTTTGTCAAACTTGTTTCGCTTTGGATCACGGAGGTCATGTTTTGAAATTAATCGAGGAAGAGGCCGAAAGCCAAAAACTCGAAATAAATACTGTTCTTCAAACAAAGAGAGAAGGATTAAATGCAAAACTGAACGTGTTTGCCCAACTAGACGAGGACTGCGCTAAAGTGATTGAACAAAGTGAAATCGCCAAGAGAGATGTCCAAAGGTTTGCTGATGGCTTGATCAAAACAATTCAAGCAAAAATGAAAAGTATTATTACCGCGGTGGAAAACCAAACCAAGAAATCACTTGAAAGAATAAAAGCAAAAAGAAGCGAGATTCAGCAACAGATAAATGTCACTAAATCATCATTGGAGGAAGCTGATAAACTTTTAAAACGAAGTACCGCGGCGGAAGTTGTTCAACTCAAAAAATCATTGCAGACAATTTTTCATAGATTAAATCAAACCGAGCGTATTGTTCAGGACCCCAGTAGTCTGCAAACTTTTGTCTTCGTGGAAAATCAGAAGATGCTTGATATCGCCAACGAGGAAGAAATTGGATTCTTGAGAGAACCTTCTCAAACGAAAGCAAGTGAATCTCTGGCTGAAGGTCAAGGACTGAAGGAAGGATATATAGCGCGTAAGGCTCTATTCAATTTGATCACAAGAAACGCGGAGAGAAAACAGTGTTATGATAAACACGACCGTGTCACGGTAGAGATCAAGAACGAACAAGAACGAGAATGCGTGACGAAAGTTAGAATAGATGATAACAAAGATGGGACCTACAAAATCACTTATTATCCCAGATTTCAAGCGACATTCAAATTAGTAGTTAAGGTAAACGGGGAACATATTTCTTGTAGTCCTTTAACTGTGATCTTAAAACCATTTCAAGTCAAACCTGTTTTATCTTTTGGAAAGAAAGGCTGGGGTGAAGGAATGTTTACGTTTCCTTATGGGGTGGCTGTAAGTGACAGGGATGAAATATTAGTAGCTGACGGCAATAACCATCGGGTTCAAGTGTTTGACAGTAATGGTACTTTTTTAAGATCCTTTGGTCGTATAGGTGAAAATGCTGGAGAGTTCAACTGCCCTATTGGAATAGCCATTGATAAGGATAGAAAAATTTTCGTAGCAGATTGTAAAAACCATAGAGTACAGATCTTTAGTTGGGAGGGGAGACACCTGGGTTCATTTGGCGGCAAAGGAAGCCTTGATAATCAGTTCCTTCACCCTTGGGGTTTATCCTTAGATAATAATGATAATGTCATTGTGGCTGATTCAGATAACAAACTGATTAAGATCTTTACCCCGGATGGAAAGTTTATAATGAAGATAGGTGGGCAGGGAGTTTTTAGTTTTCCTTTACACTGTGTTCAGCGTGGTGAATATTTCATAGTGTCAGACTCATATGAATACTGTATCAAAGTATTTAACAGGGAGGGGCATTTTCAGTACAAGTTTGGTAAGCAGGGGGACGGGGACGGGGAGTTTAAGTATCCACGTTTTCTGTCAGTGACTCAGTCAAAGCACCTGTTGGTTTGTGATATGGGTAATCATAGAATACAAGTCTTTGAAATAGATGGGAGGTTTGTCGGAAAATTGGGAACAAATGGCAGCAAATTAGGAGAATTCAATTATCCATTCTCGGTAGCTGTTCTAAGTAATGATCAAATTGTTGTGTGCGACAGAAATAATCATCGAATTCAGATATTTCAGTAAAAATTGTCCTTTTTTCCTGGAGGAAAGGAAAAGGCAAATCTCTCTTTGATTAATATATGTATTTGTCAGCTGTACAGCAGTGCTATAATGTTATTGTAGGCAAGTGAAGCCACATTTAGTCCGAGGAAAACCCGTGTGGTCTTAAATAAATCAAGTTATGTACATAACTTATTTGTTAAAGGAATGAGTTAACTTGAATATTTTTTTAATAAAGTTCTGTGTTCGATAAACGATTTTTTCTTTAACTCTTAATAATATTCATTCTCAACCGAGTTACAGAAAGGTGGCAGTAGTAGGCTTTTTTTGAACAGAAATACGTCATTGCTAAATATCTATTTGTGCCTCAAAAACTTATAAATATTCAACAGGCATACTTTCGAGGAAGGACATGTAAAATTCATCTGACGACCGAAAAGTGAGGGGAGTGATTTGAATTCAGCGTTTGGGGAGTTGAATGACTGAAACAATGCTAATTTGGATCGACTGGCCCGAGTAATTTGCATTTGCAAATCAATTAAAAAGTGAAAAATTCAACAAAAACCTTACAGATGGCAGAACAGATTTTCAGCCTATTGAAAGATAAAAAAATAGTGAATCTGATAGAAGTTATCTTTAAACGAAATACGGAGTCTTTTAACCAACAAACACCGATCATATTTATAGCGAAACAATTCATTTCGAAATAAGACTGCTTAACAAGTGAAGAATGAGTCATATAAACAGTTCTTACCAGTATACATTTACGTAAAATTTCCAGTGCCCTTCATGTCGCTTTGGAATCACTCTCCCTTATTAACGTACGGTTATCAGCTGTGGAAACAGCCGAGCTTAATCAACAACAACAACAACAACGGAGAGGGCAACGAGAACGTTTTTTAAAAAAAGCAATTCGCCACTTGTACATCTCCCATAATACACATTGTTTGCCCCCCAAAAGTTTGCATAACCTTTGATTTTCATTTCTCCTGGGTATTAAAACCGTCCCAAGAGAAATTGAAAGCAATGCTTATGCAAAATTTTGAGGGGGCAAATAAGGTGCATTTTGGGAGATGTGCATGTGGCGAATAGGTTAAGATTAGCAACACAACAACTCTGCACGTACACCACGCTATTTTGTAAATTTCTTTGCCGTCTTTGCACGACTACGACGTGAAAATGCCTAATTAAAATTTCACGTTTATTGGAGGACGTAAACAATGACACCAATTTTCTCTTTCTTTACCTGCACTTTAAAACAATCCTTTGAATTTATAAAATCCCTGCCAGAAAAATTCGCCAAAAATTTGATAAAGTGGATGACATGGAATAACAGCGATGAAGTTTGCAACACCGTGAATTCACGTTTTTGTTGCCGCTTTAGCATCGACGACGGCGACGGCAGCGAAAACGTCACTTTTAAAATGAACTCAGGTTTTTTAAAACTTTGCCGCGTTTATTCCAATTCGTTGAAAATGTCCAATTTAAGCGAATTTCCCTGCAGTTGATTTCTTGGGGACCGCACTCAAGTTTAGAAAGAGACAGAGGAATTCATTGTCTCGTGTTTGCGTTCTTTATAAAGACTGAAAATAGGCATTTTCATGTCGTATACTGGGTATGTATACAAGAGTTAAATCTCATGGTACTATCAGTCACATAGACGGAAGAAAATCGGCGACATCGTGAATTTCAACTGTAATTCTGAATTTATGATGAATCCACAGCAAAATCAGTCTTCAACTCTTCAATTTTTGAGCTCGTCTGTATCAACAATTTTTATACGACGGTTTACACATGTTAAGTGAATTGGAACTTCAAAAATGTGTATTTAATTATCTATATTACCAGCTAGCTAAAGTTATTATCACATTTACTTGAAATCCTTGTGGACTCTTACCCGTATTATCTTTAATGATCCACAAGGGTTTGGTCTACTTTTTCATCCAAGGGTATTCACTTTTATGTTATATTTTTCATTTATTAAAAAGGGGATTTTTATGAACTAATTTACCCTAGCAAATTTTTGCGAAGATTTGATGAGTTGAAAACATCATCCATGTAATGTTAAAATATTCAACTCTTCTTTGTTTTGATTCTTGTTGCTTTTGTTTTATGACAGGGGAAGGGCGAGGATTTGAGATAGCTCAAGGCCGTTTGGGACCTGGGCGAATCCACCACTGCATGCGTTCAATTGGACTAGCAGAACGATCACTCGAACTTATGGTTCAGCGGTCTTTAGAGAGAGTGGCCTTTGGAAAGCGTTTGGCCGAAAAGGTTTGTAGTAGAAGGTTCAAGGTCCTGTTACACGACTGAATCTGTTAGCCAAAGATGGCAGTGGGATCCAACTGGTAGCTAAAACGAGTACGCCGGACGATAACGTTGAGAAGTTTTGTTGCCAACGAGGTTTAGGGACTGGGCAAGGCCACAAGTAGTAATACCACTTACCTCAATAGATTACACTCGTGATAAGGAACCCGTCGTACGGTAGTCTTGTCGTGTATTGCAGTTACTAAAACGTTGAATCAATGATGTTTCTTTAGGGAATGGTACAGGAGCAGATCGCTCTGTCAAGAATTGAAATTGAACAGGCCAGACTGCTTGTGCTTAAGGCGGCACACACCATCGATTGCCATGGAAACAAAGCTGCAAGAAAACAGGTGGGTATGTCAGCAATATTGGGAGCAGAGGGCAACCAGGGTGTCGAGAATGTCACACGTGTGTTACCCCTTAGTTCTAGTCTACAGTTTAGTGTGACTAAATTAGTGACCAAGCCAAGTTGATCTTCCTCAGTTGTTACAACGTGCGTTCTTTGTTGGGAGCTTAAGCAAAGACGACGGCGACGGCGACGAGAACGGCAAATAATAAAAAAAAGATTTATACGGGTCATGGAAAACCTGGAAAGTCACGGAATTTAAGCATTTCATTTTCAAGGCCTGGAAAGGCAGGGGATTTAATTGTCGGTCCTTGAGAGTCAGGGAAAATTAAAATTTTATTTGATAGATTAGTTACTGCTGATGACAAGGCGAGGACAACATAAAATAGAGAGAAGTGATTTAACAGCGCGAACGGCACGCATTTTGGTGGACACCAGAGTTTGTGTCTGTTGAACTGTTTAAGGTCAAGAAATACCCTAAAACAGGGAAAGTCCTAAAAAGGTTTGAAAGTGACAGCTAAACCTAAGATCTTGGAAAAGTTTTAAAAGGTCATGGAAAAAGTCATGGAATTTGAAGTGCTCAAACGAGTACGAACCCTGGGTTTATAATTAGATTGGAAAAACAACATTTTTGCACGTGCTTTTGCACATTTCTTTGCCGCCGCTACACGGCCACAACCGGTGAAAGTGCCTAATTTCACGTTTTGTCCAGGACTTGAACGAAGACAACGACTTTCTTGTTTTTTTCCTGAACTCTGATGTAGTGTTTTAGAATTTAACTAGAGAAATTTTGCCAACATTTGACGAATTGAACGAGTTGGAATAAGCGCGATAAAGTTTGAAGCAGCGCGAATTCACGTTTATAGTGACGCTTTCGTAGACCTCGCCGTCGTTGTTGCGTAAGCTCCCTAATGTTCTCTGTTTCAACCTGAAGTTTGTCTGGCGGCTCTGTGTGAGAAAGAAAGTACGGAGCTGTGAACACGAATGAAACAGCTGAACCTTTTCTTGTATATACCTCTTTTTTGGTAATAGTAGTGTACTGTTATAGCAAGATTAGTTTGATGGCGAAAATTTCAGTAGTGATCTGTCTTGCTATGACAAGTGATATTGAATTTGCTTACCTGGTGAACCTACCGAATTCCAGCGGAGAATTGGTTGAAAAAGAGTGGCACAAGACTGTTTTACGTCGATTGAGAACTTCACTGTTTAACTCTTGCAGATTGCTATGGCAAAGATCGCAGTTCCTCGCATGGCCTGTAACGTTATTGACCGAGCGATTCAGTTGCATGGTGGGAAGGGAGTATCCCAGGATACACCGCTGGCTTATTTCTACACAGGAGCTCGGAGTCTGCGCATTGCTGATGGCCCGGATGAGGTTCATTTGGAGGCAGTGGCTAAACTTGAGCTGAAGGACGCACTCAAATCGAAGATGTAACGTGGCTATACCATCCATCTGGCCATAGTTATAAAGGTGAAATGGTTATGAAGCCGGTTAGGCTCCTTTGTTATATGTTTTTGTTGGCTTTTTTGGACCTGACAGTGCACAACTTTCTATAACATTCCTATCATTTTGAACTTACTGACTGATAGAAACATCGCCTGAATTTATTCAGTCACAATTTGTGAACAAAAAACAAAAGAATTGTGCACGGTCAGGGAGCTTTCAACATAATCTATTGCACCGTTGTTTTCAACTTTGATGTTTGCCGGCTTTCGCAACCATTCTCCTCTGCTAACTATGATCTGGCACAACGATAAATAAACTACATGTAATCGTATACTTAATAAACATATGATCGTAGTCCTGAATGGGACTGTTGTTGACACTGACTGACGTTTCGACAACCTATTCCATAAAAATGTTACTTAAAATTCAGTGACGGATTTAGTAGGGAAGAAAGCAATGACGTCGAAATCTCTCGTTTTTCATCAGTACATAGGTTTTAATAACCACGATGATCAATGTAGCAAGAACAGCACAAAACTTACGGTTTCATGTACCAAAACAATGCCTCTGTTCGTGTGCTTTATACCGGTATTTTAGCATTTTTCTCTTCCATAATAAAATGAATAATAAAATTAAAGGTTTTATGGAGAACGAGGGTTTCGTCTCCTTTGTCTAAACCTGTCCTAAGCTGTTTCAACCTAAGCTGTCGCGATTCGCACTAACTGAAACAATTGTGTTGTATAGCTGGGTCTGTTAGAGACCTGTCACACAATCAGATTATACTGTAGACTTGTACTAAACGTATGAAAGCAGAAAGCATGAACATCTACTAATGAGACGAAGTTCNTCTACACAGGAGCTCGGAGTCTGCGCATTGCTGATGGCCCGGATGAGGTTCATTTGGAGGCAGTGGCTAAACTTGAGCTGAAGGACGCACTCAAATCGAAGATGTAACGTGGCTATACCATCCATCTGGCCATAGTTATAAAGGTGAAATGGTTATGAAGCCGGTTAGGCTCCTTTGTTATATGTTTTTGTTGGCTTTTTTGGACCTGACAGTGCACAACTTTCTATAACATTCCTATCATTTTGAACTTACTGACTGATAGAAACATCGCCTGAATTTATTCAGTCACAATTTGTGAACAAAAAACAAAAGAATTGTGCACGGTCAGGGAGCTTTCAACATAATCTATTGCACCGTTGTTTTCAACTTTGATGTTTGCCGGCTTTCGCAACCATTCTCCTCTGCTAACTATGATCTGGCACAACGATAAATAAACTACATGTAATCGTATACTTAATAAACATATGATCGTAGTCCTGAATGGGACTGTTGTTGACACTGACTGACGTTTCGACAACCTATTCCATAAAAATGTTACTTAAAATTCAGTGACGGATTTAGTAGGGAAGAAAGCAATGACGTCGAAATCTCTCGTTTTTCATCAGTACATAGGTTTTAATAACCACGATGATCAATGTAGCAAGAACAGCACAAAACTTACGGTTTCATGTACCAAAACAATGCCTCTGTTCGTGTGCTTTATACCGGTATTTTAGCATTTTTCTCTTCCATAATAAAATGAATAATAAAATTAAAGGTTTTATGGAGAACGAGGGTTTCGTCTCCTTTGTCTAAACCTGTCCTAAGCTGTTTCAACCTAAGCTGTCGCGATTCGCACTAACTGAAACAATTGTGTTGTATAGCTGGGTCTGTTAGAGACCTGTCACACAATCAGATTATACTGTAGACTTGTACTAAACGTATGAAAGCAGAAAGCATGAACATCTACTAATGAGACGAAGTTCTAGTACATTTGTAATATAAATGTAATGTAATATATAGTACTTTCACCCTGGGTTCTTTAGACTGTGTCAAGTCACCCTCTCCCCTCAAACAAAATTGAGGAGAGAAACGGGAGCGGCAGTACACAGGCTAACAGTTGTTTTGCTTTTATCTACACCGCAACCGTACTTGGTTTTACATACTTCATACATAGCTGTGGCTTTCACGCATTCTTGCTTCACAAAGGACTTACCAGCCCCCGGGGGGCTTAATAGAGGATTTACGGTAATCTTTCTTTGTTATTGATCATTTTACGTCTGGTTTAAGTTTCACAATAATTGACTCTTACAATAGTGGTCTGTGATTGGCTCGCCGTCCTTTGTTTCCGAGAAAAGCTATAGATAGAAAGTCACAAGACTTCATTGCTGGTTGTGGAGTTCATTGAAGGTCACTACGCCTTTGTTCCTTTAGCCATCATGGATCTGACAACGCTATTTCACAATCTTCGCGAAGAAGTGTCTTGTTCGGTGTGCTCGGACTTATTTACGGATCCTAAACATCTCTCCTGCCTTCACAGTTTCTGCTTAAAGTGCCTGAAACGATGGCACGAAACGTGCGGCGGGGGAGATGCCATTAAATGTCCAAAGTGCCAAACCCTAAGCAGAATACCAGCAAGCGGTGATCTAAAAGATCTTCCAACAAGCTTTTATTTGAACGGCTTGATCGATGTTCTTGCTATTAAAGAATGCAAAAGCACTCAAGTGACATGCGGAAACTGCGACAAGAAGAGTTCAGAAGCTTCGTATTGTTTCCAGTGTTGCATATTTTATTGCGAGCAATGCCTGGTTGGTCACAATATGATGCGAGACAAAAAGGAACACCGCGTATTGGCAGTGAAAGAGTTCCAAGACAAGGACTACGAGGATGTATTCAAGCGACCAGTGTTTTGTTCAAGACAAGGACACCAGAAAGAAGAGCTTAAATACTACTGCAAAGAATGCGAGACGGCTCTTTGCCAAACTTGCGTCACTTTAAATCACGGAGGTCATGATTTGAGATTAATCGAAGAAGAAGCCGAAAACAAAACACTCGAAATAAAATCTATCCTTCAGTCGCAGCGAGAAGGGTTAGATGCAAAACTAAACGTAATTGTTCAACTAGACGAAGACTGTGCTAAAGTGATTCAACAAAGTGAAATCGCAGCGAGAGATGTCCAAAGGTTTGCTGATGGCTTGATCAAAACAATTCAAGCAAAAATGAAAAATATTATTACCGCTGTGGAAAACCAAACGAAGAAGTCACTTGAAAGTTTAAAAGCAAAAAGAAGTGCGATTCAGCAACAGATAAATGCCACCGAATCATCACTGAAGGAAGCTGATAAACTTTTAAAACGAAGCACCACCGCGGAAGTTGTTCAACTTAAAAAATCATTACATGCAATCTTTCATGGATTGAATCAAACCGAGCCTATTGTTTATGACCCCAGTAGTCTAAAAACGTTTGGTTTCGTGAAAAATCAGAAGATGCTTGATGTCGTCAACGAGGGAGAAATTGGATTCTTGAAAGAACCTTCTCAAACAAAAGCAAGTGAATCTCTGGCTCGAGGTGATGGACTGAAAGAAGGAACTGTAGCGCGTAAAGCTCAATTCAATTTGATCACAAAAAGCGCAGAGAGAAAGGAGTGGTATGATGAAGGGGACCGTGTCACGGTAGAGATCAAGGACGAACAAGAACGAGAATGCGTGACCCAAGTGAAAATAGATGATAACAAAAATGGAATCTACAAAATCACTTATTTTCCCATAGTTCAGGGGACATTCAAATTTTTAGTTAAGGTAAACGGGGAACACATTTCTTGTAGTCCTTTTACTGTGATTTTAAAACCATTTCAAGTCAAACCTGTTTTATCTTTTGGAAAGAGAGGCTCGGGTCAAGGAATGTTTAAGTGTCCTGTGGGAGTGGCAGTGAATGATGGGGACGAAATAGTAGTAACTGACTGTGGGAACCATCGGGTTCAAGTGTTTGACAGTAATGGTACTCTCTTAAGATCCTTTGGTCGCAAAGGTGAAAACGATGGAGAGTTCAACTACCCTATTGGAATAGCCATTAATAAGGATAGACAAATTTTCGTAGCAGACCGTGATAACCACAGAATACAGCTCTTTAGCTGGGAGGGTAGGCACCTGGGTTCATTTGGCGGCCAAGGAAGACTTGATAGTCAGTTCCTTAACCCTCGGGGTTTATCCTTAGATAGTACTGGTAATGTTATTGTTGCTGATCCAGGAAACAAACTGATTAAGATCTTTACCCCGGATGGTAGGTTTGTAATGAAGATAGGTGGGCAGGGTTCATTTAGTTTTCCTGTTCACTGTGTTCAGTGTGGTGAATATTTCGTAGTGACAGACTACAGAGAACACTGTATCAAAGTATTTAACAGGGAGGGGCATTTTCAGTACAAGTTTGGTAAGCAGGGGAAGGGGGACGGGGAGTTTGATTGTCCGTATATTCTGTCAGTGACTCAGTCAAAGCATCTGTTGGTTTGTGATGGGAATAATCATAGAATACAAGTCTTTGAACTAGATGGGAAGTTTGTTGGAAAATTTGGAACAAATGGCAGCAAATTAGGAGAATTCAATTATCCATTCTCGGTAGCTGTTCTAAGTAATGATCAAATTGTTGTGTGCGGCAAAGACAATCATCGAATTCAGATATTTCAATAAAAATTGTCCTTTTTTTCCTGAGAAAACTATATAATAAGTAAGTCCCTCTACGATTAATAAATGCATTTGTCAGCTGTACAGCAGTGCTATAATGTTATTGTAGGCAAGTGAAGCCACATTTAGTCCCAGGAAAAACCGTGTGGTCTTAATTTAAGTTATGTACAAAACTTATTCGTTAAAGGAATGAGTTAACTTGAATATTCTTTTAATAAAGTTCTGTATTGGATAAACGATTTCTTCTTTAATTCTTACTAATATTGATTCTCAACCAAGTTACAGAAAGGTGGCAGTGGTAAGCTTTTTTTAAACAGAAACACGTCATTGCTAAATTTTATATCTATTTGTGCTTGAAAAACTTATAAATATTCAATAGGCATATTCTCGTGGAAGAACATGTAAAAGTCATCTTACCGAAAATTCCCTGAGGCGAGAGATTGGAATTGAGCCTTGGGGAGATACGGAGTTGAATGATTGAAACAGTGGAATGCTATGCTAATTAGGATGGAGAGAAGGTCATTGGAAATAAATTAAAAAGTGAAAAATTCAACAAAAACCTTATAGATGGCGCGAAAACATATTCAACCTAATGAAACGACCAAAAGAGTGTCAGTTTATTGGTGCTTATTCTTAAATGAAGGAACTTTTTAACCGAGAAACCTGGCACCGAATAAATTCTTAATTAGTATTATAAGGATTATAAGGACTGCTTAGCATGTTAAGGCTGAGTGATATATATACAATTTTTACCTGTGTTCGACCAAAACCTCTCATGTCGCGTTGCAATCACTCTCCTCCATTAACTTCTTTCCTCTCGTACTGTCATCAAGCTTAACGAAAGCTTAACTGAACGATGAGGACGGCAAAAAGCAATACGTCTATCCATTTATTTGCAACATGTATCCGTATGGCTGTCGCATTTGCAATTGTTGTTTTAAGCAAACAATTAAAAAAATTCCTACGGGTAAATGCGACGGCTTTAAGCTTTGTTGCAAATGAATCCATGCGCCTTCACGACTTATTTGCATAATTAACTTTACTTGACCAACCTTTCCAATTCTGATGTCTTGGTTGTCATTTTTTAAACAACACAATCAAAAAGGGAAATTTATTATTTTGCAGTACTATAGAAATGGAATACTCCAGGGACTGAGTTTTTGAAGATGTTCAAAACACGTGTTTTAAAGATTGCATCGTCTTTTACACTAACGATTTCTCGCCTTCTTATTGGTCGAGAGCTATGATATGGTAGATGAGAATACAGACCATGGAAATGACGTGATGGTGAAGTCATCACCCGCGCGATTTTCGGAGAAAAGAACTAGTTGTCAAAAACTGTTAATTAAGAATGGAGAACAATTTTCCATAATCGGAACTCTTATCGGTCATAGATGACGTGAAACTGATTCGAAACTAACGTGGAACCAAGAGCGTGGTTTCACTACAAAGTTTTTAACAACTTGACGTCATTCTGTGGTAGATAACAGTACATGTATATACAATCGTTGTCGATCCGCTTTTTACAATAACAATAATTGTTAGTTTTGAGCAGACTTCAAACTGAGAGCGTCATTTATTGAATTGCTGCACACAACATCGGTTGCCATGGAAACAAAGCTGCACAAAAAGAGGTGAGTATGTCAGCGGTGTTGGGCAACCAGGGCTGTCGGGAATGGGGAGGGGAAGGGGAGATACCTGGGTTCATTTGGCGGCATAGGAAACCTTGATAGTCAGCTCTCTGACCCTTGGGGTTTATCCTTAGATAGTACTGGTCATGTTATTGTTGCTGATACAGATAAAAAACTGATCTTTACCCCGGATGGTAGGTTTGTAATGAAGATAGGTGGACAGGGTTCTTTTAGTTTTCCTGTTCACTGTGTTCAGTGTGATGAATATTTCATAGTGTCAGACTCAAATGAACATTGTATCAAAGTATTTAAAAGGGAGGGGCATTTTCAGTACAAGTTTGGTAAGCAGGGAAAGGGCGACGGGGAGTTTAATTGTCCACGTTTTCTGTCAGTGATTCAGTTCAAGCACCTGTTGGTCTGTGATGGGAATAATCATAGAATACAAGTCTTTGAAATAGATGGGAAGTTTGTAGGAAAATTCGGGACAAAAGGCAACAAATTAGGGGAATTCAATTATCCATTCTCAACAGCTGTTCTAGGTAATGACCAAATTGTTGTGTGCGACGAAAACAATTGCCGAATTCAGATATTTCAATTTTTTTTTCCGTGGAAAGAAATATAGTAAGCATCTCCCTTGTTGATTAATAAATGTATTGATCAGCTGCACAGGCCGCATTTAGTCTCGTAGCTAAACCTTGTGGCTTTAATCAAGTTATTTACATGAATTAGTTTTTCGAGGGACTGATATAACTTTATCTATGAGTACAACCCTTTTTAAGTTCACGTGAATTTTTCTGAATAATATTCCGTCAAGAGCCATGGTTCTGCATTTGATTCTTCTTTTAGTTTTACAGTGTTAATCCTCAACCAAGTTAGAGAAAGTGGGGAATGAAAAGCATTTCTTATAAAAGAAATAAAACCATTGCTAAGTATGTATCTGTGCTCAAAAACCTTATAAAAATATTCAATAGGTATTTTGTCCAATTGAATGCACGGATTTAATCCTGCAGGAGGACCTGGCAAAATTCACCTGACTGAAAACTTATGGGAGGATTTTGAATTCAGCGTTTGGGGAAATGAGGGGTTGAATGACCTGAATCGCACTGAAACGGTGGAATGCTAATTTGGATACACAGGAAGTCGTAATCGCAAGTCAACTTAAAAAGAGAAAAATTCGACAAAACCCTACAGAAGCCAGAAAAATTCATGTGACTGAAACGTCAGGTCAGCCTCTGGGGAGTTAAGGAGTTTAATAATGACTGAAATAATGGAATGCTACTTAACGGGATGTTTACACGAAAGAAGATCCTATCAAAAGCAAGATCCTTGAAAGTGGAAAAACTTTTCGTCCCGTTTACATGCAGTAATTGTCGGTCCATGTGGTTAACAGTGGAGAAGGAATTAAAGATTAAAGATTATCCACTGAAGGGAACTTCGCTCTTTTTGTGTGGTTTGTATCTAGTAGTAGGATCTTCATGGCGAAAGCATTTTATATGGTGCTAGGATCTTCCTACTTCGTAGCTAGGCGAAGACAAGTACAACTTTTAGCATGTAAAGTGAATACAGAAAACGTATGGCACGAGAATGTTCCGCCTCCTAGGATCTTCCTGGTGCTAGAATCTTTCTCCCTCCATGTAAACAACCTCTATGATTCACAGGTCTTCAGAATTTGCAAATCAATTAAAAAGTGAAAAATTCAGCCAAAACTCTCAAGATGCTAGAAAGATTTTCAGCCTATTCAAACGACCGAGCGTTATTCTGAAAGAAGTTATTCTTACCTTTTAAGCCGAGAAAAAACACCGAAAACAATACCATTTCGAGATAAAAGTGCTTAGCAAGAAAAGAATGAGTCATATAAACAGTTCTTACCAGTATGCAATTCCATAAAATTTCCAATGACCCTCATGTTCCGTTGCAATCACTGACTCTCCTCCAACAACTTCTCTCTTGTCGTACGGTTATCAACTGTGGAAATGTCTTTAGCAGACCTTTAAAGGCAGTGTGAAGCCATGTAAATAGGGAGCAGTTTAAATGGCTACGACGGCGATGACAACAAGAACGTCAAAAAAGCAAAAACTAGAATAGTCAAAACAACAACTCTGCACGTGCAGCACACTTTTTTTGTACATTTCTCTGCCGCAACTGCCACGTCTTTCACGTCTTATGGAAAATTTCTTTCTCTTTCTGAATTTGGATATGGTTTTAGGAATTAAATTCAAGAAGAGTTCGCTTGCATAAGAACGTAAATCCACTTTTATGCGACTTTTTCGCCGCCGTCGCTGTATCCTAACCTCCCTGGCTAATACTTAAACAGGTACTTCTGGGTAGACTAATTAGCAACCGGGGGGGGGGGGGTACTCCCTTAGAAGAGGCTAATAGGGATGTGCCGCTGGATGGGGTCGCATTTTCACGACTGGATTGACTATAACGGAGTCGCATTTTCAATAGATTTACTAGAATGGGATCGCAAATTTTCGGATTTTGGGGGTAAGTAGGGATTAAAAAATTGTTAAATTTTTTTTTTTTAAATTTATTAAATTTAACAATAAGCTCGCATTGAGCGCAGACATTCCGCCGCTTGAAACCACATGATAAGGTAGATGTATAAATAGAAACTGACTAAGTTGGGATCGCCAAAATTACATTTTCCAAAAAGTGACTAAGATGGGGTCTATAATTGGCCAAAAAATAGACTATAATGGGGTAGGGGCTCTGAGAGGCTAGCGGCACATACCCAGCAAACATTAACCCAAGTACCCCCTCCGGGATTAGCAACATGTACAGGTTTGGCTGTCTCATCTACTCGATTGAGTCGTTTATTGATTTTTTTAAAAGCTTAAAACAATGAAAAAATTCCAATGGGTAAATGCGACAAATACAGGCTCCTGTTTGCCAATAAATCCATGCACCCTTACGAGCTGAGACCAACCTTTACATTTCGGAAGATGTGGTCGTCCTTTTTCAATCAACACAATCAAAAAGGGAAAAATACATGAATTGGCAAAACTGTAGAAATGAAATACTCCAGGTATCGAGTCAGTTTGACTGAGCTTTTCAAAACACTCACAGCACCATGTGTTTTAAACGTTACAGAGATGTATTTGTCATGGGTTATGTAACCTTTTTCTTTAGGGTGTTACGTGGTATGCTGTTCTATTACTTCATTAACGGTAGGCTCTATATATTTGAGTTGTTCTCATTTACATTCATTCGCGTCTTACGACCGTCTTTACGCCCTCAAAATTAAATACCCAGTGACCAGGGGTTATCAGTTTCTCTTAGACGTAGTTTTTCGCATGCTGCTATATGAAAGGTTTAGCACGTTTTGTACGTTTACTGCATCATTGTTATACGAGCATTGTTTAGATCATTTTG